ATAAGTCGTCTCAATATCAATGGCATAATATTAGTTTCGACTTCCATGGCCCTTATGGGAGTCGAACACATTGCTCCTGATATGATCCTCAAAGCCCTGTTCTGCAATATATCCAATTTATGTGTATGAGTGCTATTTAAATAAGCCAAAGAACTGTAATCAAAATGACTTCTTACAATAGATTTATATAATATAGATAGTATTTTGGGATCTGCACCCCATGAAACACCTGCTAGACATCTTAAAATGTTAACACCTCTTAATGCATTTCTAGATACATATTTAATATGTTCTTCAAATGACAGCTTCTGGTCAATGATAATACCCAAAAATTTGTGTGAGGTGACTCTTTGAATGACATCACCATTATATACAACATCTACTATTGGTGTGTCTTTTCCAAATATCATGGCATTACTTTTGGCAGCATTTATTTTCAAATTTAATCTGTATTGATAATAATTACTTAACTGCTTTAATCCAGTGTTAACATTTTCAATGGCTACTGTTAAATTTACATCAGAACTATACAACACTAAATCATCTGCAAATTGAAGTATATTTACATTTTTAGTATTTACATATTTACATATCTCACAAGTATACAAGTTATATAACAAGGGCGATAAAGTTGCACCTTGTATAGTAGTTGATGATGCAGTTCTAGGTCCATACAAGATATTGTTATGCCTAACATATAGTATTCTGTTAGTAAGGAAATCATAAATCCATTTAGATAATTGTCCAGGTATACCAGAATTACTGAGTACTTTCACCAGTATGCCAGGATCCACACTGTCAAATGCACCTTGCACATCTAAAAATACACAAACTGTGTGTAATTTATTGTTTTTTGCATTTTTCAGGTCGGATATCAGAGAAATGAAGCTATCGGCACAGCTTCTTCCTTTACGGAAGCCATATTGAATATGTGGTATGACATTATTGGATTCTGCATACCAGTCAAGTCGAGATTTTACCATGTTTTCAAATATTTTCCCAATACATGATGATAACGAGATTGGACGATAGGAACTAATCTGTTCAGGTGACTTATCTGGTTTTAATATAGGTATTACACATTGAGTTTTCCATGAACTTGGTATGAGTTTCTTATGCCAGAGATTATTAAGAATATTCAAAAATATCTTTTGTACAGATTCAGATAAATGTTTTATTAATAAATATGGAAAATCATCTAAACCAGGACTAGTATTTCTTCTAGATTGTATACTCATTAAAAGTTCAGACCATGAAAAAGAATCCAGTAAAAATGTTGATTGAGGATTCTCATTGTTAATATTAAAATAATTGTCTAATGAATCTGAATCAACTAAATTGTTATTATCTGATAACTTATCTAAAAGTGGCTGTACAAATTCATCCCTATATGATTTATTACCAGTTCTGATTCCCTTAAACTTTTTAATGAGATTCCATATTTGACTGATGGGTGTAGTTCTATTGAAACTATTGCAAAAACCAATCCAACTGATTTTTTTGCTCCTTTATAGTGCGTTTTTTTAAAGCATCTAATCTTTTATAGTTGATGTAATTATATTCTGTTGAATTGTTTCTATACAATTTCAGGGCTTCATATGATTTTATAACGGCTTGTTCACATATACTGTTCCACCAGGGGGTTGGTGGTCTACTCCTAAAGTTAGTCCTAGTGAATCTAGGAACTACCATTAGTTTGAGTTTATTAAGCCGACTACAAAACTCATCATAAGATTTCATTGGACTCTCTTCACTAACCATCATGTCATGGAAGACCAAACCAGACAATTCGCTATACTTTGTCCAATCTGTTTTATCATATAAAAATCTGTCAACATGTTTATTAATTGTGTATCTTTCAATGCACATTGTAATGTTAGTTATGGTTGGATAATGATAACTACCCATAGCATCATCATGTACATACCATTCACAAAGTGGAGCCACCTGTGGACTAACAAAGCTTACATCTATTGCTGAGGGGTTGCGTGTAGGATAATTTACTGTAGTAAAACTACCATTATTCAAAATACATAAATCACATTCATCAATTATATTATATAAGTTATTGCCTCGACTTTTCGTAGACAGGCATCCAAAAGCAATATGATGTGCATTGAAATCACCACTAACAAAAATAGGTTTTGGTAATCCTCTTATAATATTGTGCAATCTATTCATTCTTATATTCCTACTGGACGGAGGACAGTACACACAAAGAATAGATATAGTAGTATTTTCTGTGTATATACTTATGGCTATTGTCTGTATATCTTCATAAAAAGTAGTATTTATGACATTATGTTTCAAATATGGTTTAATTAATATTCCTACACCATTACGAGGATTTTTTGAATTTTTATTGTAGAAATTATAACCAGAAATATAAAAAGAATGGTGTTCTTTTAACCATGTCTCATTAAGTAAGCAAATATCAATATTTTTTTCATTTAAGAATTTTGTAAGAAGATGTTTTTTATTATTTGCACCTTGAACATTAAATTGCGCAATACGTAGAGAGTGTGTTATATATGGTTGTGTATCCATTATGTTGACAGATTCTTAATAAGTATATCTTTTATAAATGTTGCAGTGATGGGTTCATTATCAACCTTATTACCTATTTGAACCAGTGTTTGTACCAGGGCCATAAGTACATCACTGTTTTCAATTATTTGTAATTTTATATCATTAATACTATTTACAGATTTATTTACATGTTTTACATTAGGTTTATTATTTACATTAATTACTTTTTTATTTATAGGGTTGGAGGCGTGGTGGAAGAGGAGGGAACTCATCATTATCTTTTGTATTGGCAACGCTTGCATAAGTTATTTTATTTTTCTTTTCTAATGTTTTCTTCATTTTAATGGGACACAATTTAGAAATAGCTAAATGAGGTCCGTTGCAATTAGCACAGCAAATCTCATTTGGCTTAGTGCAGTCTTTATAGGAATGTTCACCTGAACAAATAGAGCAACGCTCTTTGCCATTACATATTTTTGCAAAATGATTGAATTTAAGACATTTAAAACATTGTTGCAGAGGAGGAACATATTCAAATATTCTATAAAAAAATAAGTCGTATTGGACACTTTCAGGTAAAGTATTTGCCAGAAATGTGATACTTACAGTTTGTGTTCTGACTAATTCATTACCAATTTTTTTCACAAATCTCCTAACTCCTATTATTTCATTTGTAGAAGTCAATTTAGCAAATAGTTCTCTATTTGTAATATTTGTGGGCACAAATCTGATAATACCAGTTTTCTCAATTTGAGCTGCTGGAATATATGCTCTCATTTCGTGTTTATCAAGAAAGCTGTTATTATTTATCAAATTGTTAGCTGTATTATGTTGTCTGAAGATCACAACAATTTTATTTGCGCCAATACGCCTTATTGCCACCACACCTTTAATATCGGAAAATATCTGATTCAAATATATTGGGCTTTTATTTCCCAACTTGTCTTGTATATTTTTGCTCTGAATGAAAACCTTAAATTCTGTGTTAATTGAATTTTCAGGATATAACCTTTTATAATTGGGCTTGCGATATGCCATATAAGAGTCTTTCTCACCACCTCCGCCGCCAGCATCAGAAACATCTTGGAGATCTTCTAACCGCCGTCGTGGTCTCTTTTTTGAGGTGGGCGGGTCAAACCCGCCCCCCTCGTTTCCTTCCATTTTAATTATTTATTCACTATATTTATATTTAATTTGCCAATTTATACTGTTATTTACAAAGAAATAATATTTATATTAATTAAAATACAATTTTGAAAAAAAAAATTGAACCGCGCTTTTTCAACTTCCCGCCAAGAATCTACAATGTGACATTAGGAAACAATTTATTCCAGAGACAATATGACGGAATAAGGTGCAACGAACAGCAGCTCGCATCTACGCTGTCGACTATGGTCTATGCGGTAATGTATCGACATGTCTCTTGGCTACGAACGAAGCGTTTTCGACAATACAATTACGCAAAAGCGGTAGTGTATGTAGAATACTTTTCGACACCAATATGGCTAGACCCCCTGGCCATAAAATTAATTTTAAAAAAATATATATATTATGAATGTCAAAGTCAAGAAACTGTCCGTTCTTGCACCGGGCAACGACAGTGATGCCATCTTGGGGGGCTTTCCCCAAATTTAGGGGGAATCAAGATGTCCAGGGGGTTTGTTAAGCGGATAGATTTATTTAGAGGGTACTTTTTTCATGAAGGTTTTTTTTTAAACGCACGTTTCTATACAAATTGTATTAATGCTCGAACCCAACTAACTAATTAAACAAAACAAACAAACAACTTCTAAGCGTGGCTATATCGAATATTCCAAGATCGAAATAAAAAAGTAGAAAAAGCTCTAAAAAAAAATAGGTTAAAGCAAAGAGAATATGCCAAGAAAGGTTAAGGAAGTCTAAATTTAAAGGGATATAAATTAAGAAATATTTTAAAGTCTATACATGGTATTAGGTCATTAATAAACCTAATATATAAATGTGTATAAACACAATAGCTATTGTATACTACTTGAATGTATTTTAAATAATATTTGAAATTACCTATCAAACCGAGTGTAGAATAAAAATTTTAAAAGATTTTAAGTTTAGGATTTTGACGTATTGCAATATTTCATATTTGAAGATGGTTCTAGGGGGAATATTTTGTAGGAGTTGGGATCATTGGGCACCGACGCTATCACTGACAGTTTGAACGGTGATTGTCAAAGTCTTTTACATTAGTGTTTCGTGTTTGTGAAGACGTTTAGAGGTTAGCTTATTTTTAAATCTATTTTAATCATATTTTCTCTGAGTAATTCTAAGGATTAAATGTGAAAATCTTGTGAATTCGTGTCTAGATTAACACCTTCTTTTATGCATTCGTTAACTAACACTTATAATCTTTGTTGGTTTCTCTATTAATGTTCTGTTTTTGTTCGATGTCAGCATTGCTCTTTTAAGTAGAGATTTTATATTTTTTTCAGGACGTCATGCCGTTCGCGCGTTATGTGGAACCAGGGCGAGTTGCCCTGGTAGCAAACGGATCCTTAAAAGGAAAACTTGTCAGCATTGTTGATGTCATTGATCAGACTCGTGTGTTGGTTGATGGGCCCGGCAGCGGTGTCGCCCGTCAGAAAATTCGGCTTAATCAATTACATCTTACAAAATTCCGCCTCAGCTACCCCTTCACAGCCCCCACACGTGTCGTAAGAAAAGCATGGACGGACGCTAAGCTTAACGAAAAATGGGATGCAAGCCAATGGGCCCAAAAGCTTGCTAACAAACAAAAGCGAGCGCAGATGACTGACTACGACAGGTTTAAACTTACTGCAGCGAGAGTTAAGCGTAACCGTGCAAGAACAGCGGTCTTCAAAAGCCTTAAAACTAAAGCAGCACGAACTGGTGCTTTTGGAAAGAGGAATGTTCCCAAATCAGCTGAAAGAAAGCCCCGTACGAAGAAGGCACCTTCTGCTAAACCAGCAAAGAAGTAATTCTAGTTTTGTGAGCTAAATAACATGTGTTAAGTGCAGGACATATATAAAAATACAAAATAAAGAGTTACTTTAAGCTGATTTACTGTATTCTTATCTCAATTTAAACTATAGTTACCTTTTATTCTGTAAGGTAAGTGATTTTTAAATTATTCTGGTCAACATTGTTTAGTTTACTTAAATTTGTTTATTTTTAGGTGACGCAGATTGGTTGACACAACATCTTTTATAAGGTATGTTCATTTTATTATCTTGTTTAATGGTATGTTGTGGTATTATTTTGTGTTAACTTCATGATGTTGCTTATATAGTCTCGTTCGTATGAAAGAAGTGATTCTAATCTTTACCACCATTCTGAAACTCATTCAGTACTTAATAATATACTGATATTTAAGAAACCACTAATGTTTATGTAATTTCTTACAGACAAAAACAACACTTAACAAGACCTGCAGAGTAATATTGTAAGTAACAATTAAAGCATTTTACATATTAAGTAGACTTTAATTGCTTTAGAACCTAAATTTAATAAAGTTTAAATGATGACTTTAATTTTAGTCTCGTTCGTATGAAATTAAATGATTTCAAACATACCAATATAATCTGATAACATAATTATTTTATGAATTTAGAAATTATTTGTCTTCCATATTAATTAAAAAATTCTTTTACAGATAAATTTTAAGTATGGCCTCAATATTTGAAATTGTTTTTCAAGTAAGTATTCAAATTATTAACCCTTAGATAATAATTAAGTTCTGTATTTTAAAAAAGTTGTCCATTGTATTGGACAAATGTACCTGACTATATTTAAACATTTGAGTTACTTATTAAAAGGTTTGTATAACCATTGCCACAAATTAGTTACCCTACCAAAGCCGATGTGTGCACAGAAATGACTGGCATACTTGACTCTGGATAGGAACATTAATAATTAGTCCGTGTAAGATTTACAGTTGCTAATAGCTGTATTTCCAAGGGATGACTCTAACAGGCATTAATATATTCATACCTTTTGAACAAAAGTACAAAGATAACATTTTCTAAGCATTATTTTCTATTGCAGATGACTGCTTTGTGGCTCCAACAAGACTCACAGCTGGTGATCCCAAATCAGGTAAGAATTACCATTTTAATTTATTAATTATCCATAGACACCAACTGATCCAAGTTCCCATAGATTTGTATAAAAAGTACTAACTTTACTGTTAATAATTTAGGAAACGAGTCCAGTTTCTAGTACCCTACCAAAGCCGATGTGTGCACAGCTAATTCTGGCAGACTTGACTCTGGTTAGGAACATTAGTACAATCCGTGTAAGATATGTAACTAGAAATTAGTTTAATATCTAAGGGGTTTTTGTGACAATCAACACTTGCTGCACTATCACATATAAATTCAGCAGAACAACTGTAATTATAGATAATATTTTTTTATAGACATGTGCAGTCTACAACTCCAGGGCTGCATTTAAAACTGGTAAGTAATATTCAGAGTAATTTTCTTAGTTATTCAAATTAATTTTTTGTGATGATTCTGTTATCGCCCCAGTCAGAATAAAGTTGTTGATTGATTTTTCTGATAATAATTTCTTAATATCTAAATATATAAGTTTTTATTAAACAAATATAACAATAACAATTTTTTAGGTATCCATCATGCTGTCAAAATAAGGAGTTCTGATAGAAAACAAACAAAATCATATTTAAAAAGTAAGTTGCTACAAAAATGCTTTGCTTTTTTTTTTTAGACCAAGTGATGATTTTGATATCGCCCCAGTCAGAATTGCATTGTTGATTGATTTTGCTGATAAATATTGTTAGTAACCTTATTCCAATGATATGTAAGACAACCTATATAGTAAATGTATTTATTTCCAGATTTGACACACAATATGCTAAAATTTGAAGACAGTGACAGACAGACTACAAATCTAATTTAAAAATAAAGGTAAATTGAAATGCAGTTGAACTTACATTCTAATTTTTCACTATTTTTATTTCAATTGATTATAATAATTTGGTTTATAAATAAATGATGATAAAGATATCGCCCCAGGCTAAATATCCGTGTTGATTGATTTTTACTGATTTTATATAAAATTATATTTTATGTATCTGTTAAGAGCCTAAAAATGATATATGAATGTTTCTTTGCAGAAGCTGTTTAACACTACATACTTAATTCATTATTGGCCTGTATATTTCCATTAATTAGTTACAATGTGAGTTGTTTTTTTAAAGCTTATTTCATTTTCTATCTACTTTTTATGATGATATAGATATCGCCCCAGTCTGATGTTTTTCTGTTGATTGATTTTGCCTGATTTAATAATTAAAACCATTTAAGTTTTTGAGTTTCAGTAAAGTAATTATAATTAGTATTACTTTTTACAGGGACTAATATTGCGAGACTCAACAATCCTAAAATGTTTAAAAGGTAGATTTTTTTATTTATGCTAATGGTTTTCTTTATAATATTTTTGTAAGTAGTCATTTAAAACAAAGTCTACTACTAATTTAAATAGGTGGACCAGGACATGATGTTTTTACAAGCATATATCATAGATCTTTGATGAAGTTTTAAAACTGATCTTTTTTTGAAATAACATAACATAAAGAAATAACTATATTATAATGTGTAAATAAAACAAAGTATTTTTTTCAGCAGTAAAATTTCACCAAAAGTGGACAAGACATCAATATAAGCAGTAAGTAGTGATTGTTTCTCAGTAACATTAATGCCAGGAATCTATTTATATACCCACTGCAGAACAGATGTTTCTAGTAAATAGGATATTTCTTATAAAAAAATTATTTAATGATGATTATCATAGTTATCCCTGTCTCACAAAATCGTGGGGAGAATATGGTTTGGTAAAGCTGAAAGTTTAAAAAAAATTTAGTATTGCAATTTTTTTTTAAACACAGTAAAATTAAGTGAATGTTTGTTACAGATTTTGCAACTATAATACTAAAGCTGACTTAGGCCCATATTCTAGAACATCAATTAAACTTAATTTAGTTTCAAGAGATGTCATGTAATTTTGCCTGTATGATATTTGACAATGCTCAAGTCAACATCATGACTTGAAATATTAGTATGGACTTTAAAATGGGAAGAAATACTATCAAGGTATGATTTATAATATAGTCTTTAAGAAAATTTCAGTATTTCATGATGATTATCATAGTTATCCCTGTCTCACAAAATCATGGGGAAAATATGGTTTGGTAATGTCTGAAAAACTTGCAAATTGACAGCCAAAAATTCTAATTTTAAAAGAAAGTATATTCAAAATTTGTCTTTTCAGAACTTAAATAATGTACCATGGGGTGGTATTCCATCTCAAATCAAGTTACCTTCTAAAATTGTAAGTACCTATTGATTATATATTATTTTTAAAAAAAAAGGGTGCGTGTACTTATGTACGCGCGTAAGAAGTTATACTTCTTTGGCATTATTAAAAATAGTTTGGCTTTGTTCCACCTCCAGTTTTTGATGTTTCACAGCGATAAGATGACAACTCTTTTTTTTGTATTCAATTTAGTGCACTTACACTGATTCATCAATTGTTTTTTGTCTCTTGTCCTTATATTTGCTAGAGAAAAATTACATGTTTTGATTAAACAATGTGGTAATTTTTTTAATCAAAACATTACTCGATAATAATAATACAAACTGATAGTTAACCTCAATTGTAATGAAGCACTTAGGAAGGTTGATGAGCACAGTTTTTTCACAAATATTAATTAGTATTGGTTTAAATATTCAATTTAAATCACTTCTGATTATATATAATTCAAAAAGCATTGCTAAATTTCTTTGAAAAAATAATTAAAACTCCTTTATTTGTTTAAAAGGTAAATGACAAATGTCATTATGGTCATTCAAAATTCTTGGCATACGAACTTCACGCATATTCTATTTCTTTTTACTTGTAGATTGTCTTATTCCTATCTCGCTCGCGCACGCTATAATCACACTCCTAATTTTGTGTCACGGTGCGCGCGCATCGTAAAATTTCACTCTCATCAATTTTTCAAACGCGCCTAAAGAAGTATAACTTCAAAAATACACTTTATGATGAATACTATAGTTATCCCTGTCTCACTAAACCATGGTGAAAATATGGTCTGGTAACATCTGAGAAATTACACATCAAAACTTAACTATAAGACCTAAGCCTAAACATATTATATGTTTATTTATTTTATTTTTCAGATAAAGAGAAGAGGGCTACTATGATGACTAAATGTGAGTTTATTTACAGCATTGCAGAGATATTTTTAAGCATACTATACAGTGAATCCTGGTTGCCCAGTATTTCATATCCTTAATATCTTAATATATATATTTCTTGTGTGCGTGTGTATGTGACTGAACTCCTCCTAAACGACTGGACCGATTTTGATGAAATTTTTTGTGTGTGTTCAAGGGGATCTGGGAATGGTTTAGATTCACAAATCAGCCCGGCAGATGGCACTGCAGTCGGTACTTTCATACTTTGCTTAATATCCTAATCGCTTTAAATATCATGCAGGACAACGTCTGTGGGGTCCACTAGTATTACTTATATTTGTTTAATGATGATAAAGATATCGCCCCAGTCTGAAATTTTATGTTGATTGATTTTACTGATTACGAATTAAAACCTTTAACCAACTCTTAAGTGTAATTATTATTACTAATTACTTATAATTTTTACAGTGATGTTGCCCAGCCTAGATGTCCTAGAAACTGCAAAGGTAATTTATTTTAATATTGAAGAAAAATTCAAAAATCCATTTTGACCAAAACATCTTGAAATTAGTTTATTAAATTACATACAACATATTTTTTTATAATAAGCAAATGCACAATATATGATGATTCCTTTAAAGACAAGCATATATCTTGAATAACATTGAAGACACATTTGACTGATTAAATAAATTATGTGTTTTCTTTGTTTACTTAAAGGAGTTATATCAAAAACTCTTCTCTTGTTACAGGTACATGCATAACACATAGTCCCAACTGCAGATTATAAACAACTGATTGGTGCAAATAAAATATATATTTAATTAACATGTAATTTTTATTTTGAATTTCCTAGAACATACTTTTAGAGATATGAAACCACTTCCTTTGTGATAGATAGTGGAAGTATTCCTTTGTTTTTAACTTTTAATGCTACTTCAAATATTGGTCAGGAACAACATTTAATTATGTCATATATTTTAGTAATTGAATTAGAATCCACTGGTGAGACAACATGCAACATTAAGGTAAAATACTTTTTAAATAAAATAGAATTTTGCCTTGAATGTTAAAATTTTATGAAACTTATTTCTAAGGGGTTACCAGGACCTGTAATCAGTAATTTGGAAAATTATTTCAAAGAACACAATATAAATTGTAAAAATGAAAGGATATGTTTTGAAGTGGATACAGAAGGAGTTTATGTACTTAACATACTTGGAGGTCCTGGCTTTGGGTAAGTATTGATCGAGTACTTTAAGGGTAAGATTTAGCGTGAACTATGTATGTCAAAATCCAATACATTTTTGACGTACGAGAATCGGACTAAGGGCTCTTGTTTATAAGATAAAAAGTTTTCAAAAAATCTAATTCTCAAGTCTGAGCTACCTAACAACATTAAAGCTATCATGGCATGGTAAAGTAATAGAAAAGGGACCTAGGGATTGTCCTTTTCTTACACGTTTTTCATAGTGATACATATTTTAATGTCACTAAGGTGAGACATTGACACATTAATATTCGCAAAACAATACTTCTAATAATATGACAGTAAGACTTGAAAACTCATGCAATCTCAATATTCTATAACACGGTTTAAAATTAATGTACCTACTTAAGTCTTTATATGCTTTTGAAGTTCAATTGGAACTAAATAAAAATACTCTTTCTGTCAAATGGTGTTTATGAAGAAATGACAAATGGCTACTTTAGTTAAAATAGTGCAATTATTAGACTGTTTAGATTTTATGTATATAAGTAATTCAGTGCTATAAAAGTAGGTATTTTGTCTTTGGTGCAACATATTGTGACAAGACTCGGTGATTGTAATAATTAGTTCGGTATTACATGAACTTGCCTAGATTTGCGTTACAGTGCAAAGTTTACGCGATGAGGGTTTCAAAAGCTGTCCAACCATTTTTCCGTGTGAAGTTTGGGATATGTGACATGAGATAAAAATAAGAATATGTACCTCACTCTTAGATTCAGTCACGACTTGGCCGACCGGTGTCGTTAATTCAGAAACGAGACTTAGCGTTAAGTTTTAAGTCAAATATGTATTAGATTTTGATATACTAGTCATTAAATCTGAGTGTCAGAGTCGAGAGTAGCGCTAAGTGTGTCATAAACCAATACATTTTATATGATATTATACAAGTCATATTTAGCGATAAATCTCGTTTCTGACTTTTAGACTGAAAATTACCCTCAATCTTAGCCTCTTATTGGCACTAGTAAACTTATTTGCCGGCAAGCATAATACTATCTAATTTAAATATGAAAATCAGTTACAGAGTTGCGACCCAATCTATGGCAATTGATACGACGACTATTGGAGGGAGATCAGTTAAAATTCAAAAAACCATTTGGACACTATCGAAAATCGGTTGAAGGACTTAACATCCGAACAAAATAAAATATTAACAATTTAATTTGTGTTTTCCATTGTCAATTCGCTCTGGCAGTCGCTCGGTACCCTGTCTGTGAATAACTCTGGAATCTGAAATCAAAAAGTACATAAGCTAAGGTTAGAAAAAAATAAGAATCTGCGTAGCGCATATCGAAGAGTCGTGATAGTTAAACATGCCAACAAGTAACAATATGAAAATATAATCCTATAAAACCATTTAAAATGTTTTATAATATACCTGTGGTGTAAAGGCTTCCACTCTGTCTAATAATGAATCTGAATATCCTGGTGTGTAAAATCTGCAAAGATGATAAATTATCAAGCCCCAGTTAAATATAGATCATTTTAATCGTAGGTTACTATAAAATAACTACTGCAAACGTAATGCCCATTATCAAAAAGGTATTATCTAATATATAAAATTCTCGTGTCGCGGTGTTTGTAGTTAAACTCCTCCGAAACGGCTTGACCGATTCTTATGAAATTTTGTGTGCATATTGGGTATGTCTGAGAATCGGACAACATCTGTTTTTCATCCCCCAATTTTTTTTTATAGATAATTTTTTTTTATGATACAGCATTAAAAAATACATATAACCCCTAATTTTCACCCCTCAGCGATAAACCCCTATTTTTTATTATAAATATGCATGGCAAAACGATGTTTGCCGGATGAGCTAGTAATATATAAAATAGTAATAAATTCCATACCTTACTATTTCTTCTGGGAAGCAACTGTTAATAATATTTATATACTCCTTTAAAGAAGTTCCAGGTACCGTATCGATTTCTTGAATCCTTTTGAGTGCACCAGTCGTTACAAAAAGCCTTCTGGCTCGGGCATCATTTGGAAGTATCTAAAAAATAATAACTTACATCGACCCACGTCTAAATAAACCGCCCTTTGATTGACTGACCACGGTTCTTCGAGGCAATAGAGTATCATAGTATCTATGCGATGTATAGTATACATAAAATATGATTATTATTAAAGTAAGTATAAGTTTTATTCAACTTTTCTTGGTGTTTTGTCTACATTTTTGTTTTTATGCGTTTTATTCTTTACTATTTACGTTATCTGTGTCTGTTGTGTGACGCCACTTGACTACTGACTTATCCCACTTGCGCTTGACACTTGTCAATTGGAATTGACATTTTATATTATGCGGTAATTTTGTATTTAATAATTTCTGATGATAACCTGAACTAAGTTATAAATGAATTAATTTACTTCTTTTAATTTGTTTAACAAATCAATGAATAGGCAAGAATAATACTATGGCGGGCAGAGGACGAGGTCGGGGTACCAATACCTCGCTTACACAAGAGCAGATGCAGGCTCTTGGTATTGCGCGAGGAGATAATGCACCACAAGTTTTGGCTCCACCACCTCTATTTCCAAAATTAGAAACAAAACCTCTTCCATTAAATAGTGACGCCGCAACAGACTATATGGTTATTGTAAAGGATCAATTTATAGAATACTTACACGAATCACCCGCCTATGTGAAAGCAAACAGAGAAACAGATGGAATTGAAAGATATTCTGATAAATATAAGTTGTTAGCCCTAGATGCCAATAAAGGAAGGGTATTGGATTGTGTCTGGGCTAATTTCCCTCCTGAACTCAGACCACAAGCGAGTCGCATACGACCATCGTCTCGAAAACGAAAGTTGGATGATCCCAAAGATATAGAAAAACGTTTACAATTACTAGAGAAAAAAGAAACACAGGAGAACACCAACGAGATGATGGCCACAGCTGGTGATGACAACAAAAAACAAGATGATATAGATGAAGATTTAGAAGATGAAGAAGAACAAGAAGATGAAATTGATGACGGTACAGATTACGCAAATAACTACTTTGATAATGGTGAAGACTATGAAGATGAGGATGATAATCTTGATGATGATCCAGTCTATTAGCCACGAAAAAGAAATGAAAATTGTTATACTTTTTAGCAATATAAATTTGTTATATTTTATGTTTGATGATATGATAAGAATTTATAATGTTATAACTGATGACTTAAAGGAAAGTCAAGAGTCCATACCATACCTTAGCATATTGTGCTAAAACATATTTTAGTATGCATGCTGGTGCAGAATGTAAGAGGGGTTCTAAGGCTGGTCTGTGTAAACAGCACTGCAAGGCCTGCTTTAATGCACAACAGGCCCGGGCTTTCACTTCTGCAGATGACTTAGGACTTGTGTACAACTAAAAACATTCAAACTTATACTTAATTTTACTTAACTTTTTTTTTTGAGAGACATGATAATTTCGAACACCTTAATCTTAAGACACCAGAGAAAAACAATTTTTATTTTTTTATTTTACTCTGTCTTAACAATTCAAATAGCAGCTAGTAACTACATAAAATTGATTTACATTATTATTACATATTATATATTATTTAAATTATGCACAGTACCCAATTCTTTTATTATAGGTTCATCTATCTACTATGTATGTTAAATGTGAATATAACAAAAATTGTAAAGGAATTTAATTTAAGGGTGTATTTTTTATTTTAAAGATTTTGTAGCTAAATGGAATATTCTATTAAGCTGCTCAAAGTATTAGCTTTAAAAAAAAACACTATTTGATTTAAAAGATAGCTAAATATGGATTTCTATGTGAGTAACCATTAGTTTGCTGGATTACAACCTGAAGTAAAATTGGAAATGCATTAGCTACAGCAACTGCAAGGCTATGTTGTGGAGAATGCTTTGATATATGCCCCAAAGTCCAAGCTGCTGCACACAACTCTGCATCATCTGCATCACTTTTTTGTAGTATTTCAACTGAGACCACTACTGCCTGTATGAAATAAATAGCGCTTAACATGGTAATAAAAAAAACATTTATATTTTAATTGGGTAATCGAACCGCGGAATTATGCTGAAATTTAAGAAGCTGCTCAATCAAATTAAAATAAATATTTTACCTTTGATTCAATGACCGCCATAGCCAATTGATCAGATTGCCCTGCTATATAACCGAGGGCCATACAAGCAGGAATACGCGCTCCGCCTGTGTTTTCGAACATCAGTTCAACTAACGGTCCACAGCCTCCAGTGTTGACTACGAGCTGGGCCAACTGCAAATAATTAAATACAGTTTTTGTTTAATTACGCTGATTGAATGCTCAAACTATTATTACTATTTTTATTAATAAAAGTTATTGTAAAAAAAAGCGGGGGTGTGAAAGTTTCGCTCCGTTCTATTGTGCGCGTTGACACTGGAGACTATACGTTATGGTATTGTATGTTTATCCTAAGTACAAACGATCAAACGCAGTGCTTCGTCTTACATCTTTCGTTTTGAATTGTCTCGCGCCTATTTAGTTTGTAAAGCATAGGAAAATAATTCACTTACATCAACAGAGTGTTTGACTATGTCTCGAAGTAGGCAAGCCGCAGCTCTTCGCACTGGGGCCGAGTCGTGTCCGGTGTGTAATAGGGCAGGGGGCAGAGCCCCACCGGCCACTGTTGCCTCGGCTAGCTCAGCTCTCGCACTGGCCACGGCACCCAGAGCACACAATGTACTACGCTGTAATATATCGAAAAAAATTAACAAGCGTAAGGTTTAAGTAAAATTGTATTATTATTGACAACGGACATGAAATATACTTACTAAGAAACATATTTACCTATATATGATGTGATCACTAACAATAAGAATGAGCTAAACTTTTTAATAGTAATTAAATAAATTGTGGCATACCTTTAATTTTGGATCTTGATTCTCTAAGCCACGTACCAAATGTGGAATGGCACCAGCGTCGACAACTGCCTCAGGTTTGTGTTGAGCTAAATCTACGAGAGCACCAGCCGCTATCTATAGAAAAAAGTTATTTACCCATTTTCATCCAACTTACATTTTATTAGAAGCAATTCAGGCCAGTTCATGAAAAATCAGAAAACATAGTCAAGGTACGTGCATAAGAAAACGCTGTCATCCTATTCATAGTTGTGATGTATTTAATATTTGTTACAAATTGTTAAGTAAATGTCAAAGAACTGAATACATTTAGTAGATAGTAATATTAGTATTGTTAGTAGGTATATTATGAATATTATTAATATACTGACATACAGTTGCGCACATTATACACTTGGATTCAAGACAATGATGTCACCTGTTTTAAGCTCATTTCTGGTTCCTGAAAAGCTAGCACAAGCAATGGCAGAGTTCCCGCATCGACTACTAATCCGGCTAGGTGCTCGCTGTGCTTTCCAATATAGCCCAGAGCCCACGCTGCGTTCTCCTTTACCTGCGAAAGGCAAAATTATTTTGTGTATATATACGGAGTTCTCAAATTGTAATCCAATAATGTTATTTTTTAATCCTACCTGAGTATCAAAATCCTCGAGACATGACACAATGTGCTCTAATGCGCCCAGACGAACTATTGCTGAAGCCAGTTCTTCATTGTGTCTGTAAATAATATATTATGCCAATGTTTCGTTAATGACTAAGTTGACCTACTATAATTAAAAATAAGTTTCCTTACTTGGCCACCGCTCGCAATAAATACAACGCTGATCGCTTATAATATACCTGTAAAATAATTTATTTATACTGTAATTCTTAATTTAAAGGAAAATTATTCAATGAATCGAAACGTAACTATAGAAAAATGCAAAAAAATAATAATAATCTTAACTTGGAATTTATAGCGTAGAGATTTAATATCCAAATATAGTTGGTTTATTAAAAGGATAACTGTATTCAAAAGAAATAGTTCCTTCTGATTCCATACATTTAAAAAAAAATACATACATTGTACTTGTTAAGATTCTCGAGCGTTGAGGTGACCATGCCTCCGCTAAGCAGCTGCCTGGCTACAGCTTCATCGTGTTCAGCAAGTCTTGCCGCCGCCACCACAGCACATTGCCGTACTGTACTGCATGCATCAGACAATAGGGGACGAAGCAACTCTACAAAGTGACATTATAAAATAGCTTGCAACCCGCCCCGGCTTAGCATCGGGAACCGTGACCCGTAAACCTTGAAAACTTATACACCTAATAAACCTTCCTTATACAACATTATCGAAACAGGTGGACAGAGCGATAACTTGACGTGGCGGAGGACTTATTTTTATGTAATATAAAAGTAAGACATCTTGTCGCTGACTTTTTTGTAGGCATTATCAAGCTCTATAACTTAATCCTATATCTCTCATCGTTAAGGTAGCGTTCGTAAGAAACGTGTTCCTTTTTTATTTTCGATATTGATTTTTTTAAATCGGTTCGGTAGATCCAGAGATCCCTAATACCTCTTTATAATACCTATTAGTACCTACTGCCGCACACATCGCTGTAACTACTTCCCTATTCATTTCTTCTAATAATTATAAAAAATAATAAATCAGTACGGCAAAATAATATATCTTTCGTTTTCAACCCTATAAGTAGTTATTGTTTCGCTAGAAACCGGAGTCTAAATTTATTCAAATCAGAATTAAAATACTGCAGGTTATAAAAGAGCGTTAAACCCTTATATGATTTAGGAACTATTAAGTATTATATACTACCTAAAACTCCTGCACTCTCAAGGCATTTTACATTGGTTGATCGCGTAGCCAATTCCGCCATAGTTTGCACGAATACTAATCTTGCTTTTTGATACGTCTCGAATACTAAAATAAATTAATTATTATGACACAACACTGATGGTCTATAGAAAAAAATAGGTAAATAAATAACTCTTAAGAAATCTATTTTATTCACTAAGGCTTATATATATAGAAGTTCTTACAACGCATAGACTAAATTAATTCTTAACCCGCGTCCGTAGTTCAGCAGTTAACGTCGTGGTTCATTCATATCCACAGCGCGCAGTTTTAAAATCAAAGACTGATCACCTACTATTAATACACATCAAAGGAACAAAAGCAAAAATGGGTCTGTTATTATGAGCTAATATTTTCTTATACATATAATACAGCTAATAACTTTTAAAGTAAGACCGACCAAGTTGGATATTTCGAGGACTGCTCATGGAGTGACTCATCTTTATATCAACCTCAATTACTTTTGTATATAGTACAAAATTTCTAAATTATAGCCTTTATTGAATTTTATTTTTGACATAACTATATAAATAGGATTATTGCAGTGATATGACACTGACTGACAAAAATCACTGACGAATGATGTCATAGAAACGCTAACGACATAGTACATAAATCTAATATTTAAAATTCTCGTGTTACAATGTTCGTTCCCATAATCTTCCGAAACGGCTCGACCGATTCTTATGAAATTTTTAATGCATATTCAGTAAGTCTGATAATCGGCTACTATTTTTCAAACCCCTAAGTGTTAGGGGGGTCCACCCCAAAATTTAATTTTTTAATTTTTAGACAATTTTTTTGTTTTTATTTTTTTATGATACAAAAATACATATAACCCTTATTTTTCACCCTGTACAATCAACCCTTATTTTTATTTGTTAATTTTAAACTTATGACTTGAACCCAGAGGTTTATATAGAGAAAAATTCACAGAAAAACCTAAAAGTTTTCACTACTAAAAACGGTAGGCTAAGTAAAATCACATTAAGGAGAAACGAAGTCCGCGGGGGCAGCTAGTAAGTAAGAAGATATTATAACACTACACTAAGTACTAAAAGGGACTGAAGAATCTCCGACTTGGACCTACCCCCAATTCTTGAGTCAAAAAAATTATATTGTTGGTGATTTATAAATATTATCAATAGTCAATCAAAAAAAGTAATAATAAACCTATTTCCATAAAATAAAAGATTTTCAAATCCGAAAACTCCTCATTTACTTAGAACCTCTTCCAAATATTTAAAACTAAAAAACTAGATTTAACTTTACAAATAGGCATCTAATTGATACATGGGTGAATTTTTTACTTTAATTACACAAAGATTCCTCATTACTTTCATTTATGTTACACTGCAAAGAACAGTATGTATTGCTTAGAGGACACGATAAGAGAATCAAATAGGAACTTCATAGTAAACAGTCCCTGTTGCACGTGTTTTGGAGTGAAATTATCTTACCGGCTATGAGTGCCGTGCGCTTAAATAGTCTCCAAGTGCCATGCAACCGTGAAGGCCATGTAATCGACGTCATTATGTTGCGATGCTAGTGCACACATGTAGAGCCATTGTAGCCCACCATTCAAGTTACAATACGTAGAACACTCACACATCTTCAAACAACCTGTCGCGACTCGCAAGTCAGCTCGCGGCTATACCGCCGCGTACGCAATCACGCTCTCAAAGTCAAAACATATTAATTCCTAGTAGCATATTGCAGTAACAATGCATGTGAGAATTAATCGGTGATTCTCTTTATTACGTTGAGTTTATTGTAGAGCAATATAGTTTTGTGTAAAAATGCCTTATATAATGATAATGGGAGGTTTAAGTGCACCTCACCTTTCTAAGGATGAAGGAGCTACTGTGTATGGACTGAAAAAGGACGAAAGGGCATCCGTCGTTAGGGTGAGTAATTTAGTGAATCAGTACTTATTATCGTATAAACTGAGCTATCTATATAAGATTGGTCAATCAAACAATACCAGAATTAAAAAAATGTAAGCAAAATTGTTATAATGAACTCTATTATAAAGCCCAATCAGCGCCCTTACTCTGTAACTTCCAATAACGACAGCGATAGCGATCCCAACGTTTTTGTATGCAACCTCGATATAGTTCTCACAATATCCATAGCGCTGATGTCGCAACCACGACATACAAAAACTTATTATTGTGATCGGAATCGCTATCAGTATCGGTATTTTAATTAATTAAAAAAAATTGCTATCGTTTTACTGGAAGGGTGAGATGGTGGATGAGTTATGAATTGTTTGTTCATTTTCATACTAGTAAATGAACATTATTTTCAGGAGCTGAACACATCATTGGGAATAACTGCAGCTGTATCATCAGATTCAGAAAAAACTGTTCGCGTCACACAAAAAGGTATGACACTCGTTGTCGTTAACCGATTACACAGTTTATTGGGCTACGACGTAGTTTCTCATTCAATGGCCATGACAAATGCAAACAGAGAACTTGTATCATTCACTATGTATAAAAAGAGTAGCCCCAACTCGCATACACACAGTCATAGTGGAACTAGTTCTCATAAACCTCATTCGCACGGTAACGTCGTAAACCTCTGAACCACTATTATAGAAATTATATTTTCCTATACCCTTTTATTTTAAAGTACTTAATCGTATGTTGTGTAATTACATTATATTCATAAAAGATTGTAATTACGTGCTTATTGCGTAATTTTTAGCGTAAATTGTTAAATTAATGAGGGGTTTAATGTGTTTAAAGAAACAATTTAATCAATTGTTACTCTATATTTTTATAAATAAGTACTTTATCTTATATAATTTTGTATTATGTCTACCAGTATTGTTTATATAATTAGTAAAACATTTTAAATAGAAAATTGGTTTTATTTTATTTTACAAATATGTAGAAACGCAATACAAAAACATCTATCAGTCTTGATGTTGTTTAAGCTGGTATGGTATGTTACTTATTGCTAAGAAAATATAAATCGTATGTTAGACTAGAAAATATAACTATATAACATAAACAGGGAGAACAGCGTGACTTATTCTCTGGTGTCATCAAATTATGTAACTAATCCTTAACTAAAATCCGAGTCTGCTGGGTTTTCTATCTAATAAAAAGTGAATCTTGACCTCGTCAATGGTCTATCTTTATTTGATTTGATATTTATAAACAAAGGCGCGGACACTAGCTAGTGGCCGTAGCAGTCCGATACAAAAACAACCCAGGTAGGATAGACTAACTCAGCTTCCGAGCACATTTACAAAATTATTTGTAAGCCTGCCTTACAAAAAGTCAGTTAACAGATATAACAGTTTCCTAATTTCATAAAATGCTTCACACTTCTTCCTGTCTTTCCACGTACAATATAATATGTAGGCTTAAAAATAGAATAACAAAACAGAAAAATAATAGATAATATTAAAAAAAGGGTGCGTGTACTTATGTTCGCGCGTAAGAAGTTATACTTCTTTGGCATTATTAAAAATAGTTTTTGATTGCATGCAAATAATTAATTACAATTAAATAGTCAAAGACTGGAAAAGGAGTCATTATAGTCAATAAAGTTCAGTTTCCTTTTTAAAAATTAAATAAATAAATATTTATTATTATTATATTTATTATTATTTTGTAATATTAATTAGTATTGATTTAAATATTCAATTTAAATCACTTCTGATTCTAATTCAGACGCACATATAAAATTCGCACTTGTATAATGAAAACAAATGAAAACACGTGTTTTAAATGTGGATGTGGATAAATATTATAAATATAAATACACAGTGAATAGAGGCGGCCAACATGCGCCACTAACTTCATTCTGTTAATTTTGTGTACGGTGCGCTTTTAGTGTCACGCGGATTTGCTCACGCACGCGGGATTGGACCGCATGCGTAGCATCCGCAAAGAACAATTTCATATAGGTATCTATTGTAAAGCGTGATAAACGCACGCGGGACGCGGGGCGCTGTGCGGGGCGTCACCCCGGTGCGGGGTATCCGCATGCGTAAGCGCTGCCTACAACTTCAGTGCCCATTTTAGAGTCGAGCGGGGCGCACGCGCCGTATTGTACTACCGAAATGAAAATCGATACAGAACGAGTAATCATTGAAGTTCATCTGCGGCCCGTTTTGTGGGATAAACGCAATGAATTATACAAAAACAGGGACGCGAGGGAGGCTGCATGGAGAGATATTTTGAAGGAATTGGCACCTAACTACGAAAATTTGAGCGAAGAGGAAAGAAAAGAGGCGGGTATGTGTTTGGTTCATTATTTTATTTATACAAGCATCATTACTTTATTAATATAAGCATAATTATTTAATTCACAAATAACATCAAAAACCTTCTAAAACCTTTTGAGTTTAGTTAATTAATTATATATCGGTGTTGCCAGGAGACTTTTCCTTCATTGATAAAGTAATCTGCAAATATATCTCTGATATTACTTGCCGACGTATTACTACTTTCAGTCTGCTGCCTGGGTAGTGGTCCCGTAAAACCATTTGTGACAAATGTATGGCTGACCTTGTAGCCATCCCGTTTCCTTATGAAATTGTGAAGTACACATGCCGTCTTGACTATTAATTGTGCTAGATCTAACTTGACATTCATGGATCTGTGAAATATTCTAAATTTATTTGACATAATTCCAAAAGTGCATTCTATGTACCTTCTAGCTCTGGACAGACGGTAATTAAATATTTTCTTTTTGTAAGGTAAATTATCACGAGCATAAGGCCGCATCACATGTGATGATAAACCAAATGCCTCGTCTCCCACTATCACGAACGGCAACTTTGCTCTTACACTAGATGGATAAGCTACTTCGGGGCAAATAATAGGCAACTCTTGCGGGTCAGGGATACCCAACGTGTTACTTTCCAGTTTCGTATACAATTGACTCCTTCTAAAGATGGTTGAATCGGCGTTGCTTCCACTGGTACCGACATTAATATATGTAAAATTATAATCAGCATCACACATTGCGAGGAGCACTACAGAATAATATTTCTTATAATTAAAATATAGTGATCCACTGTGCGGCGGCCGAATCACTCTTATATGTTTTCCATCAATTGCACCCAAGCAATTAGGAAAATTTGTATATGTGAGAAATCCCTCTGCGATTTCTTTCCATTTGATCCCATTAAGCTGTGGAATACATTCAGACTTTAGTTCAATCCATATTATGTAACAAACTTGTCTTACTATTTCGCTAATTGTTGCAATTCCAATCACATAGGAATAGTGTAGATCAGTGAATGTATTACCAGTTGCCAAATATCTGAAAACAAAAACAATATATTAATAATATGATAACATAATATATTAATAATGCTGACATCAGACATAAGACAGCATGCACCGCTCGAATTTTACTTCAGAAGAAAAATAAATACCCTTAAGGTGAAAGGGCACGGAAGTAGCTAGCGCTAGAAGTTTTTAATTCGTTTTAACTACAGTACTATAGCTACGTTAGATTTCTATGATTTGCCGAAAATTTTATCATAGGGGGGTATTTATGCAGTTATGATTTCATATGAAAAGTTCGAAGTATAGTTATGTATCTCATATCTGCTAAAAGTGGCCACTTTTAGCAGATTTGAGACACATAACTATGCTGTAAATATTTTATAAGAAATCTTCTCTGTATAAATTAACCCCTATGGTAAAATTTCCGGCAAATGAAAGGAATCTAATAAATATATATAATATAATATAATGAAATATCGTTTATTTCAGGCAATATTTACATTACAAGATGTCCTCCTTCATGAAGGTTGACAGATGCAAATAAAGCAAATTTTTGTTAAAACAAATTAAAAACTTACAGCGCTAGTGACTTCCGGAAGTTTTCACCTTAATTTTGATGATGGCAAATTTTACTGTAACAAATAAACAAATTGCCCGATTCAATCCGGTGTTTTTCCAAAAATCCTTAAATGAAGTTCTAATTATTTTTGTAAAAAATGAATTATTTCGTCGATGTCTGCGCCGCGCCGCCCCGGCCGCGCCGTCTGCGTCTAGTATAAGATTCACTTTGCGCTATCGTTCGCGGCGAAATTGACCGGCCTGCGCCGGCCCGCCGTTTGCGTTGCGCCTAAGGGTACTTTTCCTTCAACTGCGGCCTTATTTTTCCACTCTGTATAGGTATATATATATTGCTTGATTTATCTAATGCTTCATGAGACAGTGTAAAGTTGACAACATGTGTGAATTAAGGAGGGCCTTTAATCGAATGCAGTTAAATTTCCAACTAATATCAGATTTGTACACACGGCCACAGATCAAGCTTCCCAAAACCAGTATAAACAGGACTCATGCGTTGTTTATTATCGTAGACGACTCGGCGCCCGGCGAGGCCCTAGCAAGTTCCGTTTATTGGTACTGGTTTTGGGTAACTTGATCTGAAACTGTGTGTACTTTTGCCACTTACTTATTATATTTTGTCATTTCAGACAAGAAAATACAACAACGCTGGCGAACAGCAAGGGACACTTACCAGAAAGACAAGATATCTGAAAAAATCAGCCATCCGGCTCTGGGAGTAAGAAGAAGAAGAAGAAATATTCTTACTATGACATTTTGACTTTCTTAGACAGTACAACGGAAACTGCTGGAGAAGAGTCACTCTGTGAAGAAATGTCTGAACAAAGTAATTTAGAAACACCTAATGAGTCCACGCAACCAGATACTTCACGTCAAGAAAGTTCTCACCCAACATCAAAACAAAAACAAGTAAAATCTAAAAAGCAAGCACCATCTGAATTTGAGGCACAGTTATTAGAATGCTTAAAGTCTAATCAACTGGAGCTAGAAAGTGAGGATTTGGCTTTCTTTCAGTCTCTGCAGCCTTCATTAAAAAGATTCACTAGATATCAAAAACTAATGTTCAGAACAAAAGTGTTAAATATAGTTATGGAAATGGAAAGTCAAACACAACCTGCATACTACAGTCCCATACCTACAACAAGTTCTAGTGCTTTTACTGAGCTTGACAGTTTGTCACCGATAAATTGTCACCAAACCAATAGTATAATCCAGGATACTTCGAGTCTTAACGACAATGCTATTAGTTCTGCTGCAGTGAATGACAATGAAACTCTTATTTCGACTGAAAGCGGCCTGTTTAATATCACGTCTTATGACGTAATTTATACCCCAGCAACAACATCATCTACAGGCGAAAGTAATGTCAACGCTCAGGATACAAATTTACAAAGAAATGAATGATGTAAAATTTGATTTTTTAATTTATGAATAAAACTCTTTTTATTAAAATGAGTACGATTAACTTTTTTTCTCCAGTTTCTCTCTAATTGTTTGTTTAGTCATATGAGTGCGGTTGTACACACGGCACAGATCAAGTTACTCAAATCCAGTATAAGCGGGACTCCGACGGGTTACCTAAGTATGATAATACGCAAGGCGCGAGTTCCATTTATGCTGGTTTTGGGTAACTTGATCTGTGGCCATGTGTACTTTATCAGATAAAAAAAAGGATTGTGTATGTAGGTTGAACGTACCAATCCCAAACCAATTAAGGACTTTTTTTGACTTTAAATTACTGTCATGTGCAAACCTATAACTTTTATCTATATTATAATAAGTAGCGTGTGATGAAAGGTAGGAATGATTCCACTTTAATGGCGACATTTTATGAGTGAAATAATCTTATTTAATGAAATTTCAACATGAAATTGAATGAAATTATGAACAATGAAATTTCAGAGTACATGACAAAATTTTTTTTTTGCACATGTAAATTTACACATGACAGTAATTTGAAGTCAAAAAACGTTTATCCTACCTGTTCAAATCCCTTTCCACTAAATCATAGCAGGAAATTAAATATTTAAAATTTAAAACTTACCTTAATGTAATAGCGAGCCTCTCAATCGGTTGTATTGTAATCCTTCGTAAACTGCTTTTTTGTAGCTTATTCTCAATTTTACACAACAGTTCATCAAAAGAACGAATGGACATTCGAAAGTAATTTTTAAATTTACGTTCATTATTTTGTAGTTTTCCAAAGCGTGTAACAAACGCCCCAGCAAGAAGCCTATTTTCAAGAAAGGGATCAACATGTACTCTTGTCTTCTTGTTTCGTCGTTTGTAAAGTATGTAAGCGACACATATTCTTCTGACATTGATCATTTTTGAACACGTCTGTACCGTTACGCAGCCCGTAGAAAACTGAAACTCATGCTGCGTATGATCCGCAGCGTGAAATTTTACGCATGCGGTCCAATCCCGCGTGCGTGAGCAAATCCGCGTGACACTAAAAGCGCCCTTACGGTGCGCGCGCATCGTAAAATTATCTCTCATCAATTTTTCATAACGCGCCTAAAGAAGTATAACTTCAATAAGTAGCACAGTACACACTGTATAGCATATTTAGGATAACATAATATTATAGGATAACATGAGTGGATCCAACACTATAAGATCAATCACGGTTCGCTCCCGTTCTGTTGAAATATTATTTTTCTCGTGAAATATTTATCATAACTAGACTGTATGAACTGTTTTTTTATTTTATTTTAACAGACCAAGATCGGACCGCAAATGAATCAACCATAAGTGTGTTCCTCTTTTCACTGATGATTATTTAAATTACTCATTGATGAGAAAAATAATATAAATGGCAATTTAGCAATAGTCATTAATACTTATATGACTTTTTATAACTAACAAGGTATATACACTTTATAGTCCAGTCATTACGTCGGAAAAATTGGGTTAGAAATGAAAATAAACCGAGAAAGCCAAATTTTGGATATTACGTGGGGGGCCGCTAGAAAAGCTTAAATTGAAACTCGTCAACAAGACGAGTTTTATGACTTTAAAAATATGTGACAATTTTTCCGAATAAAAATGTATTTTTTACATTCATGAATAATGAATATGAAAATTTATTCTTGCAAGTAGGACTATATAAATCACTTTTACAATGTCTTCCTAAACTAGATGAAGTCGACATTTCCTAACTGACTGCCCTGAGAAGAAATGTCGAAACAAACTCGGGGAAAACAAAATTTAATATTAAAATTTATGAAAAAATCAATAAAATAATGTATTATTAATTTATTATTTACTATTTTCATAAGATCTCAGCGGTTAAGTTAAAGCCCTTTATACTCTGAGCTAAGGAATAAAAAATGTAGGTATTGTATATTTATATGAATAAAGTTATTTTTGAGTTTGATTTGATTAATCAAAAAATCTAATAGAAAATTAGCAGCTTACCTTAGGGGACTTAAGCTTAGGTACCTTTGAGGGGTAAATGACCAAATTTCAGACATTGAACTCTTCCTTAACTAACGAACGTAAAATCGAATAGTGAACCGTAAACAGAACTACACGTAAGTGGATTAATATAAGCTTTTTTATATTAGTACAAACATATTCTGTTTTTTCAAGCATCTGTTATTGGTATATATTTAAATAAATACATCGTTTCAATAGTGTTACAAATTGTCATAAGTCAATGTCATATTGACGTATACTAATAAAGTATTCAGTCTGCATTTAAAATTTAACAGCGCTCCGCATAAATATTGGACGCAGTTTAGGTATCCGAAGTCATACATTTATGTAAAGTCCTTTTCTGTATGTGATACTAAATAATTTTAAAGGATGTTTTATTACTGTCATATATTTTACACCAAACAATACTTATAAATATAAATAATATTGGGGTTATTGAACACATTACTGTTCCTCTGAACCGATTCGATGTCGCTCCGAAGCCAATTTCTTTAAGGCGGCCGCATACTGTCGTTGTACGTCCATCAACCTTGAATATTCGGCGTGAAGGGCTGCCTTTTGTTCTTTCTCTGTTTGATACTTGTGTTCGACTTTACGGACGGTTTGGTTAACCCAGTCTACTATTGATTCGAATTGAATCATAAATTCCTCACGTTTTCTTGGTGATGACATTACTCTGGTAATTTGAAAAACAAATGTTTAAAAAAAATGACAATACAAAATTAGATTCTCAAGTTAGGTATTGTTATCCGTTAAAACTGTGTTAAGACTTATAGACCTTAAGTTAGAATTGGTTTTTAATTGTAATAAGTTGAAAATTATAGAGGAAAAGGAATTTATTAGCCACATGCCCCAATAGACGTCAACAATTTATTTTTGTCTTGTTTTTAATTAATATCAGAGTTTTATATAAATTAATACTCACTCTTCATAATTATCCAAAATTGAATTAAGTAGACTCAACTCCTTCGATGTATAAAGTTTCACTTCATAAAGGGTGTTGTAAAAAATATAATGCTGTTTTGTTTCTTTATGTTTTGATGCAACTAAAAACATAATACTTATATGTATTAACAAAATTACGTATACGAAAGAGCTACACCAGTGGTACACAACGTATACGGAATAACTACTACTGCGACATTGGTTATTACTGGATTATACAAACAATACTTTCGAGTTTGAAGACGGCTTATCAACTTAGTGAAACAGTAACAAAATATACGTATATGAACGCAGTAACCTTTCCTGTGGTACTTTATTTGTAGTAAATCTTAATAAGTTTTTTCGATGTTAAACTCAACACACCATTTTTTTTTAATTCCATTAAGAACCCTATGAGGCAAAATTTAAATTACTTTCCAAACACATTAAAGCCCTTACCTTGATTATACAATTCTACGAAACGTTTCTCGTACTGCAGTAACTCAGCCGTTCCAGGTACTTCGTCAATCGCCACAGAATACCTTAAAACTTGACGGTTCAAATGTCCCAACTCCGATTTCGTCTTACTAATAAAGTCTTTTAACTTCTTTTCTCTTTCTTGGAACTCCTTCAGTTCTACTGGAGTTAGAGGCTCTTCTTCTATTATGGCTGTAGGTTCTTGGGCAATACTAAAAAATATTTTATTACTTATTTAAACTGAATAAGCTATGGTACAAATAATGGTAACCATGGTAACAAATACAGCACTAGTCCTCTAAGTCTCCTGATTGACTGATGAAATTGTCATAAATTCACATTTATACATTCTTTAAAAACTTTTCATTATTTTTTTTAATGTTAGCAATACGCAGTTGAATCTGTATCATATACACAATCTTCAAAGGGGGTTTAGTTGATTGCTTTAATTTGCTTTAAATGTAATTTTTAATTTCCATCTATAGTGAGACATTCACAGTAAAACAGGTAATTAATAAAAAAATGTGAACCTTAATTCTTCTTGAAGTTTCTTATGTTCCTGTTCTCTGTGGTGGATGACCTTCAAAAGGTCATTTCTTTCTCTTGCTAGTTCTTTTAGGGATTTGTAAAATTCCTTGGCCTTTTTATCACTGTAATATAGGTAAAACTCAATTCTATTTATTACATTAACTCATACACTTCTCACCCTACGTGTGAGCATAATTTTACATATAATAATATTAATAACATTTAAACAAATTAATAGTATTCAGCAATTTCAATACATCTGTAATATTTGTGCAGAACATCCAATTCTTATAAATCTTCTTCATTAAGATAGAGAAAATATTTTAATCCAATATGTCATTCAGAAAGGAATATAATGATCACTTGGCTAATAACAAGTAGATAATCTTATTATGATTCAAATGGAATCTCATGTGTAATTATGTGGTCTTATCCTACTTATGCTAACTTGAATAACATTTTACAGTTCTGGTTCTGTAATATTCATATCATTGTGATGCTTAAACTACATTCAATCAGTGAGAAAAGAACCTATCAGAAAGAAATTAACAGTAAAGTATATGTAACATATAACACTCTTTTGTCATATAATTTATAATGATTGTATAGTTGGAACGGGAAATGTACTTACGTAAAATCATCTGTTTTTATTAACTTCCGAGTAATTCTTTGTAACTTATTCAGCACTGTGCTATATTGTTTTTTTGCTGTATCCATTTTCTCTTCATGTTCCTTTCTTACATTTTCGACTTCATTTTCCATAGTATCTATAACTTTTGACAGTTGTTCAATATCATTAGAATATTTATTTTTTTCATTTTCTTCTAATTCCTGAGGAAGATCACCAGTTAACTCTGATTGTAAAACTGCATAATGTATTTTAATATCTGAAACATCTTTTTCTATGTTTTCATGTTCTATGTATTTGTCTGTCTGAAATATAAAAAACTGTTAGAATCATAAATAAAGCATGTATCTCAGATAAGAAATCTGAAAAGTTCCATAAATTATGAATTGACAAATCACATAAGCTATTACTATCAAAAATACTTACTTCTGTTGTAATTTCTGAGGGATCAGCAAGTGTTTTTTCATAATCATACTGAAAAACAGGAAGAAAGCATAATTACTTTGTATTTACAATTCAATATATTTATTAAAATATTACTAACCAGTACTTCAAGTCCTTCATCAGGCTGTGAATCAGTTTTGTTATTAGAGATATGCATTAAAATACGCTGGTCATACTCAGATAGCACTGCATTTACCTGCTCTAGATCATTTGTTGGAAGACCTCCTTTTCTTTTACGCACTCTACATGGTTTATAGAGATTCTGAAAGAATGAAAGTAATATATTTACATCTTTATCTAACTAAATAATAAAAAAGAAATAATATTTGCTTAATAACTAACCTGTATCATAATAAGATTTTTTAATATTTTTTCTTGTTGAATATAATGTCTTCTATCTGATTCAAATATATGATCTTTTTCATATTGCATTACTGCAAACATGCGAAGTTCTTCCTCTTTAGCCCCTCTAAATTCACTTGAGTACTTTATAAGCCATTGTACAAGTGGAAAGATATTGATAAAATCTAAACCCTGAATTTGATGAGGTTCAATAATAAAAGGACATTTCATTGTTGGCAATACTTTGACTATCTTCTCGGTGAGGGCTCTGTAAAAATATTATAATAAGATTTAGTTCATACACTAAAACTAATATTAACAATGTAAAAAGCCATTTCTTACATTTTTTTTCCAATAGTCAAGTTCTCTTCAAATAGAAGATTGATGTCAATATCTATATCACATAACTCAATACACCAAGTCAAACCACCAACAATTTTATCAAAAGCTGATAGCCCTTGTAATTGGGCCCTGTAATAGCCGGCAGCAACCAGAGCATCGGATATCTCATGCCATTTAACAAGTTGTTCAGCGTCCTCTCGTACTTCAACCTAGTAAATTTATTTAAATACTACATATTTGGTACATAATGTCTTAATTAAAAGTAAACTAGGCCAACACCATTTATAATTATCTCTTAACACAAAATATAAATATTACCTCTTTTCCTTGATTATCCAATCCACTATAGATATTCATCAGAGGTTTGGACCGAGTGAAAATATGTTTTTGTTTCGTAGCCATGATTGTAATTGTAACTTCTTAACGGTTTTGCTAATTAATTGTAATTAATAGTTTAAATTGGTAGACTATATTTGGTTGTAAAAACATAAATTGGAAAATGCATTTTGCTTGAATAATGTTCCGGCAAACACAAGTGGTTTTTAATGTTTTTTAAATGTCATTCTGTCTTTGTTGAACACTTTATTTTTAATATAATTTAAATTAAGAAAAAACATAAATGATTAACTAGTGAGATTAATATTAATACAGTAAAGAACTTTATATTCGAAAAATCACATATTTTTATAACATACGTTTATTATCGTATTTGTTTTTAACAGATGAAGTATCTGTAAACGTAAATTTAAATTTTCAATAATGTGTATTGTGTAGATTGTAGACAATAGCCGCCCCCCCCAAAAAGTAGACATAGATAATGAACCAACTGTTAACATGTATCACTGTGCGTTTTCCAATTACAACTAGAGCGCATTAGACGGCATATGCTCGATCAACGTTGAATGTTCCATAAACTAAGTTCAAAACATGCTCTCGCGTGCGCATATACCAACACGTAGAAAATTGACCAGTTTTTCTTTAAGTTGGCATTTATCGAAATTTTCGTTAGTAAATATTATTTATCGTCGAAAATCTGTCTTCGTAGATTTTAAAAATATTAAAGTTATTTCAAACTGTTAAAAAAAATATATAAGTATGGATGAGGTATAATTATCATTTTTATATTCCACATTTAAAATATGAATACAATTTTATTTTAAAATTCGGATCCTAAACAAATTTATTTACAGGATTATACTTTTGTAACATTGAATGGTTTTGAAAAAGTTTATAATGTATTTTAGAAATCATAAAAAATTTTCAAAAACCCAAAAATTATTTTAAAAACTTTACATGAAACTAAATATTTACTGTTTATTTAGCTTGTTAAAACCCTAATTCTTTAAAGGTTTCTCTATTTCGGTAAAAAATGTTAATGAAATAATTTGATTATTAAAAAGCGTAAAAGTTTTCAACCAATTATTATTGTTTACCACATTATTTATACATTATGAGGTTGCATGAAGTTGCTAACTCTATTCAGACCATTTTTTTGTCCACACTGACTTAGCGCACTCTCTGATGCATTTGAAAACTAACTCACGTTCCAATTAAGCTTCAGATTATGCGGCATTGTGCGGCACTGAGTCCGCATAATGCTCTGTTAAATGGAAAATGGCCCAAACTGAATCTGAAGATTTTGGGTACAGACTACAGAGAATATAACTATTAGTCAAGACGTGTATCCGTGAATGTTGTTTGGTACAAGTACATAAATAACCTACAGCACAAACCTCTTATAACATTAATAGAAAGACAGGTTAAATTGTCTCTTTCAAGGCAATCGATCAGGCAATCGAACTATAGAAATAAACATACAAATCGATATTTGACGCGTAGATAGAGTATAGAACCATAGTCCGTCTACGATTTGACGCTATGACCAATCCAATATTGAGATTCTTAATAAGTAGACGTAAATTTGACTACTGACATTATTACTCTTGTCTCTTGTTGCTGACTATATTCTATGGTCTTTCATTAAATACGCAAATGTACAATATTAGTTAATACTTAATATTGATCTGAGCGCTAATTTGTTGCAAACTGCTAATGTTAGCGAAGTGTCTGTAAGTCTGTTTATAGATTAATTTAATTCCAAAAGGAACGCATTAAAGGAAGGTACTCTAACATATTCCTGGCAAATAATTTATTACATGTGAAAATTTTACGGATAATTTGTCAGTTTCAACTCTTCTGACAAAAATATTGAAGCGAAATGAACATCACTAAATTTCCTAGGCTATTTTGCTGTAAGTAACATCTAATTTTTAATAAAATATGTTGTATTTCTAGCAGTGATGCCAATATGGGGGTTTTCTCCCAAGTTTTGGGGGAATCAAGATTTCTAGGGGTTTATTTAGAGGGTACGTTTATTTAGGGGGATTTTAGAGTTTTCTTTTTTTTTTAAACCGCACGATTCAAAACTAAACCAAACATAAACTGCAAGCGTGGCTTTAACTGAAATATTAAAAAGCCATAATACTCCCAAGATAAAAATAGCACCTACTGAATACTACTTGAATGTATATTTGAAATCACCTCTTAATACTAGTGTACAAAATAATTATATAAGGGGTTTGTGAATTTTGAAGTTGGTCCTAGGGGGAACATTCTGTAGGAGTTGGCATCACTGATTTATAGTAGACAGTGCATTCCTATTCTTGTTCTTGCTTTAATGCTTCAGGTTTGTAATGTTTGTTGTGTTTTTATACATTTATACTATAATGCCTTATTGTATTTTTCAACTTTCAGTTTAATTTTATATACCATTGTTAATTACTAAAGGCTGTTTATGAAATACTGAAGTGAATTCTATTCCAGAGTCCTATCAAATTATCAAACTAGAGGTAGAAACATCTTTTTAGAATAATTTTTGAAAACTTTATTACCTTTAAAATGGATCAAAATATGGATATTGTGAATCTTATATCATCACTGTTAGATGAAGGAAAATATAAAGAAGTTCTAACTGTACCTAAAGAAGAAAAGTTTTTTAACAATTTTAGAGATAATTGTTGGGACCTCATATCCATTGTAGTCAGCAAAATTCAAAACGATACAATCACATTAAAGCCTTCCTTATATGGTACTTGTGAGCAGCTTCTTTCACTAATTATCGAAAGTGGACATCATGAGGAAGCATTGTTGGAATTTATTGAACAGATTGAAGTTGCCAAAAATGATGCACAATTTAGTATAATTTTAAATCCATTACAACAGCTACTAATAAAATTATATAAAAAAAGAGGAAGGACATTAGAATGTTGCTTGAACTCGATTAGTACTTACATAGAAGCTATTCCAATACCAGACCTTAATTTAGAAGGAAAAGAAAGATTGTTAATGGATAGTGATCCTAATGTAAGGAGGATAATTAATGTTTACTCACTTTTGCCTCCATTTTACCAGCCTTTTATTAAAGAATTAAAAACTGACTATAATGAAAACACTGGTCATATAATAGCATCTTTTCTCATAAGCCTGCTTGGGAAACCATTTGTATATATTGATTTAGATCCTGAATATAATTACAATGGACAGTTTCGACAATGCTGTTCCACTATTACAGAAGATATTTGCTTTCTTTTAAAAAATATTTTTAAACTATTTCCTTATTTAGAAGACTGTTATAAAGAAAGCCAGAAATATCAGGGCAAAACAAGAGAATCTATTAACAATGATTTTGAGGATCCATTTAAACATAAGGAAAAAATTAATTTAACAACTTTGTCTGGATTGTACTATATAATATTCTCAGAAGATTTTGTAGTACCAGATTTTGCAGTACCTCATATTTACTCAAATCAATATATAACACATATCATTCTAATAAGTGTTGTACACTTACTAACTTTTGTTGAATACAGCCCTCAAACAAAAGCACTATCACTTGGTACCAGTATTCTGAAGAGATTTCCAGACAATGCATCACACTCTCTGCTAACTGTGCCTATTCATTTTAAATTATGTAAAATATTAATAAATGTCTCTGTATATTCTAATTACGATGGTAACCGGAAACAAGCTGTAAAATTGATAGAAATGTATGTTAATAAATTTAACTACAGGGGTAGAATTTCAATTTTAAAATATATTATTGACAATGCCAACCATTCTGGTATGATTGGATATGCTATAACTTTGTATAAAAATTCATTAGATCAGGCTCTAAAAATATTTGATTTACCAGAATGTTTTACGGGTGCACAATTGCACTCTATGATTAAGAAAATTTGCTATCTCCCATATGGTGAAGAGTCAGATTTGGTTGAATTAGCTGATCAAATCATTAGTGCATTGAATTTTTTGAGATATATTGCTTTAAAAGATATGGAAAACAAAACGGGAATAAGGGAATGTTTCACTTTTATAGAAGCAGACTATTTACATAAATTACGTACTGGTCTTAATATGTCTAAAGCACATTATGAAGCCAAATTGAAAGAAATTAATGATTGTAAGAAAGTTCAGAATAAAAATGTTGAAGTTCAAATTAACATTGCAGGAACAATGCTTGATAAAATTCCTACAAAGAACAAAAAAGATATCATAAATTCTGCATTGAATGCTTTCCATTTGATAGAAGGTCTTGTTGGGCGTTTAACTGAATGTATTACCTTAAATAAAGCACAAAATAATACTCAAAAATAAAAATTATTACTGGATGTAACATTAATAAATACCTATAATTTTTAAAGCTTGTTTTATTATTTACCATACTATTATTATTAGATAAGTTATTTATTAGCAATTTTTAAATGATGTTCATATTTTGTCAACAGCTATAAGAAATGGTCATAGATGTTTAAAGCAGCATATTGTATTAGCACCAATTATTGGGACACCAAATAATTTAAGGCACTATTGTCAGATTGCTGAAAAAAAAGATAAGGTCATTCCAATAACAAGAACAAATAATGAAGAACATCAATATGAAGATGACATTAAAAACAAAATACTAGCTAAATCATTAGAATTTGTTCCAAAATCTGGATGGTCTGTCGAGGCTTTGGCAGCTGGAGCAGAAGCCGTGGGATACCCAGGCATCACACATGGCTTATTTCCAAATGGAGGAGGAGATCTTGTACATTATTTTAATGTCAAATGTAATGATGAACTAGTTCAGCAAATGAAGACAGTAAGTATTTCACAGTAACAAAGTTCTATTTGTCTTATACTATAAGAAAGAATTGTCACTGTTAAAAAATAACAATTTCAGTGGTCCAAAGATGATATAAAGGAGTCTAAAATACCAGTTCAGAAAGTGGAAAATGCCATAATGATACGACTATCAATGATAGATCCTTACAAGTAATGTATAAAATCTGTTTTTAAATACATTTTTTTAAATTATTTTACATTTTTTTAAATTATTTTACATTTTTTATTTATTTTATAGGAATACATGGCCCAAAGCAATGGCTATACAAACACTACCAAATAATGTTCCAAATTGCTTAGCAACATTGCTCTCATTAGTAGATGATATTTGTTATCATACAGGAGATCGTAGTGTAGATGTAAGTTACCATCTTTTTTATTTACTCAACTAATGAATTGAGTTGGATTACATGATAAAGCTATAAATATGACTATATATTTATTTCAGTTTAACTGGTATATACGCAGAGTGGGTTTGGCTGGCATATACAAGGCTTCTGAACTTTTCTATCTTACTGATAAAAGTGAAGAAAATAATTCCACAAGAACTTTTGTTAAATCTAGAATAAGAGATGCAGAATTAATTCAAACTGCACTTAACATGAATCCTGTTACAGTGGCACCTCAATCATTAACAGCTGCTTTTGTAACGGTGAGAATTATTTATAAATATTAATTGTGAAAATTCATAAATTATAAGATACAAACCCTAAATAAAAAACAGTAAATTTAAATAACAGTATAATGATAAAGAAATATAGTATAAAATCTTGTAATTTTATTATGTAACAATCATACATGAACACATTTTTCATAGATTTATTTTTACAGGCTAAAAACATGCTGGGCATCAACACACTTAAGTGAATGAATACTTACTGCAAATAACGCCTCTCTATAAAATTACTAGATAAATGACAGTATTTTAATTTTCAATTTATTAAACTATGTTGCTTAAATAAAAGTATTTTTGTTGTTAACTTAATGGTTTTATGCTTTAGTTTGGTAAACAGAAAGTAAATGGTAGTTTGTTATTGATCAAATATGAGATTTTACAAAGCTAATAAAGAAATATAAATTAATTTAATGTTGCAATTATTTTTTTTTATAGATGAAAATATTTGTTTTATTTTTAGGAAACCTTGCGTTCTTAACTCATTTATTTGTGTACACCATAATATAAAGAAGAAAATTACATGGCTTTACAATTTAACATAGTCAAGCAAAACAACCACATGTTATTTTTACTGCTCTCTCCAAAATATGTGTCTATTAATATTATACTTTTAAATTTGTCAGTTTTATATCTTGGATTAAATATATAACATGCCTTGTGTATTCCCAGTGTTGTAAAACTTTAACACAATTATTTTATATATTTAAGAAATAAGGCACACTATTGAGTTACAAAGTTATGTTGGTGCAATATAATCACTACCAAGAGAGACATATGTAATAAGATTAGGTGGTAAAGGTAAATTGTCCCATAACTGTTCTGAAACAGTTTGACGTATTACAAATCTGCAAATTTTTTGTAGAGAATCTAATTTGGCAAACCTGAAATCAAGATAAATGTATATATATCATAATCAAATAATGAAAGGTCATTTAAAGATTACTTTAGATGTCTTACCTGTTTAATGGTCTAGCTAATTTTACTGGCATTTCAAATAGATTTGATTTAACATCTACAGTTGCACAATGTTCTGATATTCTGTTTGCTGGTACAAATGTCTCATTATTTAGGGAAAAGAGACCATCTGCATGGCGTAGACGAGCATGTAAAGTCCGTCCCACACATCGAAAAGACACACAAAGTATGTGGCGTGAGTCATAAGAGTCCCTTACTAGAAAAACATTATCATGCTGGCCTGCAAGGAGCACCTCAGCTTCACTAGATGTGATTCCACCCCAATACCAACCATGCCTGCAAGCCATCAATTAGTTACATTAATAGCTAGCTTAAACCCTTACTTAGCTTACTAAGTAACTTTATTGCATTATAAAATTTACATTTATTTAAATAACAACTGCTTTCTTTTTTGTCTAGACACCATTATATAAAATATACTTAGATAATACATACTTTGATAATTGGCAATAAATAGCACAGCTTTCGAGTGAAATGTGCTGATGATGTCCCCTTAAAACTGAGTGGTCATCTGAATGTTGACATTTGATCATTTGTTTGTGTAGATCAATATCTCTTTTTATTTCGGGTTTAGCAGCAAACATAAGTCGCTCACTAGATGAAGAGGTTTCAACAGGTTTGCACAAGTACTCGTTGGCATTATTTTTGTTTCCAAAATACCTCTGCAAAGACCTAACACTACCAGTAATGAAAAGTTTGTTCTTCCAAAATTTTACAAACTTATTAGTCTTCACTGGACTCGTCCTCTCAGATAAAAACACACATCTAACTATGTCAGTCTCATTTAAATCTCTTTTGCTTTCAATTGTTCTTTGTAGATGTTTACATTCCATTGGTTTTAACCATTTACGAAGACAACCTGTTGTAAGCCATTTACGTCTATTGCAATGTGTACACCGTTCGTAATTTTTATTCATTTTTACGATATATACGAATTATTAATGACCTATGAAATAAATCGCAATTCAAAATCAAAACAAGTTATAAGACCTATATATCCGTAATAATTATTGACGATGCAACTAGCAATTGCGTTGGTTAATGGTTTCTGTGGTTCAGCAGCTGTATTGTAAATTGTAATCTACAAATTAGAAATCTGTATTTCGATTTTCGATTGACGTTTCGAATTCCCACAGAACAATATTTAATATAAAAATATCAATACAGATTATATCTAAATTTAATCTCTTTGTACTCCGTACTAGATTTTTTACTTTGAAATATATTTGCGGATTATTTATAGTTTATACAATATGGGTATTACATGAAACTGTTTATCAGTAACGGTGTAACAGAAAATTAATAGACAAAGTCTACTGACGAATGATATTTTGTTTAAATATCTATATTCTCATGTCTATGGTGTCGAGTATTATAAAATTATAATCCAACTCTGTGTTCTGTGAGTCTATAGGTGGTGTCATGTGTATTAAGGATACTGATAAATACAACTAAATTATAAATAACATAATTTTTTATTATTCTTGTAATATTTTTATTTGACAAAATGATACTATACCCAAATAAACGATTCTATAACAAAAAAAATTAATGGTTGTTATTAAAATAATTTACTAATTTGAAGTGATGACATTGAAGAAGATCACCAAAATGACAACAAAATTACAAATATCCTCAGAATTAAACGGTATTTACTTTTTTCCTGTTTATCAAGCTAAAATACGAAATAAATAATTTAGTACTAAACATTTATTAGTAACTTATCTTTTCTATGTAAAACAAATTTACGTCTTTTATTACAGACAGCATCAGTAATGTTTTAGGGAAAAATGTGAAAATACTTTATAAATCTTTGATTCGCATGGAATCTCGAGGAGACAAAGTTGATAACAGAGTTTTGGTAAGTGGTAAATTAATCACAGTTTCCATATTGAATGAATTGAATATGTATCCATTCGTAAACACGTCAAAAATAAATGTTACTAAAAAAGTTTTCGTAAAATTCTTTGTTTACTTTTTTAAGTACAGGACATTGTACATAATGATATTTTAGTTGACATGTTTATTTCTAGAGATTGTTATGGGATAAAATAATATTATCTCTTAATATCTGGCTACAATGAATTTTTTTTTCACTAAGTATATAATATTATTAAAGAAGGTCAAAGAGGTGACGCTGTGTTACTATAAGTTAATAAGATAGCCAAATGGGGAGTGGACAGTTTAGATCAATTAAAGTGATGAAGTCCAATTGCTGTAACAGATTATTTTATTATGTTCAACAATAGTTGTGTGACTCACTGAGGTGTGCCTTGTGGTTCATATCAATATATTCTTGATAGTGTTATAATTTTTTTGAGTTAAGGAATGACAAATACAGTCATATAGGATGGATGGATTGATATTAAAATTAAGTTAAGCCTCTTTGGTTTATCAAGGTGCAAATAACCCTCTAGACTGGGTTTGACCACTTATTTGATTATAAAGAAACATGAGTAAAAGTAGCACAGAAATATCAACTATAGCATAATATCTACTATATGGACTTTATTAACCATGATTGATTGTGTTTTCTAAATTTAACCAATATTTCAGGTGGTCACATCATATAGAGTTTTTATAACTACAACAAAAGTTCCAACTAGAGTGAGTACAAAATATACATATATATATATATATATTATATAACTCACATAGAATTTCTTTAATTTTTTTATAATGTAATTTAGATTGACAATGGATTTCACTTGATGGAAATAGAGGCCTTGGAGAGCAAAAAGGCAAATCACTTATCAATAACGCTTATTCATGAGCATAAGCCTGTATCTATTCTTATTGGTGAGTGAGTAATGATTATTGTAATTGTTTCTATTGTTTGTTAATCATGCTACAGCCGTAACATTAACATTATTTCATTTCTCTTGTGTATTTATGATTTTTTTTGTACTTTGTGTATGACTGGATATTTTACCACTGCTTTTATCATTCTAATTAACCTCAACATACTTTAAGTTTAGAGAGCAGTGTTGGCATAGTGGCTTCAGCGTGCGACTCTCATTCCTGAGGTCGTAGGTTCGATCCCCGGCTGTGCACCAATGAACTTTCTTTCCTTGTGCGCATTTAACATTCGCTCGAACGGTGAAGGTAAACATCGTGAGGAAACCGTCTTGTCTTAGACCCAAAAAGTCTACGGCGTGCGTCAGGCACAGGAGGCGGATCACCTACTTGCCTATTAAATTAACAAATGATCATCAAACAGATATAGAAATCTGAGGCCCAGACCTATAAAGGTTGTAGCGCCATTAATTAATTTATTTTTTACTTTAAGTTTAGAATACTTGGTGAACAATTTTTTTTTAATGGAAAATAAGCAGTTTCGCTTTAACACATAATACATATTCTCTTGTAACATATATTTTCTTTAAACATTACTTCAACAGATAATAATAATAATAACAATATAATAGCCTATAAATTCCGAAACTCTGTAATTTTATATTTATACGAACTTATATGTTCTCACTCCAGTATATCACGGAGTTCGGTGTGCCTCTTGGCAAAGGCCTCCTCTAACGCTTTCCACTGTTCTCTATCTTTTGCGACTCTTCTCCACTGTAGTACTTAAACAGATGTAACAATAAAATGATTATCGTATTGTATATTGCAATGTTAGCCTCATCGCGCGACTCTCTCCGAGATTGTGTGATCGGACCTCGCATGGAAACTGATTTGTTTTTATAAATGGTAATTAATACTTACTGATACGGTGAAAGGTTACATAATTCGAGGTACATCTGAGGCCAAGAGCCAGGGTTGTGCCATTTTGTTTTTCAATATGACTGACATATTATATTATTGACATAACGTAAGTGATGATCTAATACAAATATGTAGTGCTTACTCTGGAAGTCCTGGGTTCGATTCCCGCGCCGCAAAATATATTTCGAATTTTTAAACAAAGAGACTCATTTGCCTTATACAGAAACCACAAAAAATTGTCTGTGAATGTTGGGACTGACGGGACTTAAACTGTATATGTATAGTGTGGAACTATAAAAAATGAAAGTATCGACTACTCTATTATGCTTTCAGGTGAGGAAGGCTCGCCCGATGGTGTTATAAATGCAATACACGCACTCACAGCGGCGTTTGACGACTTATTTCCAAATGTGGCAATGGAAGACATTATATCCAAGGTCTATTAAGTCACTTTCACTTTATATATTTGTATTTCCATATTATGTTCGTTATTTGTATCTCTTAACTTGATATAAATATGAAATTACAATAAATATAAAAAATAGATAAATTGCAATTTCACGGTAAAAAAAAACTTTACAAGTTGTTGGGAAGCAACTTTTTATTTAGTAAGTTTTTGTGTCTAATCGAAAATACATTCAATTTTGTAGCAATTGTCTCTACATGTTATCTCTATAACATGAGATTTACGGTAACTGTTCTTGTTTTTCACCAAATACTTTTTGTAACATATTCACTAGAAACAATGGAGCTAAAGTTTGATTAGCTCAATTAGCCAGTTAATCAGTCAATTAAATTTGCCATATGCGGAGATAATTGTGTTTAAAATAGCCAACAAGTTTAAAATATATTTCCCTCGACGTGACAAGAGTAAAACTGGTGACTCATAGAAAATAATGCGATTTGTAATAATGACACAGTATATTGGTGTTAATGCTAATATTCTAAAGTGATTTTACTGGTGAATAACCTGGTTGTAAGTATGAAATGCACACCTTCAATTCCAACTGTTTTTTTATTTATTTTATCCTTTCCGGAATCAGCATAATAAATTATACTTCGGTAGTATTTACGTATATATGAAGCTCACTAAAATGTTAAAGTTTATTAAAAATCAGTGCAGTAAGTTCGAGTGCATGATTTTATAATTGGAGGGGAAGTACCTAATCAATAGAACTAATTTCACTCAAAGGAAACATTCCTTTATTTTTGTACTGCATTAAAACATTTCTGAAAATACTCTTGTCACATTCAAGAGCCGAACCGTCCTAAATCCGAAAAGACCCTATACTCTATCTCTAGCAGTCAAGTACATTGGAAAAAACTCTATATCGGTCTTGATAGTCTCTTCTCAGTATACAACAATCCCACGTAAATGTAAAAACATTCTTTTCTTCTTCTTCTTCCTTAGTGTATGCTTACTCTATTTTGCTTTCCAATTCTGGACCTTGTTAGATTGATTAGTTTACAAGGCAAATCACGTACTACGTGCTAGTAGCTAAGTAGAAGGATAAATCATCATAGTAATCTCAGCCTATGACTCATGAAAAGCCATGCTTTAGAATTTAGATACTATGTTCACTATCTTGGCAAATTTTAGACATCTTAATTTTTTGCACAGGTTAATTTGCCATTTCCGTTGCAACCGGTGAGTGGTACTCGGAAACATTCCACTTGTGGTGACTTTTCTAATCAATACGCAGCCATGTGTGACCTATGCCAGACACCTTTTAGGTATTGTAAATATATATAGTATTTACATAAATTAACTTTATGGAATTATCATTGAATCAAATAATGCTTTTCACGTGATAACATTAACAGCTTAAATGTACAAGATTTTATAAGCCGATTTTTAGAGAGATTGAACCCTTTTTACGTATTTTGATTTATTATTTTGATATTCTTCGATTTTACTAGCCGGTACACGAATATATTGAAATAAAAAGTATTGTAGTTTTAAAAAAAAAATTTTAAACCATTCAGAAGTTAGAGGATTTTATTTGTGTATTTTTCCATAGAGCCGAAGTCGCATGGGATATAGATACGATATATTTGGCACACGACATACGATTGTTACATCTGAAAGATTTCGATCATTTAGACCAAAGGTACGGAATTTTTAATCATATTACTATCTGACTAGCTTTGTTTTCCTTTAAATCCAAGCGCAACAACAATTACATTATTTTTAAATTGATTAAAAACATTATATGTATAACCAAAACCTACGAATTACCGACAAAATCACCGACTTTTTTTTAAACAGGTTATTAAAAAAATATATAAAATATTTAGATACAGAATAATCAATCCCAATAAAATCAATTCTTTAAGTGAATCACTTAGAATTGAGACATCTTCCTTATGTATAAGGTGTTATTCGAAAAATTGCAGAGATTTAATACCACTACTAATAGCGTTGCAACACAACACATGGTTTACTGGAGTGTGTGGGGATGGTGTAAGGGTGGGGAGCGAGACGTGGGAGGCCTTATCCCGTGTCTTGAGATGTGCAGCGCCCCCACCCCAGCAGCTTAGCTGGAGGGGCGCCACGTTAAGGCACGATCATGCAGCACGGCTGGGGCACGCCCTAGCGAGGGCTAAGACGCCCCCCGCTATGCATACGATTGACCTGTCGCAGAATCATATTGAAGATAAAGGTATGTTTAACGGTAATTATAAAAATGCGAAATAACATACAGCGTAAACTCTATATTACGACACTGAAGGGACTGTGCATTTTATGGCGTTATAGAGAGCAGTCGTTAAATGGAGGGAAGAAAAATCAGAATTAGAAAAAGAAATTTTTTATTTCAAACTAGTTCGTATGCATGATGCTGACAATCGAGTTTATTGCGGGCTAGTATAATAAAGCGACTAAAGAACGTAGCTGCGCAGTTTTTACTAATTTTAGCAACTAAAAAAGTACTTTATTACCCAATTGTTGTTGTTATTGAGAGAGGGTGTACTGCTATGTAGAGTGTACCAGTGTATGGAAGACAAGCTAAACCAACCAACGCCAGTTGATTTCGACACTTTAGGGAGTCGTCGTTAAGTCGGATGACGTTACATGGAGTTTACACTGTATTAATATACGGCCATGCAACGTGGACTTAAAAGATAGTGCTGTTGGCATGGCTACGACTTTTATTGCCATGTGATATGAGAACTGGCTGTAACTGTAAATTTAGAAACATTTTTTTACCGACGTTCATAAGTAGGTACATGAATATATAATATTTTAATTTGCGTGCAATAATAGTTTTCATGGGAACGTGCAGTTACGTTTATTTTGAAAATATGTAAAAGTTTTTCAAAGGAATACGTGTTTTTGTATTTTGTACGCCCTTAATTTTATATAAAATGTGATTTATATATAACTACCGATAACTGTGGTACAGATTGGTTTTTAAAAATTATAATGGACAGAAGTTTCATATTATCTATAATTATTTGACATAAGTTACCAAATACGTGCATTATTATGATGATCCTTGTGCATAGACTAACAGTCAACTACGACTTCTATAGACAACAAAAGATGTGTTTGATTTTCAGGTGCAATAAGTGTTTTAACAGGACTAGCGAACAATCCAGACGGGATACGTCACATAGCATTATCCCAATGCGGTGTCACGGGCAAGAGCGTTGCCCATCTTGCTCAACTGCTCAATGACAACCCTTGCCATCTGAATACGCTGTCTCATCTTGATCTCTCCCATAACAACCTTAAAGATGATGTTCATGTAAGTACCAATTTTAAAATAATTACATTCTTCCCTAAGTTAGCATGTTGACGGTGTTTAAAGTAAAACAAATCTCTAATTCTAACAGAGGCCAAGGCAATAAGCAAATTTAATAAAAATTATGAAATTTGGAGTACTCTTAAAGTTGGAACATATAACATACAAACAGTACTATATTATACTAAAATATTATTTTATTACAACAATAAATATAATATATATATATAATAGTCAAAATTATATCATGTTTGAAAGTCGCTGAACACTAATATTTTTCCAGCATCTCTACAACTTCTTGGCTCAACCAAACGTATTGACACATTTGAACTTAGTCAATACGGAAACCACTCTAGAAAATGTAAGTATTTAGTATTGTTCAATGTGGTAAAGTTGATAATATTAATTTATTTTAATAAATTACAGAATAGCGAGTGTCAATAAATTTTATCTAATCTCTGATACTATTTTAGCATTATCATCGTAATAATAATGATTAAAGTATTGTAACTATACGCATATTAAAAATGTTGGTTACAATTTGAGAATTTAAAATAATACATAATAAAGCACGTTACAATTTTAAATAACGTAGTGCAATTATTAACGTGCATGTTAATAAGCAACGTTTTCTAAAAAACTCCGAAAAGGAATATGCGAATACTGCAAAATTACTAGTAAAAAGTATTTCAAATATTTAAAAAATATATTATCTATCGAATTGACATTTATCTGTACTGATACTTATGTTGGAACACTTCATGATGTGTTAACAACTCGAAATTACAATTATATCACGATGTTATTTATCGATAGTAAAAATAATTTATCGAAATAAATAAATAATTCTGGGATATTTTGTCCTGTTTTTATTTTATTTATAGTTATTTTGTATAATCCCCCAGCCTTCCAGGGATAGACTCACTACTTTATCTGTTTCATTGACGGACATGCTGATCATCCGCCTTCTCTGCCTATCAACCTAAAAATATATTGTTTCTATAAGATTCGAAACCACGATACGACTACTAAGCTAATTAAAAATATATAACCTTTGGTCATAACTAAAATTAATACATTAATTCCAGATGTGGGGTGCTCTATTGCGCGGTTGCGCGGCGAGGCTTTCATCCTTGTACGTAGGGCGAAATCCCTGGGCGGCGGGGCGAAGGCCCAGAGACCCGCCGCCTTCTTTTAGACAATTTTTCACAGCTTGTCTCGCTTTGACGGATCTCGATTTTTCATATTGCAAAATGCCTCCCGATGCTTTGAAGTAAGTACATCTCTACTTACTATATATTTGAATCTGTATTTATGTGTAGAATTATCAGGCTTTTTTTTTGGTAGTTTATACTATTTAAAGAAAACACTTTTACCGGATTGAAGTTATGTATTTTTATAAACTTATTTTACATAATTAAACATTTTTACCGACGTGTCGCGTGCTTTACAGCGTGCGTGGCCGCGGTGACTAGTACGGTAACATTTTTAAATATGTAAAATAATTATAAGTTTATAATAATACACAACTTCAATCCGGTAAAAAAGTGTTTTCTTTAAATGTGTAAAAGTTATGTTAATAAAAGACAATACTAGTTTATACCATACTTAATGAAATTGTTGATGCTATTCCACTTAAGGCACCAGAAAAATACAGCGCACAATTACATTTAATGCTTTACATGTTAGACTCAAGTGTGTCCTTTTAACGGCAGTACAATTTTTATATATATTTTACGTCCCTGGCATATGAGAGGATTCACTCCGCGGCCCTCACAACCCATCAGAGGCTAAAAACAAATAACGGTGCACCCCTGGTAATCCGTTATACGTTTTACATTCTTACGGGGTATTGAATTTGACGGTTTATACATATATTGTTTTAAGGGTACTTATCGGACAACTTACAATAATTCATATTTGAGCCAAAATAGTGTTTGCGTGCGGATTTGCCAGAGTTCAAGTTTCCGAAACGTCTAACATTTTTTTTTCAGGAGCCTCTTATTAGGCCTCGCATGCAACGAAAGCGCAGCGGGCGTAAAACTAAATGTGTCTGGCGCACTCGCGTCGTCACAAGCCGCGCACGTACTTGAGTCGTGTATACACGGCGTACGGTGTCTTCGTTCGCTTGACCTGTCTGATAATAGTTAGTATAATTTTTGAGTGTAGAATTTGTGTCATACGTCGTCGGTGTACGAGTAGCAAATGTAATCATTTTGCGTGATTAGTAAACATCTAAACATAACGGATCTGGTTCTCTCGATGGCCAACGAAAGGAAGGTCTTGCAATGTGCTATGGTAATGATTTAAAAAAATTGGAAGTTTTAACACCCCTTAATAAAGTCTCCTATAACTGAAACATTTAATTGTACTTACCTGGCAATGCAGAACGAGATTAGTATACCGTAATAATATAATTAATTAGAAAACTTTTGTAATTTTCCTTTTTTTTTAAGTGAAACTTCTTTATCGGCGTTAAAATTTTTTTCTCTAAAATATATAATAACGATAACAATGATAGTAATAATTCTATTACAATTAATGAAATTCTGTAATAATCTAGTAGTTAAATTAGTTAAACTTTATCTAATTTAACTTTATTTAACCAATTTCTGTAAAGTTGCATATCACCATTATTCTTTAGATAATTTTTCGAAAAATAAGGTCATAAAGAAGTTTTACTTCTTACGTGTGTACACTAGTACACGCACACATTTTTTTTTTAATTCAGGCCAGGTGCCGATTAGCTACATATAAAATAAGGATAAAAATTATTTTAAGGAAATAATTTGGTAAATGAATTTGTGTTCTAGGTATGGAGTTTGAACTATCAGGCATAGTGAGAGCTATTGGCAAAAATCATTCCATAACACATTTATCATTAAGTAAGCTTACGGGAAAACGGTCGTACGCGCCACCTCTAATACAGGTAATTATTTTTTTAATGTTATACATAAACGTCTACATAATATCAAATATAAACGAAAATCAGAAGAAGTTTTAATTTCGGGATTACAAAAAACCTTCAACGCTTGGGTTAATAATATTCAAAATACCAGCTTTCGATGGTATAATAAGTAAAAATTACGGTAGTATAGAGTGCTTTCAAAAATTTACGGTTCGTAGCAACAACGAGTGGTTATTATTTTGTAAAAAGCTTGAGCGCTTTCTATTTCATATATTTTTTTCAGGCTTTAGTACACGTTCTACAGGAACCGGACACAGCTTTAACATCCTTAGATCTCAGTGATTGTAAACTTAAGGTGAGTGAACGTACAAAACAATTATTTTTACACAAAAATTAAATAAACATAAACTTAGTCGTTAATTATAAAATTACAGGATTTATCCAAATGAATTTATAAGTTTCAGGGATCACTTAACACTTTTAAAGGTACTTTTGGTAACAATTGCTACCTATAGTTAATGTATATGCACTTTCATAATACTTCAATTAAATTAAATTAATTCTAATCTTTGGACCTTGATCTTTTGATTTACCCATAATTAATTTATTGTAATATTCATTCAATACACATAAAATGCATTGAATGACAAACTAACAAAAATATATTCATGTACTTATAAGAAAATTAAAAGGCCTTTATTCGGCTACTATAATTTAATAGACAAGTTTATGTTGTAACTAGTACTCGACCTCCGCTTCTTCGGAAGAAGGCTTGCTTTAAATTCCTCCACTTGTCTCTCAGCATCGCTATTTTCCAATCTTTCCCCGCTATCTTTTTTAATTCATCTTCCCAGGTTTCTGGTGGGCGTTGTCGCGTTTATCTGCCCACGTACATAGTTATATACAAAGCAATAAATAAGGATAGTAATTATTTCTTAGTAAATTTTACAGTTACAATTTATCACAGACACAGATACTTGCAACACGCTTTTGGTGCCTCTTCCTTCCTAAATATGTAGTGTCTAGAATTATTTATTTTTTTATAAAAAAAAGGGTGTGTGTACTTATGTACGCGCGTAAGAAGTTATATTCTTTGGCATTATTACAAATAGTTTTTAATTGCATGCAAATAATTAATTACAATTAAATAATCAAAGACTGGAATAGGAGTCATTATAGTCAATAAAGTTCAGTTTACATTTGAAAAATTAAATAAATAAATATTTATCATTATTCTCTTACATTAAGTGTAACATAAATTATATTATTATTCGAATGTTGTTTTTAAATTAGGTCCAATGCCGTAGCATCTTCCGTGGGCAACTTCATTCTGTTAATTTTGTGTCACGGTGCGCGCGCATCGTAAAATTTCACTCTCATCAATTTTTCATAACGCGCCTAAAGAAGTATAACTTCAATAATGTCTAGAATATTGGGTATTAATTATTTCAGGGGGATTTATATGGACTTCTGAATGCTTTGGGCGGGGCTAGACGACTTCGTACGTTAGACGTTTGTGGAAACTTAGCTGGCGACGCGGGAGCTAGGCTATTGGCCAAAGCTCTGCAGTGCAATTGTACGCTACACACGCTGTATATAGATAGAAACGCGTTTAGTTTACAGGGTAAGTATTGTCTTTTTAATTTGGACCATTTATAAAGCACTCTTAATGGTACAGGCTATGACTATGTATAGAATATGGTTCATGACTTATTTTCCTATATCCCAAGCCCATCTTGGAGACCAAAACTCACAATCTTATTGTACCTAAGTTTAGAACCAATAACGGTAAAAAAACATTGAGCGTTGGGAGAGTGCTGCGGTATAATAGACTTCCACAAAATATAAAAAGCGCAGACAGCCTGGCAATATTTAAATTTACACTAAAAGACCATCTCTTGAGTGATCCCAGTTACCTGCGTAAATGAAAGTCCACCCAAGTTCTACTTCGCTAATTGATCCTTGAAGCTCTTCAATGACCCAGGACGTGATAAATTGTATCTTTAGTATATAAGTTCTCATGTAAGTGACTCTTGTCTGTTATGAGAATAAATGTCTTTAAAACTAAACCTAAAATGCTTCGCCATCGTGTTCTTCCTGGATGTATTAATTTGTGTATCAATAATGGATTTTTTCTAGTTAATTAATATTCTATATTTCTAGGTATTAGGCGTTATCATTTTATTGATATTTTCATAAACGTCTCGTATAAAAATGACTTGGTAAACATATTTTAAGAAAACTGTGTCCTAAGGAATGATTGCTAAACATCCTGATTGCTATTTTATATTTTATTCATTTATACAAACTAATATTGCGTAATCAAAATTTCAGACATAGAAATAACGTTTTTTGTTTATTTTGTCAATTAATAAATTATACTTTTCTAGGATTAACGGATATAGCAACAGCGTTACGTCGTTCTGTGAGCGTTCGTCGCGTTGAGTTTCCCGCGAGTGACGCAGCGGCCGGCGGACGTGGCGCTAGTGAGCGCGTCGCCGCTTTATGGAGGGATTTGCACGAACGGTGAATATTTACAGATATTACATACGTAATTATTTAATTTACAAATATTATTAATAAATTAAATATTGTACTATATTCTAAATAAATTTAAACATTCTGTATTTATTGAAATTATATAAACTTTTAGGACATTTTAAGAAATAATATTTTTTATATCAAAATTTGAATTAATACGTTATTATAAATCTCTTAAAGGCTCTCAAGCAACACGACAGCCTCTCAAACACACCGTTTACGCGCGTTAGCCTTAGAGCGCGCGTGGTGCGGGGGTGAAGCGGCAGCTGCTTTGGCGGCGGCTGCGGCGGGCGCTTTGCCCCCCGCCCCCCTTCCCCAGGCAGTGGAGAGGGCGGCTGCGGCTGCTCATCATATGCTGCATCAGTATCTTCAGGTATATTTATTAAAAACAAAACATCACGTGATTCACTGACTTAGTCAAATAAAATATAAATTTGATATATCCTAGAACAATTTCATAGATATCATAAAGAGTATATTAACAGACATACATGACAACAATGTTTAGATATGTATATATATATATGTATATAAAAACTTTATTTTTGACTGGCTTAAATATATATTTTTTTAACTTCAGCGTTGCGGCGAAGTGTTCGCGGCAATGGGTGGATCGGGTTGTGCGAGCGAGCTCGTGTCTTTACAAGCTGTAAGAGATGCGATCGCCCCTTCTTCTAATACCCTACAAGATTTGCTCAAGTATGTTATCTGTGCCCTGCGGATTGACCTGCGTTAATTTGGCCTTATAAAATTTCTAACACAATAAATATTGTCGTTCTATGAGATGATATTAATATAATTTTGAAAACAATTATACTCCTGGGAAGTGGGTTTCAAGTGCGCCCGCTAATTAAAGATTTAAGTTGATGCCTGGTTGATAGTACCGGTACCCAAGAGTTGGTGCTTTCCTCGCTCAACGAATAAGTATCGCAATACAGCGAGGAAATGCCAGCATCTACAAACTCAAACTCATAATAGCTTCATTCATATAGGTAAAAGTACGCTTATGAACGTAAACAGAAAAGATGTTATATTGGTTCTAAATTTGCATTTACTACCAGTTCGCAATTCAAGGGTATAGAGCGGGCAAGAAACTCTCCGCCACTCTTTTTAATCGCTAAGTTTTGAGTCATACAAATTGTTAGAACTAGAGCAAATCAATCCCAAGGGTTAGGATCATTCAAATGTTCGTCAAATTTATAAAAAGCTTTATTGATTAATTTACGTTAACGGGAGCTTTGAATTTATTCAGTGATAATTCTCTAATTTCAATATAAAGAGTGGTTTATCTTCTGGAGCCTGGTTGGTCACTGCCACGGGGACTAAGTTTTTTAGTTTTTTACTAGTTTTATATTTTAATTATTATAATTAAGTAGGATGAGAAGATATTGATCTAGGTAAAAATATTATACATGATCAAATCTCCGAAATGACTACACAATATTTAGACACTGATATATCTATTAAAGTATGTTATAACATTTCAATCAAAATACGTTTCACATTTGAGACCGTGCCATTATATCACTTAAGAATGAACAAATGAAAAAATTACACGAGAGCGATAAGGTCTATTTAATATTATGAATTATGAAAATTGGTCTTACTTTTACATGGTAACCGCGTCCGTTTTTGGTACCCATTTTTTCTATCGCGTACTATGCCTAAAGATCTATGTGTTTGAGAAAAACAAATGCATAATGTGAGGTCATTTTTAATTTTTGTATTTTCAGTGAGGCAGTAGAGAACCTTGCCTTAGCTGCGTGCGAGAGCGTGGAAAGTGCCGACAGCGAACACGCGCACGCTGACCCCGACATACCGGACTTACTCACGCCTATTTCGCATTCTGGGGTAACGAAGTTATTTAAAATAATATAGTGTTTTGTTAAAGCAAAATTTTATAGAGCACACTTAGACTTTGCTTACATCAAATTTCTGTTCTCCTTCTGGGCAGTAAATTCTTACTGATTACTTGTTAAGCAATGGCTAAGGCAAATTCTTACATATTTATTTATATAATATCTGTATTGTATGCTAAGGGTAAGAGTCTATGACTTCCGTCTATGATTTTTAAAGTAAATGTTTTAAACCTCAATAGACAGATATTGATTTTCATTCATGTTTTCATTACATGCTAAGAAATTGGATTATTTGAACTTGGTAAGTTGTTATTTAATCCATACTAGACTACACTAGGTATATATTACATTGATATCTATAATAGCGGTTTTATTGTCACATGTCAATACCAATGTTTCACACACCAATAAAAGAAGGTTCCTTGTTGCTTTCTCTTCATAATGATGCCCAGTTATCTCCTAAGTCTTATCGTTGTAGTAATAACACTCGCCCTTACATAAAAAATAATATCGTATGGAAAAAGTTTATATTACAATTTAAAAAAAAATCCCAACCAGCACTTGATGAGCGTGTGCATCTCAGTGAGATATTTATACTGGCTGTTGATGTATAATTGAATTACACATTATAAACATCCAGGCCACACCCCTCGGATGTCGTCGGCGAGAGCGCGGTGGTCGACGCGTGCGTCCCAAGTCCGTGGCGGAACAACAGTGCAGTAGCAATGAGATGCTATCTCTGCCACCCTTGCACGCTGAAGCAGCCGATGCACTCGCCGATCTACCTGCGCATACGCTGAGGCATCTTGTAAAAGGTATCGGCAAGTATACAATTCATTGTTTTGTTTGTTTGTAAAAATAAGGAATAAATAACTTTGTAGACTTATAAACCCAAAATGTATATTAATTTCCATTTACCAGTTCTCCAAATCGACGTCGTAGAATAAAAGAGAACCCAAGGCCTTAACTTCGCCATCATTTAAATAGCATTTGCTATCTTTCTCTGTTTCTAATAAAATCCTTTTTATTTGTAACAATATATGTAATTACAAATTTCTTAGGACGACCAAGACGAGTTAAAACCAGAGCACCCACACGACCAATAACAGACCAATCACAAGATATTGATGAAGGTACGTTTTGTTCATATTTTTAGATATATCAATATAGTCATTTCTCTCTTTGGAATGGGATACGTTTCTGTATTTGTTTCAATTGGTAGACATATACTACTATATATATGGAATGGTTTAAGTTATTTTCTGGATAATTTGACGGAATTTTCCTCATGATATTTCCATGTAAATTCACCGTATAAGCAAATATTAATTAATATGGGTAGAAAATTCCATCCTGGGTTTTTGCAGGGTACAATAAACTACTTCAAACTTACTTACAATAGTCGCGAATCTATAATATTCACTAGTAGATGCTGTCTACTCCTAAAGCATTTAACTCATTAAAAGTCAAACGTTACCATCATTATATGTGATTTTGACATATACGGAGCCAGACTTGCTATTAGTGTCTACGTGGAGAGGCGTCATCGTGACGGTTCTTGAATTTTCTGTTCTGTGTGTTCGAATTTTAATTAAAATATTTTTGGTTCATTGGTCAAAAAAATCGCCACGGAATGATGTAATAGCTACTTATAACGTAATCGATAAAAAAAAAACACTTAGAAGCATCTATTGTTTTTCATATAAACTTCCTTTTATCTTTAGGACTAGAGGAATTCTGGCGTACATGCCGTACGCCGCCCGGTAGTGAGGACGTATCATCGATGTCTGCCCGTACGGCGCTGACGTCACGCTCTCTACACTCGTTGTCTTCGCTTGCCTCTGCCTCGCCCGCCTCGCTTGCCTCGCCTTCCGCCCACAGGCACTCGCCTACGTTACGGGATGATACTATGTGCGTATGGTAACACGTAGCACCTTCCAAAATATGCAGTGTTATTACATTTAAGATATGTAATTCAAAGTGTTTGGGTATATTATATATTCGGGTGCTTAGTCATACACATCGGGTCTTGATTTATGTACGACTCGAAGGACCAAAATATAAGGATTTTGTATCAAAGTCAAAAATCATTTAATCATATAGGTAACACAAGGTACACTTATGAACGTCAAAAAAGAAATATACATTAAATTCGTCTAATTTTACATTTACTGCCAGTTCTCAAATCAAGGGCGTAGAACGGAAGAGAAGAACTGGCAATAAACTCTTTTTTAATGAAAATGTACTGCACATAATTATGTTACCGCACCACCTCGATGGCTGGAAGTCTTCCACAGTCCGCTACTAAACATTTTCTTTTGCAAACTAAGTAGCTGTGGAAAAACCGCTTTCAGTGTATGTAATCCCATCGAGATGCCTCTGAATTAAAATAAGCATACCCCTGCGTAAAAGGCCGTCAGCTCTCCAACTACAATGGGTGCCCATGGGCTGCGATAGCTGCCTTTTATGGCTGTTCCGTAGCCTCGTTTACCTATTATATAAAAACAAATTAAAATTACCACTCATAATTGACGTATACAACAAATCTTCAATGTTTATATGATCTTTAACATGCTTTTAATAATAAAGAATGCGTAACGCTTACAAAGTTAATATAACCTGAGCAAACAAAATTTTACAACCTGGGCTATATGTTATTATAATTTATATATTTCAGGTACAGTGGTACGTCTGGTGAAAGCACACCTGTATTACTAGAATGCGGTAAGTTGTTTTTTTAATGTGGAGCATATGTCATTCATTGGATCGCAAAGACCTGGAACAACAGCTGTTGGGAAAGTGATCTTGAAATGTTCGTTTGAAATTGAACCAAAATAACCAACAGCAAAGTAATCAACTATTAATATTGATTGACAATTGTAATCGTATTCGATTCGTTTGTGTCTCATAATCAAACGAACGAATATTTTTCCGACAAGACTTGAAGATCTGTATCCTTCGCGTTCAAACACGAAAGTTACGTACATGTTTGGAATTGTCTACTATAATTTTCTAGATATTTTTAACCGACTTCAAAAACCTCCTCCGAGGAGGTTGACAATTTGAAGTGCAATTTTTTTTGTTTGTGTTTTATCTATCTCTAGGCCCTATAGAAAGATTCCCCAGCTAAGCAACACTCGAAAAAGGTTTTAATGATATTTTGAAAGCGTTTAACAAGCATTTGGTTGTACGCTTTTCAGAGGTATCACGCTGTAAATCATCAGATAACGTCGGAATTAAGCCGAGTGCGTCCACGCCGCCGCCTTCGAGATCCTCTGATGACGTCAACGCTATGGGTGAGTATGAAAAATAACGCGGTACAACACTCGAATCGATATTGCATAATATCTAGTTTATTAAAATATCTACAAATTATCCTTCAGTGTACATGTTTAAAACTAAATAATAATAAACGCCTCATTTTAGCAAGCTCGTTGCTGTTCTTAATAATTTGTGTTAGGACTCTGTGCGGAAAGAGAAACGGCATGGCTGTTATGCGAAATAATAACTCTTATTTAAACAAAAACTTTTTACGTTACGTTAATTAAATTTTATTTAATATTTAATATAATGACGAAACGATGATGTCAGCATAACAAGAAAAGTAATTGCTTCTACCTCCACCCGCGACAGTACTATTTCCGCACAGACTGTATAAACTATATAAAAAAAGTATAAGCTAATATTTAAGTTGAATATTATAAGCGAATTCAAGTGTTGTACCGCATTTACAGTGTTTTGACATAAGATTGTACTCGTCCCACACTGCCTTTGCACATCACGGCTTGTCGCCGCAACGCTTACAATATTACTCGTATTAGCTTTACACGGAAGAAACATCGTTACCACGTTAACAAACATTGTACATACACGTATTACATGTTTTTGCATTACTACGACTATAAACTACACCACATTTTAGTTTTGAAATCTGAACAACCATAAGGTTCACTAATTTACGCACAGCAATAACACCGTATAAACACGAAGCTATAAAATTTAATTTGGTTTTTATGGTGATTTTATTATATCTGCGGTATTAAATCGTAACATTTTATTAATCTAACAAACATATAAACCATTATTAATGTAGCTAATTCAAATTAAAAGTCTTTAACCAACAGATAAAAAGTAAAGCTAACAATGTTGGGAATAAAAAAAATTAAAGAGGCGAAAATATAGATTTATATATTACAGAATTGGTTTTTACTTTTTATGTATCAGCCTTTTTATTTACATTGTCAATTGGACTATTAATACCATCCATATAGCATTGATAACAGTGAGCATAAAATTTGTTAGTGTATTGAATATAGAATATAACTACAAGTTAAGGCAAAATTCAAAGCCATAGGATCGATTTACATAATATAGTAGCGTGTAATTTTTTTTAAAAGGACTCTTTTAAAAATTAAATAAAAGTGTACGTGCAAGTATTGTCCGAAGCTATGCTGTGTATGTGGGTTTGTATGTATGGCCGGCTTAACGTGTGTGGTGTATAGGCAACGGGTGCGCCCGCGCAACTGGCAAAGCGCGGCCTTGGTCCGTGGCAGGCGTCAACGCGGACAACGCCGCCTGCACCACAGGTAACGCATGATTCAAAATTCAAATAAAATAAAATTGATAAGGCGTTCTTTTTGCATGATCATTATTGTCACATGAGCACGTCAAGCACCGACGAAAATGTTATTCAATATTTCCATATTAATTAATAATTCATTTTGTAATAGGCAACAAGTATGTCGTCTGAGAAAATTTTGTCCTTCTGAGTATTTGTTATTCAATATTATAGGGTTAAACATCATTTATCACTCTTGTTGAACGTTTATGTGTATCAACAATAAAAATAACTTGTAAACGAATGAAGTTTGCGTTCAGATGATAAAGTCGTACCTCAGTAAAAGATGGTATTTTGTTACACATAACGATGACAACCAAATAATACTAAAAAACACTTTCGTCTGTACGCAAACTTAATACGTGATACGTGTGGTCGTAACGTTGGTGGTGGTCGACAGAGGGCGTGGAGGCGTGCGTCGGCGGGAGCATCGTGGGCATCACGCCGGGCGCCGCACTAACCAGTAACCAACTTTCTGACGCTATCCTATACTGAGCTATCGCTAGCTAGCAACACTAGGTAACGCTTGCTGCTTTGTGTCGCTAGTTCCTTTTGTGTCTATTTTTAATTGTCTATTGGCGAGGCATAGTTAATGGTGTACGTAGATTTTCCAAACATTTGATATGGAAAGTCTTGGGCATTCAGCGATGGGCAACGAGCGGTATGGTAATCTTACGTTTACTGTAATATGAAAAATATTGAAAATTTTAACACGCAATAATCCGGACAAATTTTAGTCAAATGCCTATTTTTAGTAAGGCATTTTAGCCTTATAGTATTTAAAATTAGCATTCGTCCTAAAGAAATATGGCAATAAGTCACAAATAAATATATACCAAGAGTATAAATATAAAACACGTTAAAATAAATACTTTTTATCAAAAGATTAATCCGCCTCGCTCATTGACTATGTTATCTATGTTAATATAAACTTGTTTCTCACAAAATACTAAACATTTACATATATATTTGAATACATTATCAGATATGATCACAATAGAAAAATATATGCTAAGTTTAATAACCCGTTATCTGACATATATAATAATTTGAAGGATTATATAAGGGTGTTAAAGTTTAGTGTACGCGAGTACTTTTAATAAATTTTGTTTAATTATGTACATAACTCGTTTGGAGTGCTATTCAATAATCGGGGACAGCGATGTTATTTAATCAATAAATTTGCATTTATATCTGTTATTATTTATGTATAGGGTATTAAATGTAGCAGTTGGAGATTGTTGAACCCCCCCATGTCACACGGCGTTACGTTTTTCTGTACCCAAGTATAGTCAAACGTTTCGTGACCACCTAGTGACTCTTTACCTAAAAGTTACCATTATGTGGTAAAGTACTGGAAAGTCGAAAATAATATTAACAATAACACACAATTCAATCCCCGCCCCGCATCGTAATGTTTTACAAAAAGACCCCCCAAATTCGTTACGTAATACTTGAACGCTCCCTTAGCAATTATGTAGCATGTAAAGAGTATAAATTATAATAAAATGGGCATGATATTTATATAAACATCGTAGACAATGTAGCATGACTATGTGGCTAAATTCGTATAACGAATATTAAAATAGTTAATCAATATTATATAAAAAACTTTAAATAATATTGTTATACTACAGGTTCAATGCTGCGAGATCATCCACTCACACCAGGTAAGGTTATAAATTTCTTGATGATTAATGGTAATGCCTACTTTTTACAGCAAAAAAAGATCTTGCTTTATGTTAAAATCAATACGATAGATTTTATATTTTGTATAAGAAACTGCAATTCCCCATAGCTTGGAAGATTTTGTCAAAGGTAAAAATATAACCTTGTACAAACACGAATGTTATTGATTTAATTAATTAATCTCACGGTCTCCTAGTTATACGCATTGTGCGTAAATCTCTAAATTATGATCCTGCAATTTTCAGAAGGCGATGCCTGAGATTAAGCTTATAATGCGCAGGATTGTTCAAGCAGGGTTCGGTACGCAAAGTATTGATGCTCACTGATGTGCCACATATTATAGACATAGTCGCGTAGTAACACTAGTGCAGGATAGATCTCTCACAGTAGATAGTAATGTTTTATATCTGGCAATTATTACGTAATTAATGTTCGTATGTCTTTTAATAGATAACTGCGCGCTTACTCTGTAACTTACAATGCCGACAGCAATCTCGATTTCCATGAGTTATAGTTCCACGCGATCCCAATTTTACGAGATCAGTGCTACATCGAGTTACATAGAAATAGGTCGAGATCGGTATCGATATTGGAAGTTACAGGGTAACAATCTTAAATCTACTTCCAATTTAAAAATGTCTAATTTCTGTATTGACAACAATTTGGGTTTTTGGTTTATATCATTTGTATTTTATATGGAATTGTTAAATACTTGTCAAAAGTTGTGTCAAAAATTTTGTACCATGTGTTACGGCTTATATTCAAGTCGGTATATAGATATATTTGATGATTATTGCCAGGATTCAGCTAATTCGGACAATAAGTCATATTTTGGGCCGAGAGTTCAATTATCATCAACTGTTTATTTCACATTTTCTAAAAGCCTTTGAGGTCAAGTCTTGACGAGTAAGAAATATTTCCTTATAGTACTATAAGCTTTCAATAGTAGTACTTTGCAAAAGAACATGACAAACGTTTGTGAATACGACATTGTTTGAATAATTTTAGCTAAACGCACATAGAGTGCGTCAAAAGACGTCTAGCTATCCTTATAAAATTTATTTAGGAGTATCAATTGTATGCTACGATTTTAAAGAACTTGCTTTAAGTATTTCACGGTTTTCTATGCATTGAAATAAAAGTAGAGTAAAATAAACATGTTCAAAATATTTCGTGTAGTGATATACCATGGAGTATTACCGAATAAAATTAATTTATATTGACATAATAAAATCGATTATACTTAGATGTAAGGATATTTAATTCAAATAATCGTTTCATGTATCCTGTGATTTGTTTAGTTATTTTCATTTATATAGTTAATTATAGTAATCTTATGTTATTGCGTAGTGCACGAACTTCACACTCTATTTACTGTTATATAGTTAAAAGACGTTTTCTAATTTAGAAAATGAACGATTTTGCGCGTTTAGCTTGTACATGCGCGAGTGGCGCCTCACTGCCGTAGAAGTATAAATTTACAATGTTATCAAACTAACAAAAAATGCAATGATACTTGTACAAGCTAATTTTACAATTTGACGAGATTATTTATTGCAATTGGTCTTTCCTAGTCATGTTATAAAGGCCTATGAATTACGCACAATTAGTTTATTATTTTTAAATCTTCCAATTTATACATTCCGTATATAATGTAAATATTTAACGTTTGAGATTGGTGAACGAGTGTGATTTTAAAATAAAAGTTCAAAAAAGTCATGTTCAATTTTACGGTAATTAATAGACTAGAGAACACCCCATACAGTTAAGTGTTCATTAGTGTAACTATTTTATACAATTACTCTTCGTTTATGATTGGAAATAAAATGATTACCTAAACAGATGTTGGTAGTAGAGTTCCTTATACTGTCTTCGTGAAAATTCAACAATATTCTTATTGTTTGTAGTAAATCGCAATTACAAAAAACCTAATGTTTCACAAAGATGGTAAAAGGGACTGGAAAAAGTGCTTTCTATACTATAAAGCAGAAAGATAAAAACATTCAAACAGAATTTGGCACCACTATATTATATTTGCGAAATTATTTCATAGTATTTTTATATTAATTCTCACTTTATTTCTATCTAGACTTTTGGTACCAGACTGATTTTAGGTACATTTATTTTATGGTGCAATTTATGTCTAGAGCGTTGTGATAACCTGATTTTAATTATATTATACAACATATTATGGTGTATTACTTACTTATAATAAGATCACTTTTTTCCTTAACGCTTTATTCTGGAACTTACTTAAGTTTCAGTTTACATGGACCATGTTTCTGGACGGGTAATTAAATGAACCAATGCTACTTGAGACTTATAGTTTGGTAGTTTACCTAGAAAATTTATAATTCTACCGATCTTGATGTGCTCATTCCATAATTGCCTATGTGTGTGTGTATCGTAACTGCTCCCGCTATCATATTGAACTTAAAGCAGTTTTATGGCAAAATCTCCCCTCATACTTATTTTACGATAAAAAATGAAACTGTACTATGTACTAGACAGATCTGCCTACAATTATTAAAGTTTATCCTTATTGTCCATTCTTTTCAAATTAACTAGTCTCCAATCCTTGTTTCTTTACTTCAATCACTTCACTTTCAATAAATAGATTAACACAAATAAAATAGTTTACTGCATTAGAAGCCATGCCTCTATAAATATAATCAGTTAAAAAAATTTTTTGAGTAATGACCAAAACAAGATAGTCTTCTCGTAAAATGAGAGTGTAAAAAAACTTTTAGGCGCCATTTTTATTCCAACATTGCAGCGCGAGCCGCGAAAGTACGAGGCCGCCAAGTCGAAATTCGGAAAGAGCATTCCAAAATCTACAAAATTCACTATTTTTCGAACCAAATACGAAGTAAAAATCTTAATATAATGGATTCAAATAAAACCAAATTATTCCATACATTCTTATATTAACATAGAAAAATATGTACAGTCTTATCTTAATTCCATGGAGATTAATGATCGATAATCTCACGACAAAAAGTTCAAGAACTAAATTTTACAAATTATTTTCCATTGTCAATGTGAAATATATTTAAAAATTCATTATTAAAGATTTAGTGAAAATCAGGCAACTTAAACAAATTTGCTTACCGCAATTGAAAAAGATAATCGTATTTACATATAATTCAGTAACTAATGGGATATTTTATACAAAAATGCAGTGAAAATCATTAGGCCAACTAATTGTCTTGTATTTTCACATAAGATGGTGTGCTTACTATAACTGAAATTAAACTTCTTTAAGTGATTAAAACCTGAATTTATTACATTACAATTTATAACTCACCATGATTGCTGAAAACCACTCGAAATGAGTATATAAATAAAGTAATGAAAAGTGATCCGGTTAAAGAAGTTTTATTAAATGCATAGTACTGGACTGGTCCTGATAATTAAATTTCTCCAAATTATAATTATAGATGTCAAGGTATGTATGTCATATACTTCTGATTGACTTATGTCAAATTTGTTGTCCTGTCAAATTGAATTGCTAGTTCTGTTATATGGTGTTAATGATTTTCACAATAGAGGCTAAATTTTGTTTAAGCATATACAGGCATTAAAAGTTACATTATGGAATTTTGGTTTCTATGAATAGAAAAAATTACTACTATCACTTAACTAAGTAGGAAACATGTGACATTATTTTGTACATTTCGTAATACAAAACTATCTGATAACTGCAACAAGCAGTAATTTCCAGATCTTATAATTCAGATAAAAGTCAGAAAACATCCCACAAAATATGTCTAACACACATTTATTGGTGCTAATTTTAGTCACAAATTATACTCAAATTAGTCTAGTTCAAAATGAAAGAAAATTCAAATACATGTTAATTCAATCTGTTTTAATCTTGTCAGTATATTTGATTGTGATGCTCGCGTAAGATCATATTATCGCGGCTAATTTGTTGCTAATATTTTGAATGTTGGATTATTTTAGTATAATTTGGAGTAGGCTAGAATTAGCAATATTAATTCACTTAAATAAGTTGTAACATTAATCTGTCAAAATGCTGTTTAAATCTATTTATCACTATTGGGAACTTAATTCGCAAAGACATAAAAACAAAAAAAAATTGATAAATCATTCGAGGCATATAGGTAGTTTTTAGCGGTTTCTATATAATATTGGTAAAGTATGAAATTACGGTCACGTACAAATAGTTGCAATTACGATTATATTTTAATATACATACATTGCAACATGAAAAAATATATAAAAAATACATTCGAGTAAAAATCACTAAAGTTCACCATTTTGATAAATTTTGGTAGATAGATTTAGTATGTGATTTTTAGCATATATGTTATAAACTGAAATTAGTCAACCAAACGTAATGCCTTAAATATTATTACACCTTAATAAAAATTTCGAAACATCGAAGCTTAGTGTAAGTCACGAGTCGAGGCTTAAGTTTCCTAGAAAGGCGGAGCAGTTATCTAACGGCCGTAATGTAGCGTTGGGTGACGTCACCCATACGTTGTCTATAAATAACATCGGAGTAGGTTTCCTGTCACCGTAACGATAAATAGCGGTGCTGTCATTGGCATGACGGCCGTCATAGCGGTGATAAACATTAGTTCAACGTTTTTCGCGTGTAGCGGTGCCCATATTTAATTAATACAATGAGTGGAAACGTAACTTGGACGAGCAAAAATAATTGTTTTTTTGCATTACGTTAAAAAGTAAAGACGGCCGTTATTAACAACCGTAAAATGACGGCCGTTAGTTAACGGCCCCGTTTTGCTAGGAAACCTAAGCTTTACGGCTAAGTATAACTCCCTTATGTCAAAAATATATTTGATTATGACATACGGGACTCATATTTAACAAGTGTCGACTCTAAATCTTACCCTTAGTATACTCTATACGACTAAATTACTTGACAATCATAAATCATAATATTTTGCTAACTCTGACGGTTAATAATTTTGTTTTAAAAATATACGAAATTTAAGTTTTACGTTTTGATACTACACGACATTTATTTGTCACAGGATTTAATAAAAACAACTTCAAAATCTATTATTTTAGTTCCATACGACGCTATATGTCAAAATTCATATTTATAACGAACACTTAAACAAATAGAAATATGAAAATATTTTATACAATTTATTCTGCTAGTTTTGTCGGATTTAAACGCGTTTTACCACAATTTGTACACATATATTGTTTCTATGGTCGGAAATGTTTAAATTTACGACAATTTTACGCGTTTTAACCAAGTAACTATTTTATATCAGAATAAATAATACACATATTGACGTAGACACTTAAATGTAACTGGTTCAGAGATCTTACATAAAACATAATATCATTCAATACACATGTATTCGTTCCGATATTGGTAGCAAAAACGTACAATCTCTCAATTTTTATGTACGTACTTATCAAGCGTTGGGCGGCAAATCTTTCTTTGGTTCTTCCATATTTGTAATGTTTTTGACGTCTTCTTTGTTTTCTTCCGCTGAAAAGAGATATTTTTTTAATTTACGTTGGAACAATTTCTAAATGAATATGGACGAATAGTTGCAGTGGAATAATTAATGAAATATCCTGCAATATCAATTTGTTCTCATCAGTTTTGTTTTATTTTCATCCCTAAATAAATACCAAACACAGCTAAAGAAATACGCAGAATAACGAATTTCAAAAACTTCTTAATCGATTTTGATGAAACTTATACTATTCCTTAATTTGAAATATACTGATGTAAATTAAAGGATATAGTAAGGACTTATTCCGATAAATTTGTGAACAAACACTTAAGTAATGTAAAGTCTGGCTAATGAAAGAAGATAATTGAATTATTTGAAAACTTTCGGATGGCAACACAATATCATTGAATTTCTTAAGTTAGTATGATTTATTGTCTTGATACTTCATGCAATTACTCATTTTTATTTCTAATATATATTTTTTCCGAATAGTTAACAGGTATAATAGAATATTTCGTTTCTTTCGCAGGATTTGATTATTCTGAATAAAGTTGTGTTTTATAGTAAATATAGTTTTGGTTTTCCATGCAATTTTCTTTCTCAGTCTTTTTAAGTATCAATAGTAAAAGACTAATTACGTATTGTATTTAATTTCATAGAAATACAGTTATTATCAGTGTAAAAATAATAAAATAAAATCAAGTTTCAAGTAAGTTTAATCCACAAAATATATCAAACTTTTAGGGATACCATACTATTTTTTTTTTAATTTGCCGCGCTTTTTCGTTATCTTCTTTCATTAGCCAGACTCTAAATAAAATATTATACAATTCAATTCATTCAGGTCAAACAGATAACAGCATTTTTTTAAGTTGGTTAAATCTATTGATGTACAGTTCGTAGGCCTAACCTCGGGCTTAAGAATCATATGTTTAACCATGAACATATACATAAAACACTGTTCGATACCAGGTAAAAACAAACTGTTATATTTAGATCAAACTCACTTTTGATATCATCCTTAGCGTTATCCTTGTCGAGTCGCGGTCTCTTCCTCTGAGGTGCGCGATAAGACCGGTTGTCTCTTCTTCCACCTTCACCTTCATCTTCAGAATCTGATAATTCTCCATCTCCTGTTATACGCTTGTCCTGTAATTGTGAGTTTATTTCGTTAACCAAATGTTAATCAAACAAAGCAATCATAAGTGGATGTAAATACCCCCACAATAAGAAAACTAGTAAATTTAACCCAAAATAATATTTCATTCAGTAAAAAATAAATGCAGAATGCAAGGCGAAATTATAATTAAAAATTAAAACGACTAAACATTTGTTTTCGGTCTGTACAATTAAATTTATTTTCAATAGGGCAACTGCATAAATCTATATAAATTAAATATATAGAGAATTTTTTGTTAAATTTAGATTTATTTAGTACTTAGGGTTTTTATTCCGGAAAAGCAAACAGTCTATGGGGTAGCATAGCAAAATGTTTAATATGTCGGTATGTAGCTACTAAATATAAAATCATATTAAGGCTTGTTTCGCCTCCGTCCGTGGGGGCGGGCAGCTAGAAGTAAATAATTATATTGATTTAAATAATATAGTATATACCTTTTCACTCTGTGGCAGACGTTCATCTTTATCAATTTTATCTTCGTCATCTGATTCGTCGTTGACGGCGTCTTCTGGGATTGCTTGCACCTGGAAAACAGATATCGTCTTAAAAATGTTTGGTAGTAAAATAGGGTTCTCTCTGTATGTGTTTAAGGGAAGCTTCATATCTGATTTGTTTACGGAATTAACTGTTATGGTCCGTGCGGTAAGGGAGCGTTCTACGTCACACAATTTTTGGAGATTATTGACCGAATGTAACGCGCGTAACGTTATTTTGTACCCAAGTACAGTAAAACGTTTCGTGACCACCTAGTGACAACACTGTTACGTGACTGTAGTCCGACAGTAATCTTGTCTTGAACCTTAATATGAAATATATAATTAAAAATTATATAAATTTGTTTATTCACAAAAATATATCACTCGCATGACCACATGTCGGTTCTTTATAATTATACAACTATCTCATAACAAAATAAACATAAATGGACCAACGCAAAGTACTGTGCAGTAATCGCGATGAATAAATGAAATAGTTGTCTGTAACTGTTTTAAAAATAACAATGTCTGACAAAAACCAGGATATATTTATGTTTTGAATATAAATATATATATATCTTACTTAAATACTTTAATTGGGACATGTTGTAATCGGAATACTGAAAATTAAGTAAATTTTCCTGTGCATTAAGTTATATAAATACTTTAAGCTCTCTTACCTGAACTCCAGGCGCATGCGGTAACATACGGAGATTCTCAAACAGTCTGTTCTTGATTTTGTCCAGATATTCAGTTGTGTTCTGATTGGACATATTGCTGGGCGAGATGTGTAACTTGAAGTCCGGTCCAAAGTATTCAAAGTAATCGTTGTATGGCAACTCGTTTGCTATCTCAACGCCCAACGCCACCGAAGTCTCGTATGTCCAACAACGTGATACGTTACGGATTGTATAACTGTAAATAAGGTAGGTGCTGATAAGCCATAGTCGACATATACGTCACGGTATTCAGATATACATAACGACATAATATACCCTATGTATCATTTGTGTTTTAAGCCCATTTGATTAAAAGTTTGCACATGCTTGCATGGAGTTAAGACTAAGGCGCTAAGTAGGAGTCACGTATGACAACCCTAAGGGTTAGAACACTACTAATCTTTGTTAGGGTTCATCTATATTAAAAAAATTTATGTGGCTTAAATAGTTTTTCCACAAATTTTTGGAACACATAAAATCCGTCTAACATCAGGCTTATCGAAATAGTAAATATTTAAAAATTAATAGTATAACTATTTTACTTTAATTAATAGTATAACATGTAATAATGTTTACTCTTATAACACCCAATACTTTGGTAATTGGTACAAATCGTTGTGTAGTAGAATAAAATGAAGTGAAATAGAACAAAACTTACCCTCCTCCACCCACAAGTAGGAATGGAAGACCAAATCTCTTCACAAGCTCAACACATCTGCCATGGCCGCGCACTGTTAGGTTGAAGCATCCCAATCGGTCACCTTTGGGCAGAGAATGCAATATTAAAAATAATACTATAATAAGTCTGACGATCTTCTATGGTTATGAAATGTGTGTGAGTTCCATTGCGCGATTATAAATAAACTATATTTGATTTATTTATCTTACCAAGTTAAAATATTCATCATTTATATATAACTAGCGGACCCGACTTCGTTCGGCCTAACAGTCTAATAATATCGTGTTAGTTAAACTTAATTTAGGATTTGCATTAAGGTAATAACATTAATACAACTTTTTTTTGCAAATACAGAAATGTTTTATTGCTTGCCATTGCGAAAAAAGAATAGCAGTTTTACACATTAGGTCCCTTCTCTCTAGCGCCAATATTGCGATACTGCATGTTAAAGCACTTTCACATACAACATTTTTTGTTTTGTTATCCGGCGCGTAATTTTGTCAACAGATGGCACCACATGCTGTTTGCATTGCCACGTAAAATTAATTAATTTATTTATTTTTATTCGATAATCGGAGAAGAATCCACCAAAAAAGAGATAACTAACATCGGTCCAGCCGATCTTGAGTTATAATTGGTGTAACTATATACGACTTTGTTTTATATTTATTTATACATTCTAAAACAATGTGCATGCCTAAAAATACAAGAAAATATGACATCACAAATTTAACACACATACATATATCACATACATTAGAACATATATTTAGATGAGTATTTATTTTAAACTTTAAACTATATCAAAGTATGCCAGTTACAGTAACTGTTAATAATGCAGAATAATTCTGTGATTTTAAATGTACCAACATTAATTGTACCCCATATTTGGCAAAGTAAATATTATATAATAACTTACCAGTAAGCGAATCGGCTCCACACTGCAACACCACTGCACTGGGTTGGAAGGTCTCCATGACTTTGGAAATAATGGGAACGAAAATAGACTCGTAAGACTCGTCGTCCATCCCGTCCCGAAGTGGGATATTGACGGCGTAGTACTTGCCCTTACCAGCTCCGATATCACGTAAATCACCTGTTTACATTGTTACCATTAATACTAAATAATGTACTCTATAAGTAATATACAAATAAAGTCAAGTGAAAAGGAATAAGAGGTAGGTAACTAACTATAATTGATTAAGGATATACATATATGTATTTACCTTGGTACCTATATTATACATTTTCACACATTCTGTGTGTACCTGTTAAAAATATAGGTACCAAACCTATATTTTTAACGGGTAGAAAGCCCGTATATCAAAAACTACTCAACCGATTATGATGAAACTTGCAGAGTTCTCTAATTTTTTTTTTACTGAGAAATTTGCATAAATACACTTACGTAATTTAGTACATGTGATTGGAAGTCTAAATATATTAGTATGAATTATCCTATTCCACCTTTACATTATTAGTTGGTAAAAATAGTGTTCAAGTATTACGTAACGAATTTTGGGGGAGGGATTATTTTGTAAAACGTTACGATGCGAGGCGGGGATTGAATTACGCGTTATTGTTAATATTATTTTCAACTTTCAAGTAATTTACACCACAGAATGATAAAGAGTCACTTTGGTGGTCACGAAACGTTTTACTATTGAGTACAGAAAAACGTTACGGCGCGTTACATGGGGGGGTTAATAATCTCCGAAAATTACGTGACGTAATACTAGAACGCGTTACACAATATTCCCCACACTATAATTTTTTAAGTAAGTAGTTCAGTCTACTTCTGCTGGAACAATTATTTCCCCTGCAATCAAACCAAATTCCTCCAGCATATACTTCTTGAGAGTACATATGTACTAATTAACTATGATAAACTTTTTACAGTTGTTATTTTATTTCAAAAGCACAATTTTTTTTCTTTGTGTCATTATTTTCAATAATTATAAAATAAAAGGTTTTACTTACCAGTGCCAGGAAAATATTCTCCATACTTGTGGAAGGACACAGTCATGACTCTGTCAGTAGTGTAGAACGCTTCTTCCACCCCATCTCCGTGGTGGACGTCTATGTCAATGTAAAGCACGCGCTGGTGGTACTTGAGCAGCTCCAAAATGCCGAGAACAATATCATTGACATAGCAAAAACCAGATGCCTCAGATTTTTTCGCGTGATGCAGCCCTCCGCCCCAATTGATGCAAATTTCAGATGCCTTAAAAATAAAAGAAAAGGTATAAACATAAACTATCACATTAAACAGCAAATATGTTTATTTATTTATTATTTATTACATAGATAGTACATTAAAATTAAACATTTTGCATAATGTAAATACAGTGTAAACCCTATATAACGACTCTCAAGGGAAGTGGACTTTACAAAGTGTGGCTGTTAAATAAAAAGAAAGAAAGAAGAAAGATTAGAAAAATAAAGTTTATTTCAGATTAGTGACAGTAATTACATAAAAACAATTCGTACCTATTTGAACGCTATTGCGTTGTCTGTTATTTTTGTACTGTAGGTACCAGTAGTTAGGTTGTATTTTTTTACTTATTTAATTCATATCTTGCGATATTGAGGTATCTTAATGATAAAGCACATGCAAGCATGCGCAATTTGTAAGAAAAGAACGGATTTCTTGGAAATTTCGGTACGTATGACGATTACCGACAGTCGAGTTTATTTCTCGCTAGGACAATAAAGAGACAAAACAACTTACACAGCTCCGCAGTTTTGACTAATTTCGGCAACTTAAAAAGTACTTTTTAGTATTTAATTGTTGTCACTATTGAGAGTAGGTGTAATGCTATGTAGAGTGTATCATTGTATGGAAGACTAGCTAAACCACCCAAAGCCGAGTGATTTCGACGCTTTAGGGGTGATTTGCCGTTAAATCCAATGACGTTACGTGGAATTTACATTGTATGTCAAGACACACAATAACCCCTTTGTTATAGGGCAAACAAACTCCTTATCTTAGGTCAAAACCACAAGAAAGAAAATGCATGCTGACCCACCTGTTTATTCAACTTGACGGCTGCAGCAACAGACCCTCCCGCAGAGAGCTGACAGAACTCATATAGACCATCAAACACTGGACAATCTTCACCAACATTAACTGTAAGATTAAGTGATATTAAGTTATCAATGTAATCCTATATAATGTTAAAAGTATTGTTTGTTAGTTTTATTTCATGATAGGTATTACTTTTAAAAAACTAATGTCAAAAAATTGCTATATAAGATCTCAACTTTAATGTTTCTATATTCTATATTTTTTTAAATATAAATGCTATTAGTAACATATAGAAAACCTTACATCTCTGCATCTGCTTATTGTACTCTGACATGTTGTCTGGTCTGATGGAGCGAAGGAAACGTATGTAGTCATCCGAGTGGAATTTAGTCATTTCATCAGCAGTTGCTTTATGTGGCCTCTGAAATGGAGAATATAATAATAGATTATATTAGTAGTTAGTAAAATCTGTTTTGTATAGTTTTTGGCAACTAAGTTGACCAGAGTTGACACATGAACAGAAGTTTATTTTTTTAAATATTGAAGTACATGAGCGAAATCTGGCTAATTTAGGCGTGATCTTGATTTCCAGTATAATAATAATATTTAAACTTACATATATCTCCATTTTTCTATATAATCCATAGTTTAAAAGCAGATTATGTGTCATACGTATTCTGTGAGGTTTCATGGGATGTCCTTGGCCATAATAATAATTTCCGATATCACCTAAAATACATAATAACTCGATATCATCAATTCTAACTTTATATTCTAATGTCACTCAGGTCATTACAAAGCTTGACATACTTCCGTCTGTACTTATAATAACGAGAACGAATAAAACCTTGTAAACCAATAGCGTTGTAGGATCGAGTACAGACGCTTACAAATGACACAATACACAGTAAAATAATTTTACTAAGACGAGTATCACTGCATAAAGTAGACAACAATGCAAGCCAATAGTTGATTAAGTTAAGCCTATTTTAAAAATTAATAAATAATCAATCCAATGTAAAATAATATTGTAAGAATGTCAGCCATAAGCGAATTGGCGGGGAACAAACTTCTGAATACTTACTATCGTAGTAATAGCACACTCTTTTCTTACTATGCGGTTGCATAGCCATTATATTATTAATAAATTAGAATTGTCAATCTAAGTTAGCTAAATTTCGTAAGAAATGTGAAAAAAATTATATTAATTTTAACCGAATTTTGACAAGACAGCGTTTACACTTTATATTACAACAAAATGAATGAATGAAATTGAAAATAAGAACGGTGAATGACGTTCAGATTTCACATTATAAAATTGTAAATTGTCAAAATAGTCGAACGGCCGAGAAATGATTAGTTCAAAACCGTTCCATACGTCATAGAGAAATCGAAAAAAGCAGATTGCTCGAATAGGTATACGGCTTATATATAATATAGTATCAATGGGTTAGTGGGGTAGTGGTACCACTATACCATCTGGGGCCAGTGGCACATTCTTTTGATGGGGCCCTATCAGTAAAAATCGTCACGTTATACTCAGATTAATTTTAATAAACTTCGAGATTTTCAGCGTACACTTATATGTCCCACTAATGGCCTATATATCCATCGCCTGAGAGGAGTCTCAGGCGAGAGGGAAAGGTCTGTAGTCCCCACACTAGCCCAATGCGTATTGGAGACTTCCCATACATCCATAGAACATAATATCTCTTCTATCTCTCGGGCAGGGGCCCTCTTGGGTCGGGGGCCCGTGGCATTTTGCCAGCCCTGCCACCCTATTGTTATGCCACTGTTTGTAAGCACAATTATATATATTTAGTGAATACTTTTTTCATAATATTAATACAATAAATTAATATTTGTAAATTAAAAATATTAAGTTTTAATTTCGTGAATTTATATCTGGTGTAAAAAGGTTTTTAATATTTCAAATTTTGTTTTTTTTTATTTGAGATATATTGGAACTTGGAGATCATACTACGTATATTAAAATATATGTAATGAATTATTGGTACATTCAACAGACATTGAGACATTCTTTCATTACTATACGCACCATAGTCATACTTATAACATTTCAAATTTAAACACAAACTTTACGCTATTATATTATAAGGTGATTTGAAACTTAACTTTAGGAATCTCATTTTTCTTTGCGAAGATTCATAGGAATGACATTTTACCTGGTCTGGCTAAGCACTTTCATATTTCTACGAGACTTTTTCGGTATAAGATGTATTTCGTATATTTAATAGGCAGCGGCATTCTTTTTTACATTTGTATATTGCTTTCTTTCTTAGATTAATGGAATTCATTTATTTTTTCAAATACTCTGTTAAACACTGCATGGTTTGCTTATTGCTACCATAATATATAATAAAATGGTGAATAAGAGTTTTATAGTTTTTATTTTTTTGGATTTTATTTTTTTTACTAAAATTATACCTATATGATAATAACTATTTCTCTGATATTAATTTAAGCGTTCGATAAAATCCTATCTCTATTGTAAACTAACTTATTCAAACAGCAGACAACAAAGACCAAAGAAAATAAAGGACTATAAAAACAGCTACAAAACATAGTCTAAACCTAACTATTGATATTTAGATGTACAACACAGCACAGCATAGCTGACACACAACAATTAGAGTTCTAATTTATATTAAATGACATTCGCAATAAATAATAAATATGTTTTATAGAAATAATAATACCTACAATATAATTTATAGCAATCTTGACCTCCTTATTCATTGTTCTTACGTTTTACTTTTACCTACACAAAAATGGTTAGTATATTTTCCAGCAATAGCTTCTATCACTTTATAGAAACTTTGATAGGAGGAAACTGTATTCTTTTAAACTCGTTACATAAAATGGCGCATCTGGTACGTACATAAAATTTATCAATAACTAAGATTTGTTTAATTCATCAAACGCAATCATTACATTCATCTACGTATTGAAGAAAGAAAAAAAACAAGTTTATATTAATTGACTTATGAACCATAAAGTGCCCTGTAAACGATCAAATTTAAAAAGGCGAAACCCGAATCTACTATAAAGTTAACTAATTTGTTTGATATTTGGTTTGATCGTTTAAGCTATTGTTTGATGAAAACCTGAAGTTTGACAAACAAATTTGTCAAGCAAATTTGATCGTTTACTGGGCACTTTTATTTTTTATTTTTATTTATGACTCTGGCACGATTTGTGCACTAGCCAGCGTCAAGTAATATGATTTTTTTATAATTCATGCTTGTATTTAGAAATTCGACCGTGTCCTTCATGTACGGTTTAGGCACTCGCCCGGTACCGCACAACCCTCCCAAAGGCCGAGAACAAATTTTAAATTAAATTAAAACTTGCCCTCGAACCACGAATCGAACCCGGTACCCATCACCTAGCTGCCACTTAATAAGACCGCTAGGCTATGAGGCACTTAAATGCACAAAACAAATATTGTATAGGGGCTTCTCCATAGATTATGTCGTGCCTTTGTTTATGATCGAAATTGATGGCTAATCTGTCAAGAATAAATATCGCAACTCACAAATCACTATGAAAAAAGTAGAAGTCATTGTCTATTTCCCTACACGGTTCAGCGTTCACCCTTCACCGTAGTCTGTTCAGTGTTCGTTGATCCGTTATCGTTCTCTTTCGGAAAGCAGCGGTCAAGGTAAGTCGTGTTCATGTGATAGTTTCCAGCTAAGCAACATTATAAAACTGTATTTAACTTAGTGCTATAATTATTTATTGTTGGAATTTCACGATTATTTGACTAAAGTCAATGTGTGACAACGTGTTTGTATTTACCAATTTTAATATTTTATAGGTTGACCCTGCTATAATATTGAGAAGACATCTTTCTTTATCAAGATCATCTTTTCACAAAATTACCACATAATGTAAGTAACATTTTTATTTTTATATCCATGTTCTCCTCGTATTTATCTTTCTTTATACAAGCTGTATTTTGTTATAGATTGAACTTAACCTATACTTAAATTTTTTCCCGTGATTAGTGTGTACCTACTGCTATTGTCAGTTGTATAAATTATGTGAATTTTGTATTGATTGAACTCTGGGCCGGTGTAAAATGCTATATTCGATATAAACGCGTTAGTTAAATAACTTGTCAGCTATTGATATTCCACCCGCTGAAGAAAATCAATATTAACATCTGCAACCGCCATCTTGTTTCGGCTGAGCAATGTTTCACGCCCGCGTGGCTAATGCACAAGTCGTTTAAAAGGTTGCTTTTCTCATTAAAACATGTACATTTTTAGCCAATTTATATGTAGAATACCACAAAATGCTATCTGTATATAAAATGTCTTTAGTAATCCAATGTTAATCTTGCATAATGTGCATGTGTCTCTACAGACAACGTGGTAGTTATAATTTCACATAGTATTAGTAATAATTTATCAACGTCTTTTTATCGTTACAGGTCTGGGAATTGGAACAATAACCGTGGCGGTAGCGGTGGTTCCAAATTTGGAGGAGGCGGAGGAGGAGGAAGATTTGGAAATAATGGTGGTGGTGGCGGCGGCGGAAGATTTGGAGGCGGTGGTGGTGGCGGTAGAAAAGAATTTTCAGGTGGTCAAAACATGCGAAAACCTAACTGGGATTCCATGTCACTACAACCTTTTAACAAGGACTTCTACAACCCTGCACCTACAATACTTAACAGATCAGCTTATGAAGTTGAAGAATACAGAAATGAACATGAAATCACCATAAGTGGTGTAAGCGTTCCAAACGCAATTCAAAATTTTGATGAGGCCAACTTCCCTGACTATGTTCTGCAGAGCATAAAAAACTCAGGGTACAAAGATCCAACCCCTATTCAAGCACAAGGCTGGCCCATCGCTATGTCAGGCAAAAACTTAGTTGGAATAGCCCAAACTGGGTCAGGAAAAACCTTGGCTTATATTTTACCAGCTATTGTACATATCAATAATCAACCACCCATTAGGAGAGGTGATGGTCCCATAGCTCTTGTTTTAGCACCTACACGTGAACTGGCTCAACAGATTCAACAAGTCGCAACTGATTTTGGAAATGCTGCATATGTCAGAAACACGTGCATTTTTGGTGGAGCCCCAAAGAGAGAACAAGCACGTGACCTCGAGCGTGGTGTTGAAATTGTCATTGCCACACCTGGTAGATTAATTGATTTCCTTGACAGAGGAACCACAAACCTGCAACGTTGCACATACCTTGTTCTTGATGAAGCTGACCGCATGTTGGACATGGGTTTTGAACCACAAATTAGGAAAATCATTGAACAAATTCGCCCAGACAGACAAACTTTAATGTGGTCAGCAACATGGCCTAAAGAAGTCAAGAAGCTGGCTGAAGATTATCTTGGTGACTACATGCAAATCAATGTTGGATCTATGCAGTTGTCTGCTAACCACAATATTCTTCAAATAATTGATGTTTGCCAAGAACATGAAAAAGAAAACAAGTAAGCATTTCTACTATTGGTTATTCTGGAACTTTATATCATAATGATGATTTATATCCCAATGATTCTGTGATTAAACTAATTTTTGTATCCTCTAAGAAGATCTGAAAGCTTAATTGTCACTTATTGCCACTTGCTGCATAGTTACAATAGTTTGAAAGTCCTTTTCTTTTTCAGATTAAATACACTTCTTCAAGAAATTGGAGAAAGTCAAGACCCTGGATCCAAAACCATTATATTTGTTGAAACCAAAAGAAAGGTAGAAAATATAACTAGAAATATTAGACGCTATGGATGGCCAGCAGTTTGTATGCATGGGGATAAAACTCAACAAGAGAGGGATGATGTACTGAGGCAATTCAAGCAAGGCAGAGCTAGCATTCTTGTTGCTACTGATGTTGCTGCCAGAGGACTTGGTGAGTTTCTTTACTTATATATAATTTTATTTTTATGTTTTATATACAATTATATATATTTTATAATATAATAAAAATGGTTTGTTTTATATTTTCAGAGGCACTGGCGGAAAGTTATTGTGTTCTATTTGATTACTGTCCAAAATTTATGGATATGTTACTGCACTGGATATGTAGCTAAGACATTTTTCTGATGCAGTTGATAGTTTTATGCAGAATGCAATAACTCGTCACTTTAAAGGTGCCTCAAAAGTGCCTTTCACTGAGTGGACCCTAGGCCGGAAAGCTGGATAGTATGTCCGTCCATTCGGATACACTTGACAGTTCAAGAAAACCTGGTGATGCACATGAGAGATAGCATTTGCAAAGATAAAAAAATTAATGAAGTGCATTGTTGAAAAACTTGACCAAAAGTTGAAGTATCGGCAGGAGGTCAAGGGTTTTCTGTTTCGGCCACAATGGAGATTTTCGAGGGGCGATTGAGTTTGAAATACCATCATATAAGTTTGCGCCCTTAAGAAATACTCCTGGGTTCTGAGTGAGAGGCAAAATAAATACTTGTATTTCTACCCATGTTGTGTAACTCATTCATGTAAGTAATGTTGAGTTGCCATTGATAGGATACATTTTTAATATAAAGTTTAAGACAGATTTTATTATTATATTACAAAAATCTATATTAATACTAAATCTGTACTGAGCTTTCTTGTTTGGCGTAACAGTTTCTAATACTTCATTTATTTGCAGATGTGGATGGTATTAAGTATGTAATTAACTTTGACTATCCTAACTCATCTGAAGATTACATTCATCGTATTGGAAGAACTGGTAGATCAAAATCAAAAGGAACGTCGTACGCATTTTTCACACCATCCAATTCGAGACAAGCCAAAGATCTTGTATCTGTCCTACAGGAAGCAAACCAGGTTAGTTGTAATAACAAAAACACCTTTTCCTCATACCTTTGGCATGGGTACGTTTTTCAATAGCGTGACATGAATGCAAGTATGAGGTACATTAATACAGCTACATGCCTTCGGTGTCCACATACTGTTTATCTGGATCCCATCCTCAGATGCTGTTACATTATACAAAATGTATTAAATAATACTTCCTGATAATAATTAATAATACCTAAATTAATATGATAAAAACTTTTTATTTTAGATGATCAGCCCCCAGCTTCAGTCCATGGCAGATAGATGTGGAGGTGGTGGTGGTGGATGGAACAGAAGTAGATTTGGAGGTGGCAGCAGAGGTGGTACTTTTAAGAGAGGTGGAAATTTCGGTAGAAGTAATGGCTCTGGAAGTAACGGTTCCCACAAAAAATTTAATGACTATTGAAGTAGAATAATGTTAAGTAGCTAATCCTCATTATTAAGTGTATGTAATTCTATTTAATGTGTGAAACTGAAGTTAAGTGTCTGAATTGCAATTGCCCTAATTGACTTAAATGTGTGGTGATTGTTTAGTACAAGTGTACATGTGCTGTAGCATCTGCATAGTTTATTTTTACTTGTTGCTCTGTGATAATTTTGTGAGGACGAGCTAATTTTAAGTTTTTGTACCTACTTCAACCCATTAGTTCAATTGATCTTATTGTTTTATGCTGTAAAGAATAAACCTACAAGCTGTCATTCCAATCTGAAAAGAAATAAAATAATATAATGGTATGAACACAATTGTTTTATTTGAGAAACTGCCATATAATATCCAAAGGGCCATTAGGATGATCATGGCTTAATACTAGTGTAAACTCTTTATAACGAATTTCAAGGGACCGAGCATTTTTATTCATTATAGGGAGGAAAGAATTAATTTTATGGGTATTGTGTTAAACCAAACAAATTTAACTCATTTTCTAGTTATAGAGTTTTCGTTATAGCGAATGACGTTATAAAGAGTTTACACTGTATTTAGAAAAGGTAAAGTATAGTCCTTTTCATGAAAGAAGTCCCCCAGACGCAGCGCTGTAATCGCATGACGTAATGTTGCCATTTATGAGTTAAAAACTTACCTATTTTACAATTAGCATATTTAATTAATCAAATAATACTATTTTCTGCATACTTCTATGAAACAATATTTCTGTTATGTAAAAGTATATTTTTATTTACTTATATAAGCAGTGTTCTACCTACTTACAGGGATAAGATGAGAAAATAGAGTAAAGAAAAGCAATACAAATTTTTCAGAGTTTTATTGAATAATTTTAGATCAGCGGCCATAGGAACATCGACTGAAAAGTCGATGGAAACAGAATCTGATTCTGTTTCAGTATCACTAGCCGTAGATATAATTGTTCTTTTTTATATTGATACTCTTCCCCGGGGTGACAATTTATTTCAAAGTACTCGCCGCTGTTATACCTTCATTTGTAATTATTCTTGTTACAGCAGTTGTTACCTGCAATTAAATAATGAACTATTAAAAATAATAGTAACTTTTAGTTTATAATGCTTATGTAACTATGTAATATATGTTTTAATTTCAGTTACCTAGTTTCATTCGTTATGTATTTGTTCAATTTTGTCGCAAAAATGAATTTATATCATAAAAGTCCCATCAATACAGCAAAACATTATTATGTGGCAATTCTAAAAAGTACCTGTTATGGCGGCGAACATTGTTTAGTGGTATTAGAACACCTTGATTCTTTTGTTCCGCTTCACAGAACTCTTTCATTTTCAATATCATTTCTCGAGCCTAACTTTTTACAACTTTTGGCATTGTAAACAATCTTTAAAATGCAATAAGCTAGTTAAAAACTCACAAAAAATTTACCACAACAAACGAACTTGATAACATCGACGAACGACAACATGGCCGACCTGTCAAATTTAGTTCCAAAAATATCCGCGGGACTTCTTTCATGAAAAGGACTCTACGTAGATATGGTTTCAAAGTTATAAACTTACTAAGATTGTTTTTATTATATGTAGAGGTGCTGAAAGATTGGAATTTAATGTGTAGCTTACATATATGAAGGCTTAACAGAAGGAAAATATTTACTGGCTTCGACATAAGACATGCAGCTCTGTGCCATTTTAACGTTGATTTCTGTCTGTCTCACAAATTCTGGACATGATTTATCTATCGCTGAATGGGACCTTTCGACTTCACACATTACACAGTAGAGAGGATCTTCATCTGACCTGTCACATGATACACCTGCATATTTTTGTATGACCATAACGGCAGCATTTATAGCATTGTATCGTAGGATAAATATATATCTCTACTGGAAGAGCATTATAGCACATGAAAATCCTTTTTGGTAAAACTTGCCCATCAAATGTTATTACAACTGTTTCAGAGGGTTTCCAAGAAACCGAGTCATTTATTTTCACCTTTCGATTCAAACGTCTTATTTTAAGTATGTTGCCGCAGCCTATAGGTACGGATACATTTTGTTGAACTTCCTCTACACTACAATCTACAGGGATCCCGCGAACTAGACCCATTCTTGTTACGCTGAAAGTGGGAATGTAGGCTTTTAACTTTTTCGTTTCCAAAAGATTGCAGTTAAGAAAATTATTGGCGTCTTTATAATTTGAAAAGCCAACTACGCACCTGTTTCTTCCTATACGCTTTACACTTCCGGGAATAATATTATTAAATTTGTTCTGCTTTAAAAAATTGCCAAATGTCAGGTGAATCGTCGTCTTTGTATACGTTGAACATGTATTAAATAAGGGGAAACATCAGTAGGAACATATTATTCAGTACGGCCAATCGAACGGGGGTCCGTATTGGTTACTGAAGCTGTGGTGTTGTTTGAATTTCCCGCGTTAGAGTCTTGAGAGATATTTGAATTTTCCATGTAAGATGTTGATGGTTGAAAGGATGTGTTCAGGGCCGCGCCGCCCATATGTGCGAAGTGTGCGGTGCACACAGGCGCTAATACAATAAGGGCGCCGCCACCGAAATTATTTATACTACACTACAATATTCTTACGTACATTTGAAGTTTCATTTTACGCTTTAGGTTTTAGTTTACATTAATTACTCAGAGCTTAGCGAATCAAAAGAAAGGCCGCTGGTGACCGCCGTGAGTTTTTTGAGTGTGTTTATGTCTTATGATTTCAATAATATGCCGACATGACTATGCCTTAATAAAATCCAAAATGAACTATTTTTTATACTCGGTAACCAAATTCAACATTTTATTTTAAATTTATGTCGAATTAATAAATATTTTTCAATAATACTGGATTGTACTACTGACGTTTCACACGAAGAGCAAATTAGTATGATAATAAGATTTGTCAACTTTAACATGTAAACTAGAAAGTTAAGAATAAGAGAGCATTTCCTAGCTTTCCAATTTATAATAGCACTTTCTGCCCAATCGTAGATACAACTGGCGCTGGAGTAACGTCATCTAGAATAGAAAAACTAAACGAAATTAATTCGGACATAAAGAACTTAAGGGGGCAAGGCTATGATAATGGCTCAAATATGCGCGGTAAGAATATTGCGGGATGTAAATCTCCGCACTTTTTATGTCCGTGCGCCAGCCATAGTTTAAATTTAATAATAAATGTCGCTGCACATCTCATACACGACTGGGTTTTTTAATATTGTGCAAGAACTATATAAATATTTTTCGTCACTTTCTACTAAAAGATGGGAATTATTACAAAGATATGTCATAAATCTGACCTTAAAAACGGTTAGATTAAAATAACATCATAAATAAACTATGTAACAATTTAATTCACGTTTTATTTTTCACGGCAATTGGCCAGCGGACGTTTTACCTATTTAAGTTGATTAAACTAAAGAAAATTTTTCTTTCGGTCAAAATTAAAAAATACATTGAAACTTGAAGATTCTTAAAAAATAGGCCGAAATATAGAAGGAGTTCCCTCAAAGGCCTGCAACACACCCGCTAAAAATGTCTATGAGATTCAATGACTGCCATTTTTGTCCGTCCCTAAGGCTCGTTTGACCCCTATAGAAAAAGGAGGCGCTTCATGGGTTTCGCACACAGGCGCTGCCGGGGGTCGGCGCGGCCCTGGATGTGTTATGTGAATTATTATTATTTTGCGAGTGTGGAGATGACGTGGATTGAGATATAGGTTTAGAAATAACCTTTTTAATTTAAATTGACTCATCTTGTACATTGCATAAGCTTTCGCACTGACAGTAATCACCGCTAGGACCACTACCTTTCTTTTCTTAATTTTCGTACATTGCCGACAAAGGCGCAAATAACGTGTTCGTTTACGACTTCCTTCACCTGTCTGAGATGATAACGAACAATCCGTATCCATTTTGTCAAATTCATCTTGTGAACCAACAGATACATTTGATCCCACAGGGAGATTCAGGCCAACATGGCCTGAAAAAAAATCGCTTGCACTGTATTTTATTTAAAAAAACCGTTATAATTATATGACATATTTGTGCTCTCTAAATTTATACAATAATCCATTTCAATTCCTAATCGGTGGTTTTGAAACTGATGTAAACCTCTTTGATGTAAACTTCTTACATGATACTATTATATAATGATGACATTGTCAATCTGTTTAGACACTAACTTTTGTCAATGTATCAAATGTAACCAAAATATTTTACTGTTAATTTAGCTTCTAAAACCTTATATTCTTCAAAGGTTTTGTCTTATTTCAATTTAATAAGCTAAATTAACAGTAAAAAAGAAACATGGATAAATATCTTCGCCCTGAAAGATTTGATATCGAACCGTCAAATAGCTCTGGTACGAAAGCTTGGATACACTGGCATAAGACTTTCGAAAGCTTCATTTCCGTGCAGAAACCGACCGCTCCAGAAACAGATGCACAGTCGGTTCCTCCGTCAGAAAAATGGGACAGCATAAAGTTTCAGCTTTTGATAAATCATATATCACCAAATATATACACATATATAAGCGAAGCCACGAACTACGAAGAAGCGATCACAATACTGCAAAAACTGTATGTAAAACCAAAAAAACTGATTTTTGCTAGACACATGTTAGCAACAAGGAAACAACGATCAGAAGAAAGTATCGACATATATTTACAAGCTTTGAAACTACTTTCTAAAGATTGTGACTTTGCGGCTGTTGATGCAGAATCAAACAAAAACGATAGCGTGCGTGATGCTTTCATATCCGGTATATCATCGCATAAAATCAGACAAAGGCTTTTAGAAAACTTAAATCTAACACTTGACCAAGCTTACAACCAAGCACTCTCTCTAGAAACTGCAGAGATCAACTCTCAAAGCTTTCATACTGTGTCTTTAAATGCCGTTGAAGAAGAACCTAAATTAGTCTGTCCCAAATCACAAACTGTGCACGACGAGACCTGCTCTTCTGTTAATAATCCTCGACGACGAAAATGATTCTTTTGTGGGGGACAAATACATCCTCGTAAGAACTGCCCTGCATTTGAAAAGTCTTGTCAGCTCTGCAACAAGAAGGGGCACTTTGCCACTGTTTGCAGAAGCTCTTCTAAACCTACAAATTTTTATGGTAGTAGGTACTGAAAATCTTTCTTGTATCACAGCAGCGTCACCTTATTCATTACACAAAGCTACTGTACCCGCGTTTATTCGAGGAATAAGAGCAGAGGCACTTCTCGACACCGGCAGCTCCATCAGTTTTATAAATGACAGTTTTGCAAGACTATGCGGGTTAAAAAGAAAATCCTGCAATCAGATTATTTCTATGGCCTCTCTTAATCATACTTCACAAGTAGAAGGTCAAACTTTGCAAAGCCTGAAAATTGGAAATCATAAATATGATAATGTGAATCTTCTTATCGTGAAAAATCTTTGTGTTGACATAATTATCGGCCATGACGTCCTCGAAGAACATTCATCGCTAGAGTTCTCTTTCGGTAGGCGAAAACATCCACTTCAAGTATGTAACGTAGCCGAAGCATCAGTACCAGCTGTACCGCTTTTTGCAAATGTATCTCCCAACTGCAAACCTATTGCTATTAAGTCTCGAAGGCACAGCAAAGAGGATAGTGAATTTATTAAAGAGGAAATCAGAAACCTTACAGAAGAAGGCGTGATTGAAGAAAGTAAATCACCGTGGAGGGCCCAAGTACTAATAACAAAAACCGAAACTCATAGAAAACGTCTTGTGATTGATTACTCCCAGACAATTAATCGTTACACAGAACTCGACGCGTACCCTTTACCAAACATTGAGGACTTAGTTTCGAAAGTGGCAAAGAATTTATTTTTCAGCCTAATAGACTTGAAAAGCGCGTACCATCAAGTACCTATACTACCCGAAGAAAGAAAATTTACCGCTTTTGAAGCGCTCGGAAATTTGTACCAGTTCAGGCGTATCCCTTTTGGAGTAACAAATGGTGTTTCGAGTTTCCAACGAACAATCGATTGGATTATAAGGAAAGAAAAGCTTCAAAACACATTTGCGTATCTTGATGATATAACTATTTGTGGCCGTACTCTTCAAGAACACGATCATAACTTAGAAAGTTTTATGAATGCCGCAAAGAAATACGGTTTAACGCTGAGTATGCTAAAATGCAAATTTTCTCAAGAGTCAATTAATATTCTAGGCTATAATATTCAAAACCACATAATTAAACCTGACGGTGAGCGACTCAAGCCACTGATTAATTTACCTGCACCAAGCGATTTACCGACCTTAAGAAGGACACTCGGCATGTTCGCACATTATTCTAAGTGGATTCCAAACTTTTCTGAACGGATCCACTCATTTGCTAATACGACTACTTTTCCGCTCACAAGCGAGCAAATTAAATGTTTCCAAGGCCTGAAAAATGATATCGCAAAGTCTTCTAGACATGCAATTGATGAAAATATACCTTTTACAGTCGAAACTGACGCTTCCGATCATTCCATTGCAGCAGTACTTACGCAAAATTCTAGACCAGTGGCGTTTTTCTCAAGAACTTTGAATTCAAGCGAACAAAACCATTCCGCCATTGAAAAAGAAGCGTACGCCATTGTTGAATCATTGAAGAAATGGAGACATTTCCTTATCGGTAGACACTTTAAGTTGGTAACTGACCAACGCTCGGTTTCTTTATGTTTAATATGAAACATTCAAGTAAGATAAAGAATGAAAAGATTCAAAGATGGCGACTGGAACTTGCTGTTTTCAAATTTGATATTATATACAGACCGGGGAAAGAGAACTATGCTGCTGATGCACTATCCCGAGTTTGTGCTACTGTAGAAACACGTACTGCAAAACTTTTCTCGCTGCATGAGGCTCTTTGTCATCCAGGGGTAACGAGAATGTTTCACTGGGTTCGCTCTAAAAACCTTCCCTATTCCATTGAAGAAGTCAGAACAATGACAAAATCTTGTCAAACCTGCTCTGAAGTAAAACCTAGATTCTTCCGAAATACTTTTGATGACCAGAGGAAACTTGTTAAAGCGACGGCTGCTTTTGAACGCCTTAGCTTAGATTTTAAAGGACCAGTTCCAACAAACAATAATAATAAATTCATACTTACCGTGATTGACGAATTTTCACGTTTCCCGTTTGCTTTCCCATTCTCAGATGTAAGCTCGAAAACAGTAATTAAACACCTCAACAACTTATTTATGATATTCGGCATGCCTTCTTACGTTCATTCAGATCGCGGAACAGCAATTCTCTCTGCCGAAGTACAGGATTTTTTACATGTTAGAGGTATTGCCACAAGTAGAACTACAGCTTATAACCCTCAAGGTAACGGGCAAATAGAAAAATTGAATTCTACTCTTTGGAGAACGATTCTTTTGGCGCTGAAGACGAAGAATCTTTCGGTAGAAAATTGGGAGCAAGTATTACCACAAGCCTTACATTCGATTCGATCTTTACTTTGTACAGCCATAAATTGCACTCCACATGAAAGAATGTTTAGACACCCAAGACGATCTACTAACGGCACTTCTGTTCCATCGTGGCTTACAAATTCTGGACAAGTCTTGATGAAGAAATTTAATCGTACAAATAAATATCAGCCATTAGTAGAAGAGGTTGAATTGATACACAGCAATCCTGACTATTCATACATTCGGTTCCCAGATGGCCGAGAAACAACGGTGTCAAATCGTCATTTAGCACCATTGGGTTCAGAAGGGGTAGATCTGCGAATAAATAATGACTATCATAACGCCACAGAACCACGTACGGAAACAGAAGACCAAAACTTGGAAATTCCTTTATCTAATGAGATGGGACCTGTGGTACTTGATAATAGCAGAGAGCTAGAGACTGATCTACCATCATCACCAACGCCGGAGCCAACACTTCGTAGATCTGACATCGAGATACCATCATCATCACCGCCGGAGCCAACACTTCGTAGATCTGGCACCGAGTTACCATCATCATCACCGCCGGAGCCAACACTTCGTAGATCTGGCCGCGTCCGTAAAAGACCAGAATTATTAAAAGATTACATTTTAAAATAGTGCGGGAGAATGATGTAAACCTCTTTGATGTAAACTTCTTACATGATACTATTATAAAATGATGACATTGTCAATCTGTTTAGACACTAACTTTTGTCAATGTATCAAATGTAACCAAAATATTTTACTGTTAATTTAGCTAGCTTATTAAAACCTTATATTCTTCAAAGGTTTTGTCTTATTTCAGAAACCTTCTTATTTTTAATTAAATACGAAATTCGAGTTGGCTGGCAATATTCATTTTGAATTGTAAAACTAAGTAATCTGTGACACGGTGGATTCAGGATTGGGTTATGAGTTATGACTGTTATTGGTTAATTGGTTGTACAGTATATACTAAGTAGTAACCTTAAACATTTTTAGAAGCAGTTATTTAAAAATAATATGTTATCAACTATGAGATTGACTTTTAAGTGAAAACAAGGCAATTGTAATAGTGTAATTTAATTTACAATAAATACGCGAAAATAAACATCATGGCTCATAACTTGGCAAAAAATATTTTGAGGCAAAATCATTTCTCAATTCTGTAAGTATTTATTTTATTTGTTCTTCATTAAATAAGGACATAATTTAAATTTAATACAATTTACTGAAATTTACTTATTTTAGGTGGTGTCCTAGCGTGAAGAACTTTACAACTTTCAAACACATAATTCAGGGTGCAATATCGTGTGACCATGCTGTTTCAAAATTGACCTCAAATCAAAATCGAATCTACATAAAGAATAGATTTTATGCAACTAACACAGCACAGAAAACAGATGAAGAGTACATAACTGATAATAAGATAACAATTCTTGGTGAAGATATACCCAGTCCTTTTCGAGATATAGATAGCTGTGGATTTCCAGAATACATAAAAACAGTATTGAAAGAGCAAGGTATTACAACTCCAACTGTAATACAGTCTCAAGGTTGGCCAATTGCATTGGCAGGTAAGAATTTTGTAGGCATTGCACAAACCGGAACTGGTAAAACATTAGCCTATCTCTTACCAGCAGTTGTTCATATAAAAGAAACTGAAGGTAGACGGGGTAGGGGTCCAAGAGTTTTAATTGTAGCCCCAACAAGGGAGCTAGCCCGTCAGATTGAAGAAGTTGCAAAAGAATTTCAAAAGTCTTTAGGAATTCGCTCTTTGTGTATTTATGGTGGTGTTAGCCGAAGTAGACAGGCAGAGGAGTTAAAGTATGGAGTTGATATATTAATAGCAACACCAGGACGACTTAATGATTTCATTGATAGTAAAGTTACCAATCTGTCAAGATGTAACTATGTTGTATTGGATGAAGCTGATAGAATGTTGGATATGGGTTTTGAGCCACAAATAAGAAAAGCACTTGAGGGGGTACCCTATGAAAGACAAATACTTATGTTCTCGGCTACATGGCCTAAAGAAGTCCAATATCTTGCAAAAGATTATTTAGGAAAATTTGTTCAAGTTAATGTGGGATCAACTGACTTAACAGCAAACCATAATATTAAGCAGAATTTCTATGTTCTTGAACAAGGACAAAAAATGGATAAGTAAGTCATCATAATGTATTGTATTTTCTTCTTCTTTCTTTTAAGCAGAAGTTACCCAAAGAATTACCATTAATAATATTAATTCCATAATATTAGTTGACCATTACACATTTTTTTCAGACTGGATTGTAGAGTATATGAGTTTATCTTTTGAAACATTTTTTTGTTGCAGGCTGAAACAAATAATGCATGACATAGCTGGTCATGGTTTTGGTAAAATTCTTGTATTTACAAACACTAAGAGATTTGTGGATAATTTGACACTCTCATTGAGAAGAAATAAATGGCCTGCTGTAGGTATTCACGGTGATAAGTCACAGGCACAGAGGGATGTAATAATCAATAAATTCAGAAGTGGTACAACCAATATTCTGGTTGCTACAGATGTGGCTGCGAGAGGATTAGGTGGGTCTAAATTTTTTGTCAATATTCCTGTTTTTAATGTATATTTGTTGACAAGTTTGGGCAAAATGAGAATATTACACTTCTCCTGTTGACTATCAGCTACAGGAGCCACTAAATACTCCGGTTTTATAAGTAAATTTTTGTGATTTTAAAAAATAGTATTTCTTAACCAATTTATTTCATATGTTGATATTTTTCAGATGTTGATGGAATTACACATGTGATCAACTATGATTTCCCAAATACTACAGAAGATTATATTCACCGAATAGGACGGACTGGCCGTTCACAAAATAAAGGTGTTTCTTACACATTCCTTACAACTGAAGAAGGTCGTCATGCCCACAGCATTATAGCTGTTTTAAAAGAAGCCAAGCAGGTAATAGTTTTGGAAAATAGCTCTAGCTAATTTCAATTTAGAAGAACTAGCTTAATTTAAAGCTAATTAATTTGTACCCATTATATATATATTTAATACTAGCTGGCCTGGCGAACATCGTACCGCCTAACAGCCGATTCTTTATTTTTATAAAATACTTATTCTGCTATTCGGGACACCGGTCTAGCTAAGATAAAAAAAAGAAAGTTGATAAGACAAGAAATACATTATGTCAAAAAATAAAAATTTACCTTCCAAGAACCCCTCCACTAACACTTGAACTTTATGATATGGTATTAAAGTTCAAATTGACTTTTAAGTATTATTACGAATATTATGTATGGGAATATAGAAAAGTGTTGTTTTTAGACTTTTTCACTCAATTTTTTAAATTTTTCTCTTAAGAACCATCCTCGGACTTCAAAGAATATTATAAAAAAAGAATTGGCCAAATCGGTCAAGCCGTTTTCATGTTATGTCGTGACAACGGAAAACGGGTTTCATTTTTATATATATAGATATATTGCTTAAGCATTTGGTTACAGTTTTAGCTACCTAAGTTTTTAGGGTTTTAAGGTACTTAAGGTTAACTTACTTGCATATGATGATAAATTGCCACTACAGAAATTTAAAGTACTAATCAAGATTTGTATATTATGACTGTTTATATGCTCATAAAAAGCTAATCTTGGTCACCTTTTTTCTAAAGCCTTATTATCAATAAATCTATATAGAAATAATTTGCTAGGAATTAAAAACCCCCACTTATGATCAAAATATTGGTTATTGCTGAAGATAAGTGTTAACCCCTAAGTTAAGATATTGTATTATTCGTTTTTATTATAGATTTTTTAAAATAAATATATAAAATATGTTTATTATATTTTCAGGAAGTTCCAGAGGAGTTAGAGTTTTTAGCAAGAGATTTCAGCAACATGAAAAATGTCAATACTCATATGAAGCAAAGACCAAAACCGAGGAATTATAATTTTAGAAATAATAGAAATAATCGATGGAATAATTATGATAGAAATAATTACTATTAACATTTGAACAAATTTGTTTAGACTTAGTTTATTTGCTTTAGGTGAATACCGTGATCAATACAACCTTGTAGATGATATTATACTTTGAAAATAAACTTGGTAAAATTTGCTGTTTTTTTTTATTAATTTATTACAAATTAATTAAATAATTAAAAATTAAAGAATCATTGTGTCACCCAGCCTTTTTTATGTAGGTATAATTAAATTTGATTACAACAATCAATTTGACAATTTAAGTGTCTTAAGTACGTTATCTATGGACTATGCTTAATGAAATTAAGATTAATCTGCGTAACCAGTTGCCATGGCAACGGCATTCTTGCGTTTAAGTTTACATTGCATAACATTGTAATGTTACCTAGAAAATAATGTAAATTTATATCGATATGGCTGCATTGCTACCAGATTTAGATATTAGGACTGTTCTAAATGTTGTAGAGGAAAATTATGAAAAACAAAAATTGGTAAGTACTTTAGTAACTTAATTTACTCTTATAGGTTTTAAAAGTTATTTAATTGGTAATATAATTAATATTGATAAGATGACAATTAAGATAAATATCTTAAGCCTTGATTTGTTCCTTATAATATGATAATTTTTTTTATATTTTTGGAAGACTTAAGTTATTCCGCTCAGATTTAGAGTCGAGACTTAGCACTAAATATTGTCTGTGGTAGTTGCTTATCATAGATTTAATTTGGTTAAGGCTTGTATTCACTTTGATTAGTGATTAGTGCAGGTGTGTAGTGCAAGTACTGTCCAATTCTTGTTTCTCTCTGTTAAGTAAATTCAATTGTCGATCAGCAAGTTTGGACGAACACCGAGAAGCGCGCTTGCTATTGGAAGAAGCACCTGAAATCGAAGTATGGGTTCGAAAATGGATTAATAGAACACCCATTCATGGCGCAAGCTACTCTATAAGGAATTGGCTGCTGAAGATACGACGAAATATTACTTTGCTCTCAGGTTGACCGAAGAGTCCTGCTGCCTGTCCAGACGTGTTTTGGCAGGCACGCTGCGAGTGAGGGGGAAGGGAAGGCGCACGCGAAGTCACTACTCGAAGGAGCACGCTTCTTATCACTTTATTACGCAGCCAACTAATCACCTGTACTAATCACAAATCTAAGTGAATACAGGCCTTTATATAAAGTAGGTACTAAATTATTTTTGATCAACTCCAGAAAACATTTGCAATACGTATGATATACGCCGGAGAACATTGTCTACCAAAGGATGAAATAATAAAGCACTTTGAACAAACGATACAAGATGTGAACTCCACATATTGCGAAATTAATGTTTATGGCTTATTACTGGTTTACGACAGTTACTTTGTACATATTGTTGAGGTTGGTGGAACTTAAAATTACTATAAATCAAAAGTAGAACGGCTCGTAGTAAAAATTATGCGCTTGGAGGCTTTTGGCTAAAGTTTTATTAACTAGGGACTTATGGGAAACGGCAACTATTTCTGGCTGTGCCGGGGGCGCTGTTGAGATTACACAGTTAATATTGTTGAGGTAATGACTGACCGAAATCACAAGAGTTGCATTGTCCATGACTTTTTATGATAAGGTTTAGCTTAATTTATTCTTTTCTATCGAATCAATATCGAATGAAATATAAAAAGAATCGTTAGAACTTCGACCCACTTTATTGACCGACTTCTTACTTAAGATCTAATTTATTAATGCATCACTTAGGGCTCAGAAGACACAGTTCACAGACATTTAAGGTTCCTTTTTAATAGTGAAGTAAAATGGATAGAGTATATGAAAAAACAGGACGAAGAAGCAGCCAATATTGATGACGAGGAAATGGAAGGAATAAAACTGCTAGAGGAGCCATCAGAACCAGTAGACAGAAAAATGTTTAAGCGCTTGAAAATGTTGATTGTTTATCATTCTATAACAGCGGTTAGTAGATTGTTGAGTATGAATTAGATAATTGAACATTTTTGCTACTGAACCATTTTGTGGAATTGAAATAATTTTGCCGTTGTGTCAATGCGTTAAATTTTAACTGGGTTACCTGACGTATAATTTTATTTCTATTATTATATAATTACTGTGAATTATCATTACTTCTGTACCAGAACATCAGTTATTGGTGGAAATATACCTAACTTTTAATAGTCATTGTTTTGTAGCGTTTATTTGACGATTGGCGTGCAATAACGGCACGCCCGCCTTCGCTTGTCGGAAAGCTCGACGTGTTCGGCCCTTTAGCGGAACACGTAGAACAATTAAGAATTTGTCTTGACAAAATAAGGAAATTTTGTGCCCTTGCCCAAGACGATGAAGAGGTGAGGTTAATCGTAATTCACTTAGATGCTTAATTACTTTGATAAACTGAATGAATGATGATTATAATTAACATGATAATTGAGAAAGTACGTTTGAATTTCCTTACATAAATAAAAGTTTTTTTACGCAAAATGTAAACGAAATGTAATTTATATACTTTATCAATAAGTCTAATTGGACCGTTTGAACTAATGTAGTAAATTGTCTCTTTTTTTATCGCAGTGTACAAAATTTGACAGGCACAGACAGAGACGAAAGAACATTTTAGTTAAAAAGTATTAGTACATGTTTATTAGTACTTTTTAACTAAACTAAACTTTATAGGTAGGTAAATGCGTTAAGACTTACCTACCAGATACGGCTAAAACGTGTTTCATTTAACAACACTATAAACACATTGGAAATTATCTATACTTTGCATATATTATCTTCCATAAAGAACATATTATCATTTGTAAATAGCCTGTAAATTTGTTCAAGAATGGGAACGACATTAGCTCACGCTAAGTCACGTGATCATTTTCATACAAATTTGTTTGGCGTTATTGGGGGTCACGCCTGTTGTTAAGCGAGTTGTCTCAATATCATGTAACTTGTGTCCAAACTACTAAACACCTTTTTAGTTTATAAACTAAGTATTAATAATAAATAAAAATAACCCAAAGAAACAAATAGCGGTAGGTATTTTATGAAACTAAAAATTCCACATAACAGGACGATGAAATTAACGAAGCGTGCTTGCTAAAGAAATCGACAAAAATCACTTTTTCAGCTCTCCTTCACGGGTCTCAGCGCGAATGACCCAAAAATGGAGGCGTTACCAGAGATTACGCTGTTGGATTTCTTACTTGCGTCACAGCATATACTGGATCTTCGTCACGTCGTTCATTTGCATCGACGGGTTGATGATTACGCCTTCTATTTCGGTGATTACCTTAAATATTACATAATTGGAACCCAGTACTTCAAACTTCTTCAAAACTTTATTTTTTATTATTCAAATGTTACTTGGATATTCTTGTGTTTAGTACCAAATATGTTCACGGAAAAAATTCATTGTTAATATTTTTTGTCTTTATGTATATTTCAAGTTCTTTCTCCATCATTTCGGTTTTCATTTAATTTTCTAACAAACATCGCCTTGTTAGTTTTTTTAAGGACAAAAAATGTTACGTTTTTAAATGTACAAGGCATATACGAGATGGCCTCGCTGATTCAACCAGAGAGAGTAATATTATCCTTTTTTTATCAAAATTTGTGCTTTTTATAAGAAACAGTATAACAATTAAATTACTTTACAGAAAAAGTGTGGCCGCTACCAACGCACTTTACGCCAAAACTCTTGTACAAGTTAAAGGTAGACGATTCGTTTGTGGAACCATTACCAGTAATGCCATGGGAGCTTGTAAAGAAGGAAGTCGCAGAAGACGAAGAAAGAGAAGAACAACAGAGTGGTAGTTCGTCCAGTGATTAATGTTTAGTCTGTAAATGATTTCTGTGATTTAGAAATAACCGTGAATGAAATAAAAATTAGCTTGTGTCATCCGGCAACTCGCACTCGGATCATGCCAATTATTAGTTGCTAAAAACCAAGTTAAATAAATGCTAATGTTAATTTTGGTGGTCTTAGAAGCGTCATTCTGTGCTCAACACAACACAAGAGCTTAGCCAAAATTTGGTATTACATAGAGTGCATCACTAAAGAGCCGCTAAGTTATAGGTACTTGACAGTCTTTAGTATTTAGTTGAAGAATATCTACCAGGAGTAGAGTAATTGTTAAGGTTATGATGATAATTATAATCTTGCACCAGTGCATCTTTTCCAGCGTTGGATGTCACTCCATCACATAGTACCAATTTACTATGTATAAAGTAGTAAAAATCACGAATTTCCCTATTTGTCTTTAAAGTCTAATCTGAATTGCGTTTCTTACCAACCGAATGGTTGATAAAAGCGCAGTTCAGATGAGCGTGGACTAACGATTAAATTATTTTTATTTTATACTCGAATTAAGTACCAAAAATAATACCTTTGCATGTTCGATCTTGCTTTCCCAGTCCCAAATACACCTAATATCTGATTCATTGAGGAATTTATATATTTAGATGTTTGCCCCTAATAAAGAAAATCAATTTTGACGCTAACGAACAAAATCGTGCCAATTTTTACTATGTCTAGTTCCAATGGTTCTTCATAAAAACACTGGATCGGACATCCGATGTTTTAAATATTATTAAAATAAAGTTTTCTTAAGCTTGTTAACTCGCAAGTTACAATTTGAATGTGCTTAGTTTGTTAATATTTTCATGGAGTAGTTGCACACAATGATCATGTCTATCTGCTATTTTTAATAAAACTTTTTGTTAACTTATATTGGATGTTTTATTACATATCTAAATAAAATAAAACTAAGCTGCTAGTTTTTTTTCCGGTTCGGTTGAAAAGTTAGTTCAATACATTGTACTATAGCAACCAGTTTCCACAGAGATATTGATATAATTTGTGAATATAAAATCAGATTACTCTAAAGAAACTCGTATCACTTCTAAAGAACAGAAACAGTATTATGGAGAAGAAAATTAAAAGAGATAAACAACCTAGTGTCAAGCTTCCACTAATAGACGGCGCCAGTTCTGATGGTAGACGTACAATTCTCGATACAGATCCACATTTTTACTCTTTGATTGACGGAAGACCTATCAGACCAAACAAATCTATACTGAAATATAAACAGGACATAAGAAATATAGCCTTAAAACGGACGGTTTGCGGCTTTTTAACTGACGAAATATTACGAATAGACAGAGAAATTGAAACAGAGAGGAAGAAATATGAAACAGCTTCGAAACATTTTGATGAATATCAATATAGCTTTGATAAATTCTTAGCACACGATAATAACAAAACGATAGCAATAATGAGAAAATCTGATAACCTATCAAAAGATTTAACTAAGCAAGTTGAAGAACACAAAGCAGCTAATTACGAATACGCAACACTCAAATCTAAATTACAATATATAGAAGAGACATTACAAATAATGGTTTCCTTTCAATTTTTTTTATATAATGCAGCTCCTATTATGTGGCGAGAAACAGTGCCAACGCCAGTCGATAAAGCAGAAATTTTGGAATCTGATTCAAATATATTCTCGAAAATTGATATAAATGCTGTAAAACTAAGATTAAGTCAACTAGCCCAACCGTGCCTTTATTTCGAAACTCCTATTCAGTTGCTTAATGTTTTCAATACTCTTGAGAAACAGAATTTGAATTACTTACTAGTGACTGAGGAGTTGAATGCGGAAAAGCAACAGTTTCTAATGTCTGTTCAACGTCTGAAAATTCTGATGGATATGGAATTAAACTTTATTCAACAAAAGGTATTCTTTCTTGCCTAATTCTTAAGTACTATAATATATATAGTATTTATAACAATAGTAGTAATATAATACAGTATTTATACAATATTATTTCAGATACTTTTACACTTGAACATGTTTATATTTCTATCATCTCATTCTTTTTAGACATCTGTGTGCCCTCTTTTGGCAAAGGCCTCCTCCAAATCCCGCCATTCCTGTCTGCACTGTGCCACGTTTCCTTAATCTGGTCTATACACATTCTAAATTGTCTTCCTTTTTTTCATTTATTGTACTTCCTTGCTCCACCACATAGAGTATTTATCGAGTATTCACCACCTGATTTCTGTAATATAACTATTTATGATGTAGGTAGAGATAGTTTTTATTCATTCAGTTTGGAAAATCCAAATTGTAAACTTTTGTTACAATAGGCATATACGCTTTTCTTCTCTGATTGTCGTTGTAACACACCTTATATTTTGTTCTCAGATAAAAGAAATCGACGATATTATCAAATGCAACGTATCAAGAGAGTTAGAGCTTAAAGATGCATTTTATAAACTTCTTAATAAAAATATTAAGTATTTAGTGTCATCTAAGACAACTCTTCAGATTTTCAACTATGTTGAATTTGCTTTTGAGAAAATAATTGCTCCTAATGAAACCAATCTCAGTTCTCTGGAAATGATGTATTGTCTTGAAAGAGAATTTAATAATATAATGATAGATTTAACAGCATTCGACTTAAATGATGTTAAGGTCATAGAAAAGGAAATATACAGCGAAGGGGTTTCACAAATAATAAAGGCTAAGTTGGCAAACAAATTGCTAAAAAATGTTGATAAATTAAATAAACGTATGAAATCAGCATATGAACCCTCTAAAAGACCTCTTAAAAATTAAATATTCGTTAAGTATCGTTTTATTATAAAGCTTTTATAAAAATGAATGCAATAGAAATATAATTTTAAAATAAACTAAACATGTAACCTTGCATATGCATGCTGTGTATTTATATTATTATTTTTAAATTTCTACTAAATTAAATGTTCGAATAAAAGGTATACTTGTTTCGAATTGGAAGTCACAGAACACTGTACAGAGATGCGACTATCTCATTAATAGTCGATGGGACGTCACATAACCCAGAACAAAAACAACTCGCAGTCACACTCAAAGAAGTTTAATTACTTGTATTACTATAAACCGACAAATTCACGTTATTTTTCTATCAAGTTATAGATCTGTCAATTGCACTGTCATTTAAAAGACACAAATCAACAATTTTGTAATGTATTGAGGAATTTTTAATGATAATTGTTATAATATTTATTTGATATAAGTAGTTTTTAAAAATGTCGTGTCTAAAGGAGGAGCGGGCACCTATACGCCCGTTGAAAACGTTGGACATTATCTTTCGTCGCCGTTATGTTCCAAATACACAACATTACTATACTAATCGAGTTACAGCTATCAAGAAAGAGGAAAGTAAAATTAAACCATCTCGGCCGTTTGGAGTTCCAAGATCTGAAAAACTTCTCTCTTACATAAAGTATAGTGATCGGAATGAAAAGTTAATATCCAAGCGACGTCTATCGCAACCTCTCCATTTGAAAGATAATTTAAGGATTGCAGCTACTAGGGATATATCTAAGCGACTGTACTTACAGGAGCCTCCTGATGATGTAGAGACGGTTTTGAAAATCCACCCTGAGTTCTATACTGTGATAGAAGGACGCCCCTTACGATGTTTTGATGATATAAAGGTTTACGTTAGTAATATCCGTAATTATGCAATGAATCGACAGCAGATTGGATACAGAAGAGACTTAATATTAAAAATAGATCAAAGCTTGGCAGAGGAAACTGAAGAGCATGACAGAATTATTATACAATTAAAGCAACACATTAAAAACTTTCAAAAGTTTTTGACGGAAGATTATAAAAACGCATGTGCAAAGGTAGCTAAAACAGAAAAAGTTTTTGCAGACTTGGTTGCAAAGAACTCGGAGTTTTTGGGTTACGTTTCAAAAATTACTCTATTAAATAATATTTTATTTAAATTTGATGCCATAAGGGGTGTTTTAAAAATTTACAGAAGTTACTTAATATTTGTTGCACCTCTTTCTTGGAGACAGAAATATGATGAAACATTGAGAGATAGAATTCAATCAATACAGTTTGAAACAGGCGAATTTGTGACGGATAATGATTTAGTAGAAACTATGGATATTGATAAAATGATCGAAGTAGCTAAGCAAGAGCTTCGAAATCCTCTTCCCGCAAACATTTATTTTAAACGACCTGAGCAGATGATGTATTTATTCAGAATAATGGAATTACAAAGCCGGGAATACTTGATTCAACTTTCCAAAACCGATGCGCCATTTAGAATTTTACAAGATCGTATAAAGCAATTGAAACAAGTGACGAAACAAGAACTTGATCATTTTCAGTACTACATTAATTTTATCAACAACGAAATAGCAAGAGAAACATTCAACGAAAATTATTTAAGAGATAAGTTCTTCAGAATCTTAAGTACCACATTTTACGATAGCGTAGCAAGTCCAACTACATTAAAACTTCGTATATGTATTGAATATGTGTATGAACAAGTTTTCGGTAAGTGTGAGGAAGGGCACCAAAGTATACAAGATCCTATGAAAATATTAGAAGTTATGTATGAAGATTACAATTTGCGATTGGATTCTCTGGACTTTAAGATAGTCAATCAAGCACGAAGCGATTTCTTTGCGCAAGACTTAAAAACTATGACTAATGCATATAAAGCACAGCGAGAGTTAAGAGCTTTTAGAGAGATGACGAATGCTATGAATAAAGCATTTTTACCACCAGCAAATTATACTAGGCCAGTTCTCAAGAAATTTTTAGATAAGAAAAGCAGAATTGCGTTAGCAATTACAGAAAGAAGAAAGTCACAAATTACGAGTGGAGACAGACCGAAACAAAAGAAGTATAAAATAAGTCCAGAAGAAAGGGAAGGTCTACTTTTCTTTACCAATTGGTGTGAAGGTACTAATCCAGCACCTTATTTGGAGGAGTACTACAAGTATGTTAAACCTTCATTTGAGTGGGTACCTCGAAAATCAATTTTTCCCTAAAACGATATTATGATTTCACCTTTTTATTTAAACACATGTAAACTATTTATTAAATTGGCAACTATAAAAACACGATGGCTTTTTATTCTAACGTAGTTTTTTAAATAATATTTAAATATTATTTTAATTGTTGTATTTTGATACAAATATTGTGGAACATGAAGGCTAGTTATCGTCCTTCTATGGCCATAGAAGTGAAAAGGCCGCCGCAATATAAATATGAAGTTTTAGACACATTAAAGCACGAAAAAAAAATAAGGCGCCCCGTTAAATTCTTCATCAGTAAAAATGCTAGTAAATTGAATATACCAAAAGAAGAAATAATGCCCGTGCGTAAATTAAAACGAACAAATGTTTTATTACCATTTAAATTATTTATGAAAAAGCAAGACAGTATTCGATTTAAGAAACGTACTGCGATCAGTATATATGATAAACAGAAAATTTATAGCAGCCGGCCTTTAGAAAACTTATCCAATATTGAATCTTTTGTGAAAATAAACACCATAACAGACACAGATACATATTTCTACAAATGTGCAAATGGTCGTCCCATAAATTTTAAAGACCCTGTCTTCAAATCTCTGAAACTTTTTTATAATGATTATATAAGAAGAAAACATGAGATTGCATACAAGAAAGATTGCGTTTTAAATATTAATATCAATAAAAGGAATGAGGAACATATTTACGATCGGAGTACACGACGAGTTATAAGCCAGGTGAATTATTTTGACACATATATATCCGAAGATTATCGCAATTCGATGTCTCTTTTAACAAAATGGGAACAACTAGAGCAAAAAGTTGACTTAAAAATAAATGAACTGTATCATTTAGCTAATGAAATGTTCAGCATTAAGTCTCGTATAATAAGTTTAGATTATCAATATAGTCAGCAACAAAAGTATGGCAGATTTTTGTACTACTTATCTCCTCCAACATGGCGATTAAATAATAGAGAGTTTGCAAGATCGGTAGAAATTGAAGCTAAAGGTTTTGACTATGGTGAGTCCCACGATGAAGATACATTTGCAATAATATTTGACAAATTACGTAGTATTTGTTTCGGGCAGCCAATAAAACCTGTACTGTATTTCAATTATCCTCAAGATCTTGTAGAAGTTTTCGATACAATGGAGTATCAACAATTACACTATTTTACGCATGTTACGCATTTAACGCCATACATAGAAAATTTAAAAGACAACCTACAATGTCTTAGAGATATTATTGAACAAGATAGTGTGTCTATCTTAAATTCGGTGAAGACGTTTGAGACAAATTTACAGTTTTATGAAGCAAAGTGTTCACACTTAAAATCAAAGTTTTTTAGAATATTATTTGGAATGTTTTACGATTCAGTTGGTACGTTAGACGTCTTGAAACTAAGGCTACATTTAGAGTTTTGTTTCGAGAAAGTTCTCTTAGATAAACCAATGAACATGGGTATAGTTTCGGTGGCTAAACATCTTGAAAGTTTTTTTGTAGATTACTCATATCGATTGGATAATATACACAGTGAAACAGTACGTCGAGCGGTGTCAAAATATCAACAGATGGAAAACCAGAAAATGATAAAAGCTAAAAAAGCGTCTAAAGAGCTACGACTTTTCAACCGATTGGAAACACAATTACTTCGTGCTCATGGCTTTGGATGTCCTAAAACTTCAAGTTCTCAAAAAGTAATTCGAGAGAAAAGAGTTTCTAATAATTGTATACGAAGTAAAATTAGCCCAAACTTGAGTGATTTTAAGAAACATGAGTCCTTGACAGCTGATGAAATAGAATATTTGGCGCTTTTTACTGACTGGACTGAGAACGAAGATCCAGCTAAATATCTCCAACGCTTAAGTAGATAATCTCAACTGCTGAAACTATTTATTACGCTATTTGGACATTTGAAAAAAAACATTATTTATTAATTCTCTGAAATATCTTTGAACTTGTGGCGTAATAAGTAATTAATTAAAGCGTTTTACAGAGTAAATATATTTGGATTTTATTTGTTTTCAGACAGTATTTTAGTATATCCATGTGAATAATAAAATAAAATTCTTTTAATAAAAACAGACTTTATTAAGGGAATCCATATGTAGACAGAACATTAAATGTACGAACAATACAATAATAATGCATCAAGTGTCAATAAAATAATCTTTTAACAAAATATAATATGACCTACACTTACAAATGTTTGGTTTCTTGGTATTGACGAATAACTACAGGTTACGGAATTTACATATTTACATGGGTCTTACAACAAATTATGGTAGAAGCGTTATTAAATATAATAAATCTAAATGTCTCCTAATAGCTCTAAGAGTAAATAAATACTTACTTAATTCACATATTCAAATGATTAGTGTTGTGAAATAATGCAAGAACAATCAGAGGTTTAGTAATAAAAATTCACACGCTCCTAACTATATGTACACCTTATGTACAAGAGTTACAGAGAAAACATCCAAAGCTCTTACAATAAAGCCCAAAGATTAGAAACAAATCTTAAAAGTAATATTTTTGGATCAAAGCTGAGTTGGAGAAAGTTCTCAGAAAACGATTTCGGTACACATTACCAAGAAGTCGTTTAACGTTAAGTGAATTCATATATTTTATAAGACGGATCAGGTCAACAAATAAGCCTTTGAGGATTTATAACACAGATAAATAACAATAATTGTTTATAACAGTAACTACTATGCATCTTTCTAAAGAACCTTCGGTAAATAATTTACAAATAAATGTGATTGATCTGCATAAATTAGGCGCACTTTTTGTCCCGAAGATCTTGTCTCTATGCCAACTCATTTACATTATCTAATTATTCACGCAACCGAACAACTGTCGCAAAAGCCATCTAACTCAACTTTCTATATATATCTAAATCCTTGACTAAAATTATTGGTTTTTATATTATTAAAAATTATTTTAGTCTGTTATTAATGGTCCCACACAATTTTGTGAGCCAAATTAACGTCTTTGCTTATCTAGTTAGCTTTTATTTGGGGATTACATAATCAGTCCTACAATCATGACACAAAATTAATTTGCAATAAAACCTCATGAGCTTCCTCATTTCCTATCTAGCTATTTTCAAAAGAAAATGACTAGTTTCTATATTAATTTATCAAAATATTCGTTTCCTTCAAAATGTTCAATATAACTTGAGCAACATTATGATGGAATATTTTCATAAGACGTTACACATCTATAGTAAAAACAATATTTGGTGTTCCTACCGTGGACGTGGTTAGCGTATTCATACCACGTTGGTATGAAATGCTTATTCGTTCAATATATCGATAAACTTTAACCATATAGCCTTAGCTGTACCAGAAGTTTATCTAACCCGCTTCTTTTGTAATTTCGCAAGTTTTCTTCTCTTGAGTATCATTTCATATAACGCGTCCAATCCTTCGTGTAGACCTTCTCCGGTAATAGCGCAAGCCGGCTGGACGTGCCATGAATGTGCATCTCTAGATCCGTGAGGGGAGGAAACTAATTCATGAAGTCCTAACAGTTTCTCCAGCTCTCGTGGTTCCTTTGCCCCTGGCAAATCCTGCTTATTGGCTAATACGAGTATTGGCACACCCGTGTTATCCGGAGACTTTGCTGTTCGTATAAGTTCCATTTTAGCTTCCTCCATTCGCTCTACATCTACCGAATCTAAAACAAATATTATTCCATCTGTGCACCTAGTATAAGATTTCCACAGAGGCCGCAGTTTTTCCTGACCACCGACATCCCACACAAGAAAGTTGACACCCTTTGACTTTCCAATGGTTCCTTTAACTTTCTCGCAGTTAAAACCGATTGTGGGGACGGTGTTCAGATATTGATCGAATTTGAGTCTGTAAAGGGCAGTAGTTTTTCCCGCGGAGTCAAGTCCAAGCATAACAACGTGTAAAGTGCCTTGCGCTGATGGCAGCGCGTCGAGCAGGCTCGAATTTTTGCCCATATTTGCACCCATGCTGCGTTGCGATGGGTCCACTATCTGACACTTTCATTTGATCGCAGCATTATGAGCGCAACCTGAAATGATAAAAATACACAATTAGATTTTTTGTAAATATTATATCCGGACTGAGACAGAGAGACCAAGACTAGAATTTCTTATTCATAGACAAGTAAGCGCTGATTCCTATATTACATTCCCGGTCCGAGATAGAAAAATCGATAAGGTCTGTTTATTTTAAATATGCACATTCTCTATTACACGTACTCATAAAATTAAAGCCAAAGCAAAAACTACGAGCATCAAAGCTCATTTTCGAAAGATAGTACTTGAAATTTATTATGCATCGTAACTCGTAGCGATACTTAAACCACTTTAATAAGCAGTTCAGTACCAGACAACCTATATTAGAATTCAATAACGGTGCTCGACTATAGAGGTGCGGGGGGAGAGGCAGTATACGAGTACAGACAAAATGTCGCCACGCTGCCCTTATAGACGTTACAGACCTTTCACATCTTGAATGAAGTACGGTACAAATTGATGCTCGTTGGGTACGGCTTACAGCTTCTAACATTTAAATTCTGAACCTTTAAAATATTATTAATATTTCTTAGTGACGTTTTTACTTATTAGTGTAGAACAAACTTATAAATTTAGCACAGTTCCGTTTTAATATAACCTTATCAACTTGGGGTCGAATCAGAGTATGCTCTTAATTACTACTTCTAGACGGTTTTAGAGATTTTTTTCCAATTATTAAACCAGACAGATGACGTTATCTTTTTAACTAAAGAAAAAACTTGTACTAAAATGCTTTAATACTGCGATGAAGAGTAGGATCGCGTCAGCATCAGTCGGTTCGACGACTTTTTGCACGGTTTCTGCGTTCAGAATCGCGCAGTTAACTTTGCTTGTTATTTTTGACTTTGTCGGCCAACGACCTCCGCGCAGTACAGCAGACAGAATTATTGTATTAATACATTACTGTACCGTAATGCATTTAATGTTGTGTAATGTTCTAATGAAGATCTAACTACATAACTAATAATATAAATGCCAAATATTACTGTTCTTGCTTTTAAAACGCAGAATTTGATAAATTTACAATTATGAGGTATTTAGGTTATTATTATTTAGTGCATTGATTCATGTTTAGGAATTTAATGTATCCTACAACTATGAATTAATCCGAAAACCAAAGTGATCGGGAATTTCACATGTGAATCAGGGATTATTGGTTCAAAGAGAATGCTTAATTTGTAAACAGACACTGATACTATAATAAAAAGTTGACCTAGTTTAATGTCTCAACATTTTTAATTCGATGGATGAAAGTGTAAGCTGATTAGTTGTAAACAGGTGCAGAATCGGGTTAATCTTCGGCGTGGTTTCCTTTATTTAAATTCGAGGTCATTGCAAACGGATCCTCAACATGATCGACTAACTAGTTGATGAACTTGTCTAACTACTTTTGTTTTTATTGGGATGGTTTCGATAATGTGCGCTTTATCTTTGACCTCGTCGTTAGCCTACATTTTATTTTCCACTTGTTTCGTAATATTAGCCTGTCGATAAGGGTCTTTTACTTTCATACTATCTGATGCTAGCTTGGCAGAAACAATTAGGTTATATCATAGTTGTAAATCTTCATAACCTATAATAAATCTTTCTCGCGTTTTAAGCATGCCATGAAACAAATCCGTCGGTATTTTCACATTTACGAAATACTTGTTTCTTTTATAGTTATGTGAGGAAGACAGCGCAAGGAATATCGCAGATACATCCAGTGCAATATTTTACTTATGCATTACCGTATTGAACTTTAAATTATCATCACTCATCATGGTGAGCGAAGTCAACTTGAGGTCGAAGTCAGGTGAAAGCCTTAAAATCTTCTGTAATAACTACTTTCTCTATTTGCCCTTAGGCACACCCAAACGAGTTGTGTCAGAGTAGATATTTGAATAAATTTTATTGGATTTTAGAACATTATCCTTAAGCTCTGCGTGTCCTCACTCAACGTTGTTAGATGCATATAGAAAGTATGAAATGATATTTGATTATCATAGCTAATAAATTGCAAAGCCCTTCCGGCTTAACTACTTATCAGATGACTATGCATTTTCATATAGATAGGGCTTTGAACAACACACGATATTTTGTATCACTATTCTACTTTCCCAGACGGCCTTTGAGTTTTGTAGAATAAAAGAAATTTTAAGCTACTTAAGAAATTGTTAGATTATTAAAGTATATATATACTTATATCTTAAATGAACGGGTCAGAACTATACTTGTCTCTTTTATATAACTAGATAAAACAGAGACAGAAACTTGACTGATATCATTACGGTGTTAGTCCCATACTGAACATGTCCTTAGACACTTCCGTATACGTCGATGACCTGTCGCTATTGAGATTGCTAGAGCACTAACCTACTGAGTTACAAATATAAGAGCTTTAAATTTACTAGCGGTACATACAAAATCGTATTTTGTTTATTAAAAGTAAACTTAACAGATAAAAATGCATTGGTACAATACAACAATATAATTTAAAATAAATTAGTGGTATTATGTCTGGTTAAAAGTCAGGGTATTTTACATTTCTACAGTGCATCTCCAGATGGGATTAAAACATTCTACACTGTGTTGTACTACAAAATATTTTGTATGAGATTCCGATTTCATTCACATATGGGCTTGAAGAACTTTAAGACTGAATAATAGCAAGAACTACTTTTAATCCAAAATATGTATGTGAGTATTAATTTTCTATTAAAAATATTGTCCAATATAATTTACATAAATATTTAATCATAAAAAGATGAACTTTCTCTAACTTTCTAACAAATATTTCGGTACGTTTTTGATTTGATCATTCTATTTGGTAAGCACCATATACAACTACTTTACGTTAAATGGTAAACGATGAAATGGAGTCAAACATAATTATCATAAAACTACCTAAAGAATTAAACAATTATGCCTAATTATTAACATTGTAGCCACTAATCCCATCGCAGTCGAATGCGAAAGCGACCTTGATGCAGTGGTGTTGGAATTATCCGCGGAAGACAAAAAAAACCGTGTACGCATAGCCAGTGCAGGCAGAGCAGCAGAAATGCTGCTGGTACTTTGTAAACAAAACTTCGCAGTCCTGGGATCAGGTGATACAAAAACTGAACAAATTGTTATCGCAATTGTTCTTAACAGATACCGGCGCTGGAGTTGATAGTTACACATACCCTCATGTTCGCTATTAGGTAAACATCACAGTGGTTTTTATTCTCTGCCCTAGTTAAAATTATTATGCAAATATTATTGAATTATACATGTTGCATGTATTGCATATGTATTTTGAACCGTTAATTTATGCAATGGCCAGAGTAACGGGTCGATCTAAAATTTATGAAATACAAATATAATTTATTTAGGTTAAGATTATTAGCGTCTCAAGTGGTTCCGTTTTTTACGTCCTATCAGCTCCTAGAATACAGCGATGGTACTCTGTTCCACTGATATCGAGTTTTTGTAGCGCTCGATCCCAAGGTGGCGACAGCGCTCCGCACATTAAGAGAAGTACGTCGAAGTTCCATACAAAATCCTCGGATCAGTATCGCTTTTGGAAGTAAGAGAGTACGGGTGAAGCGATTTTCGATATTCTAAAATGTATGCCGTTTTTAACACTGGCTTTTATAAAAATGCATGTTAATTGCTAAAGCTCTTATCAAACTGTACAATATTCACACTAACGGGAGTACAAAACTGTATTATTTTGTCAAACGCTTTTTTCTCGACATATACTAAGATTCTATTGGCTATTCTTCTCAGGCCCTGTTTTTTCTGTTTTTATTGATACTGTAAACGAATTATCTGAGCTTACAAAACCACTTGTTTTAAAATAATGTATTTATATTAATGAAGATTGATAAAGGACCTGTGACTTGTGAGAACATAAAATAGCTAATTTTGTGAAAAATCTATAACTGAAACTACGAAGTCAGAATCTTCGTGATAAATTCAAGATCATCATTCTCTTTTTTTACGAAAGCATAAGCTAGTTACTAAAATATACCCAAAACGCGTGAAATTTTATAATATCGGTACAATACATAGGTAAGGACCATATAATCAGACCCTGAAATTCTGATTTACGCGTCTTCGAGTAATCAGAGATAATACAAAAACTAATTGGTAACCTCCTTATAATATAATATACTTACGTTTTATATGGGCTGAATATATTCCGTTAAGTTTGAACGTCCCGGGTAAAAATCTGAAACAAAAGATGGTAATATAGCTAAATGTAAATATTTACGAGCGAATACTAGATAATAGCGGATGGCAATTTCCGTATTTCCCCCTCACGTAATTATGAAAGATGAGGACTTCCACCTTCCTCTTCCTAGACACGTGCTGATTATGGCAATTACACTAGAGTTGCCTCTATATTTACCGAATAAAGTTACTCAGAGTTGTTCATTACGTGTTAACAATTACTAAGCCGTTTAAGTTTAATGCAGTCGTTACCTAATTGGGCATTTATTTATAGCTGGTATGTTTAGATATCATAAAATATATTTCAATATAATTACGTAGTAAGGTAACAAAAACTAAATGATTTTAAATATACAAGAAAGCTAGTGAAATCATACTTTAAGTCGCGGTTAAATAAAAAGTTGTGACCAAAGAAATTTTAGAAGTTGAGGAAAACGTCAAAACTAATATCACAGATCACTGTTATTGACTTTAGTACATTAGCTTGTCATTGTCAAGATTGTTTTTCGTCTATTAGAAAATATCCTAATAAGAAAAACGCTGTGTGCATATACATTTTACTAAGTGATCAGATTGACTGGGGTGTAAATTACTATGTAATAGTAATTACAGCAACATTAACCCATTTATTAATTAAAATATATAAGGTATACATGACATTGGCGGCTTACAATACAAATTAGTTGCAATATAACTTTATCTAAATCCACGATTACAAATTGCCATATGTT